AAACATTCAATTTATTGGAACCTAATACACACTAAAGGCAACAAGTTTATATACCAATTTGTCATTCATAGTACATTTATACTAAACCATGAATAACAATACCTCAATATAAATTAAAGACTGCCACTCAATATATTTAAATATATGAAAAAATAAAAAAATTAAAAAAAATCATGATTTCTTTATAAAAATTCAAGTGATTTCATCATATGATTTAGTCATTTTGATTTAATCATTGCCAACCCTGCTTTAAAAAGTAATTTTTATACATATTTTATTATTCAGAAAAAGAGAAATTTTCACATCAATGTTACCATAGCACTGCACTGTTGTTGCCTATTGTGATTGAAATTATCTATTTTACAAACAAACCTGAAGTTTAAAACCCTAACTTTTAACAATATAAAAATATTTTTGTGGTTAACTTATGAATAGTTCTGGTTCTATGTTTTGTAGTTATAATATTGGTTGTAAATCCTACGATCGTAGTTCTGATCAGTATTTCATTTTTTATGTTGTTGATTGCTGAATTGTGAGTTTAGTACAGGATTAGCTAAGTGGCAACTGGTGTGTTCTTGATGGTAGTTGAGTCATATGAGTAGGGTTGACTAGTAAATTATTTGTTATAATAGCATTATTGTATTAAATTCTTACTTAACTGAAAGATTGAGAAAGTTGATCTTGCCAAAGTATACCGTAGTCCCAGACTTGAAACAAGCCATGGCAATAATGGGTGGAAATAGAACCCATCCATTAAAAAATTATAAATTACTAGCCCCCAACTTGTTCTATTATCATTCCATTCCTTTATATAATGCAATAAAATCAAAAGAGGCAACACTGGATATTTCCGTCACATCAAAGTACCTATATTTTTGTGTTTTTTGCACTTTGGTATTAATGATTGGATGCTTTTTTGATCAATTTTATCACATCATTGCTGGAGAAATATACTTCAGAGATTTTTGTAACTACTGGTATTTTATGTCAGCTCAACCTAGACTATAACTTTGAATAAATTTCATCTTTACTCTCAATTTGAATTTTAAATTTTACTGTTAAAAAATCCTCTATTATTGTTATGTTTAGGCACAATATGTTGTTTAGACTATAACTTCATGTTTGATGTTACTTGTGTCCAAAAAAACAATTCTTAATATTTACAAAAAAAAAACAGTTTTGAAAATATTAAGAATTTTAAGGGCATAATTGTCTCAGAAAATTTTTTACTGGTGGGCTTTTTTTCTAACTCGATGGTTTTTTTAAGCACATGCATTTTTTTCAATTTCAAATAATTTAGCTTCCTAACTAATAACTAGTACCTACTAAGCTTGGTCATTTTTTAGGATATACCAAGTAGTACCATACTCACGTGTTTGGGTACAAATTTTGCAGTGCTAAGTGCAATTCATCAAAATATATTGGGAAAAACTGAAAAAAAAATTTAATGTCCAAAACTATATTATTCTAAGCTGAGTTCTAAGCAGGTTATAAAATCAAACTTTTTAGTAAAATGATGTGAATTCATAGTTACAATATTTTAATGAATTCAAAATTTAGGGCTGCATTCTATGAATTTGGGAAGCATTCCACATTCCTATGATTCCTTCTTCTACAGGAGAGGCATTCCAGTTTATTGGCAGTGTGATAACAATAGCAAACTGACAAAAGAAACAAAATGCCTGAATCCCAATTTCATGCTAAATGTATCAAACAACTTGATGACACTAGTTACATAACTAGTGTCAAATTGTATTTATACTATTATGGTATATTATAAGTTAAGTAAATAAATACTGTAACTTCTGCAATGTTAGAAGTCTGTATATACATATATTTATATATTAACTTGTACTAATTATATTACTTTCAGGATGTTCTCAGCACCAGCAGGCCATAAATAAAAATTAACTTGTATCTTGTGAACTTAGGACCACAATTAACAATAAACTCTTCATTCTACTGTTATTTTCGGTATCTTGAAATGCCTGGATTTGCTTCCAGAGCATATTTAACTAATATTATTGCAGTGTAATATGTTGTGTAAACAAGAATGACATCAATCTAGAAAATGCAGTTTTCTGCTCTACACAATTTTCTGATCTTAATTTTTCTTACATTCTTTCAAGGTATGTATTGTATTTTCACTAGTTAAGGTAAGCATAGTAAGTGGAGTTATTCAAAAAGTTGTATACCGTATGTATATACAATGGTGTAAGGAAGTATCTAGGTAGAAAGCTTTCCTAAATTGCAAACAAAAATACAGTTTTGTAACAATTTACAATATTATTTGCCTGTGCCTGCAAAATTCTGCTAGAATATTAATGCATTTAGGCAAGATACTTTGATGCACTATATACAGCAAAATAGACAGGAAGACTGTGATATATATGTGATGTAGAATTTTTTTTATTGTATAATTAATTGTATAATATAATTAATAGAGTGGTATTCTCCATGGCATTATGCAGGTAACAAAACCAAAAAATTTGTGCCTAAATTTTTGTTTAACAAATTTTGTGTGATATTGGTTATTGGTGACATTACCAATTCTTAATTTTTTCAATTGACTCCTAAATCTTATTGTTTTTTAATCATTAACTTCATATCCATTTTTTAGCAGAAATTCCTTGTTATTTGATTTTTTGGTAGCTCAAAAACTCTGTTTTTAGGCTCAAGAAGTGATGGTGCTGTGCTGAGCTCCAGTGGGGAAGATGCTGCTAGAAGGCAGACAAGTAAAGAGATGGAGATGAAGTCCAACGGCCCAGAGGGGCACCAGACGGCCAGCTACACAGCACTGCTAACGTCTCCCAGGCCTGCTGTCAACAAACGCCTCAGGCTGCCTGGCTCGGAGCTGGTCTGTTACTGCACTAACTGCCCTCAAGGCCAGTGTACAACTGATGGCTACTGCTACACCACCATCACTGTTGACACTACCACAGGCTTCCATGAGACATATGAGTGAGTACCTATTCTGTTTTATTAAATCTTTCCCAAATATTTTTTCATTTAATGAATTCTTTGAGTGATAATAATTATTATAGATTTTAGATGTCTTCTATTGTAAGTTTTTAATTTTTTGCAGGTTCACTTTTTTCAGGCATATTAAATTATGTAAATATATTAGTTTCATTAGAAAATTATATTTTTGTTTATGGGCATATGCCCAAGTTTATATATATTTATTTATAAGAATTAGATGATATAAATTCAAGTATTTTGAAGGAGAATAATTATAGTGGTATCCATCGTGATGTTCAATTTATTTTAGGGCTAATTGGAAGAATCTATTTCTTATCTTGCTGTTTTAAGGTAGTAGTTATTTTTTGTAGCTAAAGTCCATGCTGCCTTGATGCCGGAGGAATACGAGTCTTTATTTAAAAATTTATTTATGTGATGAGGTATCAAAACTCTACACTTGGTGCATGATAGCCAAAGCTTGAAGATATTGAATCATTCACATTACTTTATAAACTGAGAATACTCTAGGATTGCTTTATTTTTATGATAGATTTATTAATAGATTGAATTCCCATGTACCGTAACCTAGACTGATTCACATGCCATACAACTTGGACTTTGCCTAATACTGTTTATCTCAAGCAAGATCCCCCTACTTAACTTCATAATTTATCCATTACATTATCATACATGTGCAGCTACCACAAATTTTTGGTGGGATGACTACGGTATTTAGCCAATTCAACTCATTCTTTATTGGGAGATTTTCTGTGGCATTGTGCTTATGTCAACAATTGTGTCCCATATCATATGCTAGTTTTCTATAAGATTATCTATAACTATGTGTATGGGAGAAGTTGCTATAGAGATTTTATCATGTCAATTATTTGGCCTATGATGGTATTAAGGCTAGTTCTCTTGTCGTTTAGTTACTAATTTTGTAATTTCAATTGAAAGTTTGCATTGTAGAATGTAGTTGCCATATTGTGTGGGATGTTCATTATGCTGAAGTGTCTTCTGGAAGTTGTGCTCATATATACAGTACTTCAGAATTAGGATCTCTTGATGGAAGTTGTGCCAAGCTGATGGTACTCATGTGAGCAATGAGTCTTGTTGCAGTATTTCGTTTTGATGTAATAAAATTGCAAACCTCAAATCTTTTAAGCTTGTGTGAGACTTATTGTGAAACTCATGCCTATGAATACTGCAGGCGGCAGTCTTGCCTGAACAGAAGCAGTCAGTTCCCTCCAGGCGACCATTTCAAATGTCGTGGTGGGGGCCAGTACACTGTTTACCCACGCATGACTGAGCTCGTAGTTTGCTGTCGGGATGAACATTTATGCAACACTCGTGTTGCTTGGCCAATATCCCAGCAGCAACATACTGCTCCTGTCTATGGTCCAAATGAAGAATACATTCGCAAGGTGTACCTCACTCCTGTAGACAATGAGCGAGGTGAGGACTTCACACTCCCTCACTGCCATGATTTCCCTCTTGCCCCCTAATTATTTATAATTATTTGTTTACTATGAGGACATTTTCCAAGTCGTAAGTCTGTGAGAAACACTCCCATCCTCTCATTGAGCCTTTGAGTACACTTTTTAATGGTCCTCAGCTCCTGATATACTTACAGTGACAGGCTTGCAATAAATACTCTGGTTATTTATAAATGAAATTTTCGTGGTAGGACTGTGAGTTGATGATGATGTGTGTCAAAACAAAATTATATCTCAAAGAGTGTATTTAATGCATGTTCCAGTAGCCAAACAAACTTTGAAGAGTTCTGATAATCCCATCAAGTGTCTTACATGTCAGTGTACAAAGTTGCCACTAATTTGCTTGTAGGGTGTGAAGCATTGAGTAGTCCCTTGATATGTTTGTTGTGTTGCCTTGAGTGTGGACTCACTTTATAATTCATCAGCTAACTATGGTCACCATTATGTTGGTAAGTTGACATCAGCTACTCAGTTTGCTTGAGATTATTCTCATTGTATTGTGTTAAAGGAGATGCAATTCAAAAGCTTCTTAGATGATGGATATAGAGAGCTTGTATACTCCCATGGCAAGGAATGTGCTGCCCAGCCAATGAGATATCATTTGGTGTATAATTATTCATTGAAAACAGCTAGATTAATGATAAAATGACATTCTTAAGAAAAAACAGCTATATTAATGACAAAAGCACCTGATAGATTGGTTACTTGAAAATTTACCTGCTTTGCCAGGTCACACTCCATGTACTGTCTCTGGACAAAGGCAGTCAACATACAGAAACTCAAAATGAAAAATAATTAACTAAACAAAATGAATAGGGTCCACATCCAAGGAAATCAAATAATCATATTGACAGGCACACAATGCTTATCATTCCACTACATTGTTTTTGTTTTTAGGTTGGCAGAAATTAGAATTTTGTTACATGAAATAAAGAATCCTGCAGTATTAGATCAGAATTTGTACAGTCCTGTTGAAAAAAGAGTTCATGTATATTGCAAAGGTCTTGTTTTGTCATTACAATGTCTTTTATTCAAACATCTAATCAAGGCTCAAAGCCTCAATTATAATTCATTGTATTCAAAGTACATTTCTAACCCTTTTTCTATAGATGGTAACTTTCTTCCTAATACCTTTGGATGGTAATAATGATTAAAACAGTTGACATATCTGTAAACAAACAGCCGATACAATGATAATTTAACTAGCTGTGAAGGCCCATGATTTTATTTAATATTATGAAGGGTTTTTCTTAAATATTGTGAACTGGAAAAATAGTTATACATGATACATAAAAATTTAGCCTTTGCTTTTTGTCAGGTGGATTTTGTCTTCAATTGTGACACTTTGATGGTACTAAAAAAATACTCTTTGAGAAACCCTCAACTCATTATCATGATATTTTTTGGAGCTGATTTGGATTTTGATAATCCTGTCTTTTCAATGCTCAGTCTTGTTACTCTTTGCAATAAATAAGTATGTGTATCCTTAGAAATTTATAAATTCTTCACTGTATCTTGATCAAACAAAAAGAATTCAATCTCACCCTCATAAATAAATTATTTGTGATTGGGTTATTCCCCTTACATGAAGACTATACCAGAATGTTGAATAATTCTGATTAATGTCTGTTTTTGATATGGAGAATATTATTATTTTTAAATTACTTTTTAGCCCATTTTCTCTTTATAGAAAAAATGCACTATTGTGCTTGCCATGTCCATCTGTCTGTCCGTCTATCTGTCCGTCTGTCTGTCCGTCTGTCTGTCCGTGACTTCACGTTTTCGTTGATTTTAAGACGCAGGCATGCCTGTATGAAAGATACGACATCTCTAGCTCTAATGCACTGTACTAATTGCAATTGAAACTGATTTATGCATGAGAAAATGCGCTCTCTGTCACTCACTGCCGTGAGTACTGAGTTATATTTTTTATAGTTTTTTTATGACAATAAATAGATACACAAGAAGTGAGATGATTTTCGCTGGCACCAGCTTCCTTTTCTTCCAATTCATCTACTTGGACTTTTTCCTCTGGTGCCCAGAACTCAAATCTTTGTGTTGATGTCACCAGTGTATTATACAAACCAACTTCTGCGGGGGGTTGATAAAATAAACTGAGTTACAGAGAACAGGCCTAAGCGTATAGAATTATCAATGGTAAATGAACATGTAGCTTGAATGTTCAATGTTAGCTTGACAACATCCTTGGCTGTTGGCCACTCAAAAATAGAAGAAAAATGAATTATCTCAACTTGAAACTCATTAAATAAAATTTTCCTGAAAGCTTTATTTAAGATCAAGAAGGAGTTACTAATTATCAAATAAACTAATCTAGACTGAGTTTATATGCATGAGAAAAAAATCAAGATGAGATGAGAAATGCATAAGAAAAACAAGAATCAAATGACAAAAGCAATGTAACCTTGGCATGGAAAAGGCCTCATGGCATCTTCATTTGTATACAGAATGAATGGAAAAATGTTATTGTGTGTGATGTTGAAGTTTACTAGGTCTCTGTGATTGTAATAGTTAATTAACTGACAGCAATTTTTACAATTAAAAATAACTATTTCAGCAAGAGGCAGAAATAGGGATCATGATTTTATATCACTTTTTGTCATTTTATTGCACTAGAGGAGGTTGAACAGTGATCAAATGCATGCCAATAATCCAACTAAATGAACAACAATATTTGTATTTGATCACTGAAAATGATGAAACAATTCCCTGCAAGAAAAATCTCTGAGAATAGTCACCACAAAAATTGAAGTAGCTTGTCAGTTTAAAAATATAGGTGCTAAGTATAAATAAAAAGACAAATTTTAAACAAACATACATGTTAATTTGATGATCTCTGGCACTCTCTATACAATTACTCTTAGCCTAGCTGGCTTTAGGAGCTCAGTAGAAAAGAAATTGCACAAAACTAGATGTTTTTATTAAAAATAAAAACAAAATAGAAATCTCTACACCAAGCAGCACAGATGTGTTGGGTAGAAATGAAAAAATTTACTCCAAAGCCTGCTCAATAATTATTAGCACATGTTATCAGCTTGGCACAACTTTCAATTGGCAAATTGATGTTTTTCCATCAAATTCTAACTTTGTTCAATAGTACCACCCCCTAGTTATGTTCTTTGACATGAACATAAATCGCAATACATGATTGCACATTTATTAATCTCATACATCATATTTTTATACATGATGTTGTATTTGAATTCTTTATTAATTATTTGGTTAATTTTAGAATCTGATTTATATAATATTTTGGCAGCATATAATTCCACAATTCAGAATGTATATTGGAATATTGTCTCTCTCTCTTTGATTCACATAAATCTGGTCTTTGAGTTCATCATTGTAGCTTTTCTCACAATTTAAAAAATGGGATCCTTTGTTTGAGTTGTCATATATCACTGGTTTGCTTTCACTGTCTTTCTAAAAAAAAACTTCTTGATTAAACAGAATTTGGGATCTTTCTGTTTATGAGAAGGCTTCCTGTTGCTGGCAAGCTTCAATTTTCTGAAACTTTCCAGGAAAAGAGATCATAATGGAAATGATTTGTGTGATTTAACATCACTTTAGGGGTTGCTTCGCAATGCAGCGTCTGCAGCCACTCCATCGTCCCCTCATCTGCGCCAATCCTACTAATAGTAACCTTCATCTCTACGTGCAATGCTGTGACCACAGTTACTGCAACTTCAATGTTACTTTACCCTATACTTACCACGTTAAAGGTACGGTTGCATTCTATAACTGTGACTTGCATGTTACATTCCCCTATACGTATCACACCAAAGGTGAGATTAAATTATGTAACTGCAACTTACTCGTTACTTTACCTCTTTACTTTCCGCTTAAAATATGAGGTTGCATTTCCTAACTACTTCTTCCATGTTACTTAACTCTGTACTTTCCGCATTGAAGATGAGGTTGAATTATGTAACTGGTACTTTCATACCACTTCACCATACTCACCACATCAAAGGTGAAGTTGACCAAACTTCAGACACAACAAAATTTTCTATGTTAGATAAGCACTGCCAACAATACAGGAACTTGATCAATACCAGTTGTGTCTAGATAAATAACGACTTTGACCCCTGCTGGTGATACTTGAGCTGCATCAAGTATTTTACAAAAAGTGTGAGTTTCAGCTTACTTGTAAGTTCATTTCATGAGCACATGACATTACCTTGTTTTACTTTTGGTTGATATATTCTTCTTGTGTGGTGTCTTATCTTTGTACAGTAAACTTAGTTGTACAGTTGACATTCTCTTCATCCTGTTCTTTCATGTCTCAGTTCAGCAACCCTGATTTTATTTTGACAGCTGGATTGCCCTCTTATTCATCTCTTCTAATAATTGCTAGAATTATTGTAAGATTACATTGTTTCTTCCTTATTGAAGGCTCTTGTTATTTTTTTATTTTTGTGACTCATGTTATACTGCCTACTTGACCAATACTTGTTTCATTTCTTGCTAAAAGCATTTTTGTTAGAGCATCTTGTTGTAGGTATCTGTTTTAGTCCTAAATTTCCTCTAAATATTCTTGAGTCAAGTTCATTGCTATCAGGTTTCCTAAATCAGAATTCTGTTCTCTGTTGGTTCTAACAATGACTCTGTGCTGGGCAAGAGTCTGGGGCTGCTAAGGGTTGATTTGGGCAGCTGGATGTTGGTTCTATCCATTTTTTGTACTAGTCAAGAGTCAGTGACTCCTAAGAGTTGGTTCTGGGTTGCTGAATTTTGTTCTAACCATTTTTAGCGCTAGTCAAGAGTCAGTGACTCTTGGTTGGGTTGGTTTGGGTTGGGTTCTGTGCTAGCCAAAGGTCTGATGAACTTGCATCTGTGTGCTGTCTCAACTCTCTGAATGACTCACTGGTACTTTGAATTTTCTCTGATTGATATATTTTCATCATTTGAAAGACATCCTTTGTGTAAGTTTGAGGTATTTTAATGTGTTGGGAGTGAGGGAATGTTTCCGGATTTTTCTGTGCCTTGTAAGCAAGTAAACTTCTTTTCTTCATCACTAATGATGAGCTTGCTCATTGAGCAAAAAAATTTTATCTATGGAATTGACCTGAAAAATTTATTTTATGTATTTCAAATAGTTCAATGAAGTGGTTTAATAGACTGAGGCTTTACAGAATTTCACTATCAAGACTCCACATTATGGGCTCCTATTGCAATGCAAGTTATTGTTCATTTCTATGTCCTACAAATTCTTTGCATGTTTTAGTACACTTTCCATGCTTTTTAAATGCTGCTTCACTTTATCATTCATTATCTCTGTGATAAACTTATGATTTATTTTAAGTAAATATTCATAATCATTTGTAGCCATTGTCATCATGCATTTCTTCAATATTTTGATTTTTTCTTCATTTAGCTATCATTTCTGCTTATATTCTAAAAACTCATCTTTTAAGATTGAGTATGTGATTAAATCTCCTATTGTTTGCATTTTTGTGAAGTATAATAAACTAAAAGTCTTTAAAATGTGACAGATGTTATCAGTATTGCTCAGGGAAAAAGTGCTGATAGTATATAATTCTATTGGCATTGTAGCCAGTGTTTACTTGTGGCCCAACGGTTAAAATAATGTATCAAATTTGTTTGAGTTCATTTGAAATTAACCTAATTTTCCTAACTTTTATCTCTTTATCTGACTGGAATTAATTTGATCAAATTGATTTCATATGACTAATTATGCAGCTGTCGCAACACCTCCATGGGTTCTTTGCTCTACGACTTTACATGCACGAGTGACCCTCTCAAGCCTCAGATACTGAGACAGGACACTGACCAAAGCAGCACCCGCACCCTCATGCTATGTTGCCATGAGCACCACTTGTGTAATGCTATCTCTAATTCTCAAATGCAAGAATATGCACTGCTATTGGATTATGAGGATTATGAGATGCCAGGCAAGTCTTCAAAGTCTTTTTATTTCATGTCCCAGATTTGTCATAGTATCTACATGGTGAATTGAGTATAAAATATATATATATGCTGTTACCATGATTACCATGTCCGTATTATGGGATTAAGAGGCTGTGATCTTAATGTAGATTGGCCTTGCCAACATCAGCTGTCATTATAAGATATCTGTTGGCAAAATTTTAGTAGATTTTGTTGAGACTTGTTGCCTCAAACTGTTCATTGATTTGTGGGTACGGTATCTCACAAAATAAATTTTTTTCAAGCAGATTTGATCTACATGTGCTAAAGGAATTTGATGGCATATCTCTACAGGACTACCATATTCAAGCAGTGAAATGAAATATTTATCAATTGTCATTATATGTTTGTGTGTGTCATAAACATATCATGATAAAACCTAGCCCTGAAAATATATAGGATCTTATTGGGTAATGAACATTTGTAGTGTCAATGTACATTTGTAGTGTCTGAATATTACCTGACTATTTTATAATTAATGGCAGCATCCTGGGACTCTGAAATATGGATGAGAGAGTTGGATTTATAAATTAAAATGTGATTTTCTATTTGCAAGGGTAAATTTTATTGAAAAAAAAGTTCAAGTTTCCTTGAAATTTCAAAACAACTTGAATGGGCGTTTATTGGTAAGTGTTGGATTGAATAGACCTCTCTACTATTATGGTACTTGCGTTTCAAAATTATTATCAGGATTTGAAATGATGTGATTCTGGATGACAAACAAAATTCTCAAATTGCAAGTAACTGTGTAAGCTTTTCAAATTTGTGGCTAGCAAGTGAAGAAAGTGGTTGTGCTTATTGATAAACTTCTCTGTGACAGATTCTAAGAGATTATTAGGTACCGAGTCGCAAGTTCTTGTGCCAAAGTGCTTTTTAAAAAGAAATATTATCAATGGTATATGATTGTTCTGCTGGCTTTAGAACCTTCATTTTACATTTTAGAGTTTGAATTTCCAGACAACATTGTACTAAAGAGCATTTTTAACCTTAAAGGTCTATCTTTCTTCACTTTCCTCCTTACTTTGCATGTAATTTTTCTTGTGAGATTTTTCCAAAATAATCCAATCTTGATTGTCTTATTAATATGTAAGTTTGATTGTCCTCCAAGGAATGCATGTGTCAAGGCATGTTTCTCTATGGCGGGTTTTCAGCAACACATGTTTGCTTTACTTGTGCTTCATTCAAATACATTTATGTTACTGTTCTAACTTGTGTTACTACAGCTCTAACTCTTCTATTCTGTTGCTGTTCTAACTTGTGTTATAACAGCTCTAACTCTTCTATTCTGTTGCTGTTCTAACTTGTGTTACTACAGCTCTAACTCTTTTATTCTGTGCTGTTCTAACTTGTGTTACTACAGCTCTAACTCTTCTGTTCTGTTACTGTTCTTACTTGTGTTATAACAGCTCTAACTCTTCTGTTCTGTCACTGTTCTAACTTGTGTTACAACAGCTCTAACTCTTCTGTTCTGTTACTGTTCTTACTTGTGTTATAACAGCTCTAACTCTTCTGTTCTGTCACTGTTCTAACTTGTGTTACTACAGCTCTAACTCTTCTGTTCTGTTACTGTTCTTACTTGTGTTATAACAGCTCTAACTCTTCTGTTCTGTCACTGTTCTAACTTGTGTTACTACAGCTCTAACTCTTCTGTTCTGTTACTGTTCTTACTTGTGTTATAACAGCTCTAACTCTTCTGTTCTGTCACTGTTCTAACTTGTGTTACTACAGCTCTAACTCTTCTGTTCTGTTACTGTTCTTACTTGTGTTATAACAGCTCTAACTCTTCTGTTCTGTCACTGTTCTAACTTGTGTTACTACAGCTCTAACTCTTCTGTTCTGTTACTGTTCTTACTTGTGTTATAACAGCTCTAACTCTTCTGTTCTGTCACTGTTCTAACTTGTGTTACTACAGCTCTAACTCTTCTGTTCTGTTACTGTTCTTACTTGTGTTATAACAGCTCTAACTCTTCTGTTCTGTCACTGTTCTAACTTGTGTTACTACAGCTCTAACTCTTCTGTTCTGTTACTGTTCTTACTTGTGTTATAACAGCTCTAACTCTTCTGTTCTGTCACTGTTCTAACTTGTGTTACTACAGCTCTAACTCTTCTGTTCTGTTACTGTTCTTACTTGTGTTATNGGCTCAGGCTCAGGTGACCTAACAATGAACTGGTTGACTTCACCAGCTCTGGCTCAGGCTCAGGTGACCTAACAATGAACCGGTTGACTTCACCAGCTCTGGCTCAGGCTCAGGTGACCCAACAATGAACTGATTGACTTCACCAGCTCTGGCTCAGGCTCAGGTGACCTAACAATGAACTGGTTGACTTCACCAGCTCTGGCTCAGGCTCAGGTGACCTAACAATGAACTGGTTGACTTCACCAGCTCTGGCTCAGGTGACCTATGAATGAGCCGGTTCAGTTTACCAGCTCAGGCTCACATGTAACACTAGCAATCAATGTTGGGCTTGCGACGGTAGGTCTAAAGCTCACGTCACTAAAGTTGACCACCCGCAGCAGTATGGTGGACTAACATGTAAGTTGAGCGTCCATCCTCGGTAAGCTTGCAATCGAAGCCGTCAAATGTCACTATCATGACACTTGTAACTAAAGTGCCTACAGGTAATGCACCCGTTTGAATAGTGACACTTGTCACTAACGTGGCTCCAACCCGCCATTCGTCACAAATTTCTTGCTAAATCGTTAATTGTCACTCATCACTAACGTGATACTAACTCGTCATTAACATGTCAACCGTCACTAATGTCTCACTACCTCGTCACTAATGTCTCACTACATCCTCACTTATGTCTCACTACCTCGTCACTAACGTGTCACGTCACTAATGTCTCACTACCTCGTCACTAACAGGTCTGCCGCTGCTGGTGCAGCGCAGTATCGCCCGTCAGGTGCAGCTGTTGGAGGTGGTCGGCAAGGGCCGCTTCGGCGAGGTCTGGAAGGGACGATGGCGGGGCGAGCACGTCGCTGTCAAGATCTTCTCGTCGCGGTGGGTGACGTCAGCTGACGACGAGGGTGCTCTTGTCATGGCTCACTAGGATAATTGGCTGACTAGGACCTAGATAAGGGGCTGACTAGGACTTGGATAAGGGGCTGACTAGGACCTAGATAAGGGGCTGACTAGGACTTGGATAAGGGGCTGACTAGGACCTAGATAATGGGCTGACTAGGACTTGGATAAGGGGCTGACTAGGACCTAGATAAGGGGCTGACTAGGACCTAGATAAGGGGCTGACTAGGACCTAGATAAGGGACTGACTAGGACCTGTCTCTTATACACATCTAGATGTGTTACAACAGCTCTAACTCTTCTGTTCTGTTGCTGTTCTAACTTGTGTTACAACTGCTCTAACTCTTCTGTTCTGTTACTGTTCTAACTTGTGTTCCAACAGCTCTAACTCTTCTGTTTTGTTACTGTTCTAACTTGTGTTACAACAGCTCTAACTCTTCTGTTCTGTTACTGTTCTAATATGTGTTCCCTTTGCGTGGTTGGTCAGTCCTTGTGTATGCTGTTGTTAGAGGGCTTTTTTACATCTGCACTATTGAATAGATTTATGTTTTGCCTTATTGTGAGCTATTCTATCTTCCCATTGTCTGAGATTTTTGCAGGCATCTTCGAGGATCAGGAAAGTGAAGCTTATCATGAAGCTCAGCTAACCTTGACTATTTAAACCTATTGTTTAGTTCCCTACTTACATAATCCTAATTACCTTCTAATTACCTGCTTGCTTGTGTCTGCCTCCTTTAGTCTTATAATAATTACTATATTATAACTGCTTTTTATGATTGATGCTAATCAAACTATGTTTCATGTTGAAAATAAATGCATGAAATTGTTTTTAAATGTGAATGTTAGTTGTTGTTCAACTTATGAGTAATATATTTAATTGTAAATTATCACCTGTGACTTTAATGAATGAAATAGGCAGAACTCAGTGATTAACCCTAGCTTTCTATAACACTTCACTTGATTTTGCTATAATAATACTGTTACCCTCACATTATAAGAATAACATTGTATGGAATATAATGAATCATACAATCGTAGAAACAAAATGTTTTTATATTTTTTGAATGGATATCTGTTTTTAAAATTTATTTCACCATACATGTGTCAGTGTAAGATAAAAAATTATCTTTCAATGTAACAGTTTATGCATGTAGCAGGATGAGGTGTGGTATGTACACTTAATTAGATGTGTTCAATTCACAGGATTATATGCTTAATGAAATAAAGGATTATATATTATATAATATAATATGCTTATATAATATTATATATATTATAAATATTATATATTATAATATTCTATATATATTAGATTATATATATCATATTATATGCTTAATATATAAAGGATTATGTGTGATGTGGTACAGGATTAGATGTGTGATGTGTAATAAAAATTGTGTTCATGTGGCAGGTGTTACAAGGATCTGGCCAGGCTGGGCCATCGTGCTTACGGCGCTGTTGCTCGCTGGCAGCTGCCTCCTTGCTGCCACCATCTTCTGCTACAGGAAAAAAGTATATTAGACTTATTCACATAATGGGTTTTAAATTTTGATGTTCTGATCATATCCTGTATCGTCTATTGAACTATTATCAAAATAAGTTACTCCCAACAATCTCGTTGATATTTTTGCATATATGTTAGTTCATCACATTACTTGAATGATTATTTTTTTTATCTTTGTACACCACTAGTTAAATTGAGTCTAAGATTCTTTTTCTCACAGTGATGTCTTCTTCATGTTTTTAAAACATGAAACTGGACGTGATGTTCGGCAGAGCCTTTTTGCTCAAATTTATGTGTTTTTAAATTCATGAGGTAATGGAGGTTGTTTTAACCCTATGTTTACCCTTCAGGAGAGGTGAGTTGCAATAAACCTTTGTAAACCCTTCATGGATCCCTTCAACCCTTTTTACCCCTTTTACACTAAACCTATGTTTAACCCTTCAGGTAGGGGGTTGGGGGTTACGTTGGGCGCGAGCCAGCAACAGCAGCAGCAGCTCCGAAGCAATCCCTGAGGATGGAGAAGTGGGTGACCGCAGCGATGCTCCATTTCTGGCAGCACAGGAACCAAACAATGAACCGGTTGACTTCACCAGCTCTGGCTCAGGCTCAGGTGACCAAACAATGAACTGGTTGACTTCACCAGCTCAGGCTCAGGTGACCTAACAATGAACTGGTTGACTTCACCAGCTCTGGCTCAGGCTCAGGTGACCTAACAATGAACCGGTTGACTTCACCAGCTCTGGCTCAGGCTCAGGTGACCCAACAATGAACTGGTTGACTTCACCAGCTCTGGCTCAGGCTCAGGTGACCTAACAATGAACTGGTTGACTTCACCAGCTCTGGCTCAGGCTCAGGTGACCTAACAATGAACTGGTTGACTTTACCAGCTCTGGCTCAGGCTCAGGTGACCTTCTGTCTCTTATACACATCTAGATGTGTATAAGAGACCTGACTAGGACTTGGATAAGGGGCTGACTAGGACCTAGATAATGGGCTGACTAGGACCTAGATAAGGGACTGACTAGGACCTAGATAAGGGACTGACTAGGACTTGGATTAATGGGCTGACTAAGACCTAGATAAGGAACTGACTAGGACTTGGATGAGGGGCTGATTATGACCTAGATAATGGGTTGACTAGGGTCTAGATAAGAGGATGACTAGGAAGGAAAAACTAGTTACGAGGGCCGCAGGTGAGAGCATGAGGGGTCTTTGTCTAGGGCTTGAGGTGCTTGTGAGGGGCTGCGGCCAGGCTCTTCATCAGCACAGTTAGAATAATAATAATAGCGGTTTCAGCGTTTATTAGGCCATAGGCATGTCGCCGATTCTTAACATCACAGAACATCCACAGCTTATTGCGGTCTCGAACACACAACTCACTGCTCCAATTCTGCTATGCTTAACCGCCCGGCCTCCTCGCCGATTCTGACCAGAAACTGTCGCACAGAGCTGGGATCGAACCCGCACCTCTCTGCTCCAATCTTGGTACTCTAAATTTTAACCACTGGGCCACCCTGCCCAGTGGTTATGTTCATGACTTTCGCCATGACGTATTCTGAGAGTCGTTGTGTGTGATCTTTTCAGTTATAACGGGATTTATTGGATTGAATTTTAAAAGTAAGATTGCTTTCAGTGACGAGAGCTCGTGGTTCCGTGAGGTGGAGATCTACCAGACCGTCATGCTGCGCCACGATAACATCCTGGGCTTCATAGCGGCTGATAACAAAGGTGAGTACAGCCCCAAGTGTTATCGGGTATACAATAAAAAAATCGCAACAGTATAATTCACTATAATAAATATTATTGACTACAATGGGTAAAATTTCCTATAATTCTTAACGTGAGACAAAGCCTGTAGTGTTATCGGGTATACAATAACAGTATCGCGACAGTATAATGCACTGTAATAAGTATTATTGACTACAATAGGTAAAATTGCCTATGTTTCTTAACGTGAGACGAGTAGTGTTATCGGGAACGCATGCAGTATTTCAACCGTATAATTGACTACGGTAGAAATTCGTAATGTGAGATGGTGCAGATAAGAGCACGTGAGTAGTAGACATCACCAGGATTTAGCTGCTACATCATTATATTATAATTATGTTATATAATATATCATTATTATAATATGATCATTGTTTCAATCGCACATATAACACTGAATCACTATTATTCTTGTTGCTGCAGATAATGGGACATGGACGCAGCTGTGGCTGGTGGCAGAGTTTCACCCCCACGGGTCCCTCTTTGACTTCCTGCTGCGCGGACCCATTGACCCCGCGTCTCTGGTGCGCATGGCCCACAGCATCGCCACTGGCCTGGCGCACCTCCATATGGACATCATGGGCGGCACTGAAGGTACGCACGGCCCTCCATATGGACATCATGACGGCACCGAAGCTGAAGGTACGCACGCACCTCCATATGGACATCATGGGCGGCACTGACGGTACGCACGCCCCTAAATATGGACATCATGGGCGGCACTGAAGGTACGCACGCACCTAAATATGGACATCATGGGCGGCACTGAAGGTACGCACGGCCCTCCATATGAACATCATTGGGGCACTCAAAACTGGTTTCGAATGGACCAGAGGCTTTCGTTCTTTCACGTAATAGTTTAGTTCAGTGATATCCAAGACATTCATTGCCCTAATTTTCAATAATTTTAATACATGAGCTACTAATGTATTCTATATTTGTTCCACGCAGAAATGGTTTCATTGCTTAAATTACTTTTTTATTCGCCAGGCAAGCCGGCAATCGCGCACCGAGACCTGAAGAGCAAGAACATCTTGGTCCGCAGCAACGGAACTTGCGCCATTGCCGACCTAGGGCTGGCGGTGCGCTACTACACGCACTCGCACTGCCTCGACATCGCCCCCAACACCAGGGTCGGCACCAAGCGCTACCTGGCGCCGGAGGTGAGTGTTGTCGTTCTCAATAGGGTCGTGTGTGCTATTTGTTGAATTTTGCAGAGCTACTCAGTCAAAAGGCAATGTTGACAATGGATTAGTGTAGCTTAGTTAACATTAGTGCAGAACTCCAAAAACGACTTTTTGGTGTGAATTCATCTAACGAGTAATAAGCAGATTCTGAGCAGTTGGTGCAAGATTTGTTCAGCATTGGTTTAGCCGCCACTGATAGAAATAAAGAGTGCAGCAAAGCTGCGAATTACCGTATCGGTCGGTAAAGTCCCCGTTACCTAGTCAATTGCCTCAATGATCGTTCAGGTCATATTTTGCTTCTTATAATTCAATACTCAATAAATTTCTTTATAAGTGCATCAACTTATTTTCCTTTGTCTCCTGCAGATCCTGGACGAGACAATGAACATGGGCCACTTCGAGAGCTTTAAGCGCGCGGACGTGTACGCGCTGGGGCTGGTGCTGTGGGAAATGTGCCACCGCACGGCGCACCCCGGCGCCCCCGCCGCGCAGGAGTTCCAGCTGCCGTACTACGACCTCGTGCCCGCTGACCCGTCCATTGAGGACATGAAGAGAGTCGTCGTCACCGAGCGCAAGAGGCCTGCCATACATCCTGCCTGGCGTAGCTGCCCTGTACGTTCATCTTGATAGTTACTAATGCTAGTGACTGACACTAACGTTTATCTTGATAGTTACTAATACTAGTGACTGACGCTAGCGTTTATCTTGAAAATTACTAATGCTAGTGACTGAAGCTAACAACATCTTAATTATAAATAATGCTGGTGAATGACGCTAATTACTATGACATCGTGCCATTCCTGACTCAGCCGTGCCGTACGATGGGGTTTATGACGATATTGACTAGTCTGACGACTGATAGTCGCTAGTTATTGACTTGAGTCTACTAGCCAAATGATGGCAAAAGAAGCAAGAAGAAGAAAGCGGCAGTAAATCTTTGTGTGTACAAAGGTAGCATCAGGAAGCAACCGCAGGATCTCTGTGGTCAGGTCTTCAATATTCCGTCTCCGTTTACGCAAGTTTTCTGGAAACCTTAGAAAACGAACTCTGCTAATGTACAATCTAATGGTTTTGAATTCATGATTCTGTTGTTAAAGTGTGAAATATTCGTTTACTTTCTTACAAATATTGAATGCTTGACTTAAATTCAGGAACTGCAGACGGTGCGCTTTAAAAAATCACTTGAAAGTTATAGTTGGTTATCAAGTGGTGAACTTTTGATTTTGTTACAGGAGCTGAAGCTGGTGAGTCACGTGATGAGTGAGTGCTGGTACCACACAGCCGCCGCCAGACTCACCGCCCTCAGGATAAAGAAAAGCCTCGCTGCCCTCTCCCCTTCCCTCAACTGCGCCACATGAAGAGCCTCTTCCTCGCCCCTCCCCTTCCCTCACCTGCCCCACATGAAGAGCCTCTCCCTCGCCCCTCCCCTTCCCTCACCTGCCCCACATGAAGAGCCTCTCCCTCGCTCTTCCCTACCTCCTCCCCTTCCCTCACTTGCGCCACATGAAGAGCCTCGCCCTCGCTCTTCCCCACCTCCTCCCCTTCCCTCACTTGCGCCACATGAAGAGCCACTCCCTCGCTCTTCCCTACCTCCTCCCCTTCCCTCACTTGCGCCACATGAAGAGCCTCGCCCTCGCTCTTCCCCACCCCCTCCCCTTCCCTCACTTGCGCCACATGAAAAGCCTCGCCCTTTCTTCCCTTGCCCTTCCCTTCCCTTACCTTTCCCTTAAACTTCCATTACCCTTTCCTTACCTTACCCTTACCCTTCCCTTACCCTTCCCTTACCCTTCCCTTACCCTTCCCTTACCCTTACCCTTCCATTGCTCTTTCCTTGCCCTCTCTCCTACCCTCACTCCCACCATTACCCTCGCTCCCATTACCGAAGCTGCAACGGCCATGAGATTTTCCTTTAATTTTTTTTGTGCCTGATTAACTGAGATTTGCAACTGAACTACGCCAGAATAACGTCAACAGTAGAATGTAGCTGCAGTATCTCGACCCCTGGTTTATGTAGTGGCAATCATGATGGCAAAAAGATGTTTTTATTGTTTATAACCCCTCTACCAACTTTGCTCCGCTTTTATGTTACATCAATTTTATAGCGTTGCCATCGAGTCCAATTTATTTATACTCGTTCAGTAATACGGACAAGCGTTATTACTGTCCATCGAGACGATGTTTTATTATCAGATAAGCGAATAGTGAATGTTACTCTGAATGTGAAAAGCTTTTTGTGGTTAGATTTGTTCACCATTATCTACTTACTGTGTTCATTATAGCTATAGTAGCAGCTTGTGTGATTCAGGCAATTCGTTTGAGTTGAATTTATACAAATTACCAAAGGTGCTCCACCGAAAATTAAGATATGTCATTGGGAATGCCAGGTTCAGGCTCCATTGGTAACACAAATCTCCCTAATTATGTTTTATCTTAAAGTTAGAATAGCATCTTGCATTGAAATATTTCCCGTTACTCTTATGTGAAATTGCAAAAATATTATTAAAATTGTTAAATTAAACTCATTTAATTGTGATTCTAATTACCTTCTCTGCACTCTTCACTTGCTAAGGATTTTTTTAATCGTGTAAGGTTTCGTCGCATCTGAGCTCTCAGTTGTGGGGTCAGAATGATTATGAATAAATTCAACGTAATTATCTAATTTAGGTACATTTAGGTATTATTAGCTTTGGATTGAATAAAGCGAAGAAGATATTCAAACTTTATCTGGGATTACATTTGGAATTAATACATATGACTGAGTACGGCGAACACTGCAGGTACGCACTTGAAAAGTTTACACTATTTTGTAGATACCGTACGTGATTGAAGATTTACTCGTGCGATAATAATTACATGGAACTCGATGTTAATTATTAAGGTTCTTACATTTGAATGAAAGTTGTGCCTTGCAGGCATTTTCATAACTTTTTGGTATAGATAGTTCAGTGCCATCGTAAAAGTCCTCACATTGAACGTCGAGTGGCAGTCTCCATGGAAGTGCGCGATCGTCGGTCGCAAATTAACCTCTCAAACTGTCCATGTCGCCAACGCTCGGCATGAACACGCATAGCTATACTTAGCCTCTGAGCTACGAAGTGGCAGACCAAGCTGGAAGCAGCGCCGACATCATTGACAATTTGGAGTGCTGTAAATAAACATAACTATAAATAATCGTTTATTGGCAGTATACTGCCGACAACGAGCAAAATAATTGACGCCCTCAGCTGGGTCAGAAATTCATGTATAGTTACTATAGTATCTTCGGCGTTGAAGAATAGGCCTGGAAAGTCCTGTCGCCGATTCTTGTACTTTTCTTTACTAGTTCTCAGATTTAAAAGACGGGTCTTTTGGTCAAATATTTCCAATGGATGGTAGGTTTGAAATCGTTTCTAAGGAACCACTAAATTGTAATTGAAGTAAACTATACGCATACCCGCTTCACTCACAAGAATTAAGCTTTCGTTTGCCAGCACGCATGCAATGTGCGCGTACGTACTGCTTGTTTCTGTCAATATACGTACGCTTGACATAACGAGGGTAACTGCAATAAATTTAGCGTGAGCCAGGATGCCATTGCGTGTTCACGTAATACGTTTCATACAAATACACTTTGCACGGCATAAAGGCTGTCCTTGTACTGAATGAAATACGTCCACATTAGTACTATCATAACATAACATAGTGATCTCGGCGCTGAAGTGTAGGCCTGATGTGGCCTGTCGCCGATTCTTTTTCTTTTCGGCCTTGTTCACAGAAGATCTAAAATCGTGTCATTTGACCGGATCTTTTCATGACTGACGATAGTTTGAAGTAGCTACTAGACTTCCACCGAGTTCGATAAGGTGCTAGGCATTTCAAATCTGAACATATATTTTTCCATAGCTTTATCTCTGTCTCTTATACACATCTAGATGTGTATAAGAGACAGAATCGAGGTACAATGCATCCACTGGCTCCCTTTCGTCCAGCAGGCGAGTCCAATCGTTCAACGTAGATAATAAGTTAGTGGTGCAGGATCTGCCGGCAATAAAACCATGTTGACAATCTGATATGAGATGGTTAGCAGTCAAGTGATCGATAATCCTATCCCTCACAACAGATTCCATTAGCTTACAAACAACACTTGTCAGACTGACAGGGCGATAGTTGCCGGGGCTGCTTTTGTCACCTTTTTTGAAGAATGGTGTTACTTGAGCTTCTTTCCAGTCGGACGGCAAAGTTCCTTCGATCAAGGTTTTTTGAAAGAATACTGTCAATGGGCCGGCCAGAACGGTTGCTAATTCTTTGAGCAATCTGGGATGGAAGCCGTCTGGTCCACATGACTTGTTGGGATTTAGAGCTACCAGGCGCTTGAGAATCTCTTCTTCGTGTATTTCAAAACATGTTAACTTCGAGCCGACTGGGCGCTCCTCAGTATCTGGAATACTGTTCAAGTCCTCATCTGTGAACACACTGCTGAAGAACTGATTAAGAACGTTAGCCTTGCCCTCATCAGAGGAAATCTTTCGTTGGTCTACTTTCAAATCAGATATACCGTCCTTTGACTTACACTTCGAATTAGCGTACAAAAAGAAGGCTTTCGGATTCTTTTTGGCATTTTTAGCAATATTTTTTTCGAAGTTTTTCACTGCAGTGCGACAAACTTTTTTAGCTTGATTTCGAGCTCTGGCATACAGGTTATAATCAGACTCGCTGCGAGTTCGTAAATAACGCTTATCGAAGGACGAATGTGTGAAATAATTAATTAAATAATTAACTAGTTCAAACAGGAAATACCATAAATTTGTGAGTACGAAGTTCGAGTAAAAATAGTGCTAGAATATATCACGGCAGAATATTAGGCTCTAATAGATTATTAAGCCTACAGCGGACATCAATGTACTGAATGAAATTTTATATCTTGCATTAAAATGCGTTAAATTAGGATTGTTCAAGGGACTACAAGTAAACTTATAAAGCTCAACCTTAAACGAAGAAGTCTGGATAATTAACAGAAAAATTTTATAATTAATCAGAACAATTAACAGAAATCGATTATGATTCATGCTGACCCGCATGACACGCACACCCGCATGACACGCACACCCGCATGACACGCACACCCGCATGACACGCACACCCGCATGACACGCACACCCGCATGACACGCACACTCACGTCAAAAAACTACTTTTGTACAGACGTGAAATTAATTATGCTTAGTTCGTATAGACACTTGTGGCTAGATGCACCGACACGCGCACTTGCGGCATACAAATCACACAGATACACAAATACACTTGCGACATACAAATCACATGTGCCAACACTTGTTAGTTCCAGGGAATAGAGGAAACTTGTAATACGAGCCTGTGTCCTTGGCAAACAGACTTGCCGAGTGGTGTTCTCTCAGTGAAAGCCCTGAAAACTTACATTTGATCAATGTTTTTAAGAAAATTTGTGGGAACATATTTTCTTTCCAAAGGTGCTCATATGATCGTACACTACGCAAGAAAAGAAAGCGGTCATATGTCTACAGAATTTTATTCTACTTCATTGAAATAATCGAAAACTCATTCCCATTAACGTTCTCGTCAAAAACTGGTTTTGTATCTCGGTTGTTGAATCGCATGCGAATTTCGAAAAATATGATGTGTATAGCTTATACAAAAGACCATTTGTGGCGTCAACAGGCGATGAATTAACAATGTAGTGGATAAAAAAATTTTAGACTAGCAGTCAAAATTCGGGTATTTCAGCTGTTTTCGTGAGTTTCGTCAAAAGAATTAAAATTCTTGGTCCACGCATGTCGTAAGTTTTTCGAGCAGAGGTCGGACGATAGCGTGAAGTGTGGCCAACGCAGAAAGAATAATAATAATTAGATTCGGTTTATAAAACATCGTTCCATTAGTTAAAATTTTTTGTCATAAGATTTTAACAGAAAATTTAGAAGACGATTAGAAGACGACTGCTCTCGCGTGCTTTTCGGTTCATTCGTGACTAGTGTTAAAATGAATGACTAATTCGGTGTATAACGGTCACCAGATTAGTATTTAGCAGTTAGGCTTTGGAGTTCTATTAGCTTGAGGTTGAGTTCAAATTAAGGGTTAAGTTTGAAGTTTAAGTTTGAGGTAGAGGGGTTGCTCAGTTACTAACATGCTAACCTGAAATTGAAATTATCTTTGACGATTAATTTTGGTCAAGTTCAAGTTGATTTATTTAGCTTAACCATAATTACCCGGCGCCGGAGGCGAGTGTTGTTTTCATTAAGGTCGTGTGCGTTACTTGTTGTCGTTGAATGTTGCAGAGCCAACCAGTCAATATACGTTGGTATACCTGCAATAAATTGATCGTGCGCCAGGATGCTATTGCACGAATCACGTTTCATGTGCGTTTCATGTGCACGTTTCATCACGAATCACGTTTCATTGCACGAATCACGTTTATGCTACTCGTCGCGTGTGCACAAATCATGTTTCATACAATACACTCTGCAGAGCATAAGGGCTGTTCTTGCACTAAACGAGATTGATGGACGAATATGTGAAATAATTACGAGAAAAAAATGGCTTCAAATACACTTCTTACATTTTTTTCCAAGGCGCGATGGAGTGACCTGCGAACGAAGCGTCATGAGTAGATTCTCTTGGAATTAGCATAGGCGCTCCCCAACTGGCCTTCCATGTCCACTGCTCAGTGCTCACGTGCAACGCTTGCTCCATGTGCACTGCTTATACGTTTGTCTATATATGCACGTGCTTATTAAAGCAGACTTTACGTCATATTGATAATCGACACCTACTCAATTTCCGTTCTGTCGTGGCATCAAGTGAATAGACAAGATAATGCCTCCAAATCACCTCTATCATTTATTTGCAACGATAGCTGCAAGGGCCAAGCTGGTGATCCTCCCGGCGTATTTTTTAAAGCGCGGTCGGTGAAGAAGTTGTGCAGGAGTTTCCTAGCTGCTTGACGGTATCATTAAGTGAAATCGTTTTTATTTGTGTTATATTTAATTTGGTAATCGAATTTCGATTACGTTGCTTTTTCTAAATTATGGCTGACGAAGAACTTATGCAACAGTGTTCGTATTAGTTGTCAAAGAATCATTCAGTGAAATTGTTTTTCTCAGTAATGGAGCCCCGATAAGACTTAATTGGTGCATAATTGAAAACTTAAATATTTGGTGTTTTTCAGTCCAAGACACACAGAAGTAATTTCGTGTAGATTCAGTCATTAAATTATTCTAAAGTTAAGCCCCATGCACCGCGAAAAAAATCTAGCTAGTTCCTCAGTACTTACAGTTTAGCTGAAATTGTAATTATTTGAATCAGTAGTGAAAAAGAAAAAAGAGATTTTAGGTTATGCATCAAAAAAAATCTTGGAAATTGTTAACAGAGGCTAATTTAGAAATGTGAATTGGTCGTAAATTCGTTCTCAGAAAGAAAGTGTTGAACGCAATGCAGAGTGGCCCAGTGGTTACAGTCAGAGTACCAAGATTGGAGCAGAGAGGCGCGGGTTCGATCCCAGCTCTATGCGCCAGTTTCTGGTCAGAATCGGCGAGGAGGCCGGGCGGTTATAAGCACAGCAGAATTGTAGCAGTGCGTTGCGAGTTCGAGACCTCAAAATGCCGTGAATGTTCTGCGATGTTAAGAATCGGCGACAGGCCTACGGCCTAATAAACGCTGAAACTACTATTATTATTATTATTTCAGTTCAAGGTTAACTATTGCAGTAAAAAAGTCAAGCCTCTATTAAACCAGACGATCATTTTAGATGTCCAGCAACACAGTTATGGAGTGATGTATCTGAATGAAAGCATCTTGCACATGTGATAAGCTTCAGGTATATTTGTTGCATGCTAGTTGTTGTTGCATAGTTGTTGCATCACTTGTATGATAGTTGCATGAGAGCTATAAGATGGCTAACGTAACTGCCAAGAGACAAGACTGTGATTGCAATAAAAAGCGCAACTGAATAAAGAAGCGTTACCGGTACACCGTAAACTGTGAAGCGTGGATTTCACAGAGCAATTTTACGCATATTAGCAAACTGAAAGAGTTATACCGAAGTGTATGATATACGATCTACATATAACGTGATTTGAAGATTCTCGGAGTAAAGTTAAGAAATATTGTTATATATAGCTTACTTAAGCTATAAAATATTTCAATAGATGAATGTATTACATGATAAAAATATTGTTCATATTCATAAAAATATTGATTGTTCATGTATCATATGTCATCCGTGCTGTATTTCTGCGTTTATTAGTTTATTTCATTAGTTCTAATTTTGTGTTTTCGTTTTGAATGTGCAGAAAGGCTCCGATATTAGAACTGGCTTCGTTCATTAGAGAAAATAGTTAGTCGGCCTAATGAAAGCGCACGGTTTTGTTTTGTTTATTTATTTGTTTGGTATTCATTGATCAGTGGTTTGAATTATTATTGTTTGTTTATTTATTCAGTTTTATTCATCCTTCTTAATGGCAATAATTATTAAGACACAGTTTTAGGTAAATGTCTGGTGGCCACTGACGGCTTTATTTATCTATCATTTATTCATTGAATGGGCCCCGACAATATATAGCTTACTTAAGCTATAAAATATTTCAATAGATGAATGTATTACATGATAAAAATAAGTCGTATTTCATATGATTAACGAACCATCGTGGAAGGACTACGATATATGTTTTCATTTTGCAATATTGTTTCTGATAAAATATTTGTTTGTAACTAACATGGCGATGATTGGAAATTCAAATGACGCTATATAATGTTTTTCTTAGAAACTTCAAAGAGAAAGCCCAAACTCAAATTTTATTATTCATCACATCGAACAATTGGAATTAATTTCATTAAGAAAATTATTCTATTGAGGCATTGAGTTTGATAGCTCAGGTGCCTAAATCTGGCAAGCAGATTCTTGTCGGTGCCTCGTCGCTCGCATTGTAGTCTTTTTATTGTTGAAGCTGGACCATTCGGTCGTCACTTAGATTGGGTTAGCTTTTTAGCGCATTTTCTCATTCATGTAAAATAGGCGCTATTGTGCTCGTCATGTCCGTCTATCTGTCCGTGACTTCACGTTTTCGTCGATGAGAATGCAGTGAGTACTGATCGAGTTATATATTTTTTACTTTTTTCATTCCATTGTTAATAATATAGGGATTTTTCAGTCCATTTTAAATAGGGATTACCGAATTAAATCACAATTAAGAGCCAGCATCGGACAAACCGGTTAGGCCGTTTATTTTTATGGACGGTTTTCCAGAATAATTCGAAGGAATAGGAAACCTAAAATTGTCCAACATTGTACGTAACATATGCGGTGTAGGGCGTATCACGGTATCTGTCAGCCGGGTTTATTTATGAATAGGGCAACGTAGGGCAGCGCGCCCCCCACTTTTTTTAAACTAAATTTTTGATTTAGTTTTAATTGATACGAGGTGGTTCTTTGTTTTGTTTAAAGATACAACTAATGAGGAATGTATGCTGTGAATTAGACGCCTATATGTTTATTCAATTTTTAATGAAACACTATTTTGTAAAAAGTGTCAAAATGGGCCCATTGCCCCACCCCTGGGGCAATGGGCCCATGGGCTTGGGGCAAGGCGCCCACCCTTGGTCCCTTGACCACAAATGCATATTTTTCGTTTAAAAATGAAAAAGCAACACTTTACAGTTAAAAGTATGAAAATGTAATAAAAAATATGACATTCACTCATTTATTAACAACTCAAAAAATCATATACTTAACTTGAAAAATATACTCTTGGCTTAAAAATCTATCACTGACCTGAAAAAAAATATTTCATTGACATAAAAATATATATCCTTGACTTAAAAAATATATCCTTGCGGTAAAAAATTCGTCCTTGACATGAAAAAATATATTTAGGTGATCAAAAAAACTTCGTTCCAGTTTCGTCCATAATCCAGATATTATGTGCAGAGAATTCGTACCTAATCGTGATTTCACCACAACACCATAAAAACTCATCAACTTTTGGCTCATTGGTGTTGACTGAAATCAACTTTTGGCAAGGCAAGTGTCAATAACTTGATAAGGGGTCATAAATACGCATAACTAGAAACTAAACCTGCTGCCTTGAGGCGGCAAATCAAAAAATCACACAATATGAAATGTAATTTGTAATTCAAAAAGCAAGTCATAGTTTGAAAAAGTCATTGAGATAAATCTAATGATGTATAACACAAGACTTCACCATGGGCGCTTTGCCCCGTGATACGCATGGGCCCGTTGCCCCACCAGGTATCATTTCTATTTATATCGTGTCAACATTTTATTTTAAAAGCTAATAGTCTAAACTTGAACTCAAAATTATCCCTATAAATATTACTTTGAAAATTTAATTCACAGTAATTTCAAATGCTTCATCTACAGTAATCGAAAAAAAAATTTATGTAGCAGCAAAAAAATTTTGATCTGGACTAAAACAGTTATTCACAAATAACTTAATATAACGCAAACACTTAGCAAAACGTAAATCCGTGCACTTCATCCCAGTGAAACTGTCGACCGGCGGTAGAGAACACGGACCAATATCTGCCATACTTAGCGAGAAACCCGCTATGAGCCCATGACCCGCAGTGGGCTCGCTGCCCCATGTTACCCTATAACTATTTCGTTTTTATTGGTTTTAAACATTTTTTGCAGATAGTATAACTATTCTCAATTGACAATATCTATTAAAGAAGAATTCAGTTTTAAAACACATTCAGTTGATGCAGGCAGTATGATTTTTTCATTTCAATTAGATAACCAACAATTGTCATGAACAACCTTACAAATCTTTCAGAGGGAGGAAAATAATTAGGATATTACGATGCCACGTAACTGATAAATTAACGGTCATCTCGACAGTCTACGTTTGAATAAAAACTCTCATATTGATTCAGGTATTTTATCAGTACGAGTTTAAAATGTAACTAAAAAATTCTCACACATGCAACATGAAAATGAAAGTAGAACCAAACTGTATGCAAGACGCGACTGAAATTGTCCATACAATTTTCTTCTTTCTGTGCATTATTATTCTGAAAAATATTATATTATTATTTATTTCTTTTTATTAACAAAAACACCAGAATACTCAATTGAAAATGGAGTAGATAATTTGTATTCGGCTGCGATAAAATTCGAACTGTTTAACTTTAACGAATAGTTCATAACCATGAATTTAATGGAATAGTCAATTTGTTTTCATGGTTGGTGCAGACAGTGTGAGCTCCCAGGCAGCATTCTACGGCCGAACAATTCCGTGACAAAACAACTACGTATCAGGAATGACGTTGCAGTTTCCGGTCACAAACATGACAAATCCTGCAATCAAGACTTGTGAAGTTGACACCAAGTTGGCTGGAGTTGGTTTCAAGTTTTTTAAGTTGGCGGTGGTAACTCTTATGACGCTACTACTGATGTGGAGCTACACGACACAGCATCTGGAGACTGGTAAGAAAATTAAAATTTCAGTTTCGGACGGGATTCTAACGAAAGAAAAAAGAAAGTATCCTCACTCGCAAATGTATTTTAAATTCGCCAAGCAATTGTAAAAATATTCACTTGAATGTTCACTTGTAGGTAGCGTAGCTCAGTGGATACAGTACAGAGTACCATAACTGGAACAGTGAGTTACGGGTTCAATCCCAGCTACCTGCAACAGTTCTGATTAAATCGGTGAGGAGGCCGGGCGGTTGAGCACAACAAATTTTGAGCAGTGAGTTGCGTGTTCAAGACCCGCAACAAGCTGTAAATATTATACGATGTTAAAAATCGGCGACAGGCCTAACGGTCTAATAAACGCTGACACCGTTAATACTATATGTACTACTATCCGTTATATAGAGTTGGCGACTATTGCGTATAGCTCACGAGTCAAGCAGGAGCGATTCAGCATAGGCAGCTATAAGATCGTGCAATTAACAGGTCGACTCATTGACAACTTAATAACCATTTATAATAGCCTTTTTAGCGCATTTTCTCATTTATGGAAAGAATGCCCTTTTGTGCTCGTCATGCCCTTCCGTCCGTCCGTCTGTCCGTGACTTCACGTTTTCGTCGATTTCGAGAAAATGCGCTCTCTGTCACTCACTGCAGTGAGTACTGAGTTACATTTTTTCATTAACAGTGCAGATGTCGAAAATATGCTGAGTGACAGTTTACTCGAAATGATACGGTAAAATCAAGTTCCATTAACAAAATAGGTATGCTTATACTTTTCTACTTTCATTTTTCAAAGTTCTTCAACGCAAATATGCTCGCTATTTTCCACATTAATCCGGCAAATCGAAGCCGTATCATATACATTTATACCACAACTATTTCAGCTATCGGTTTCGTGCGACTGGGCGAGACTGTTGTGTGACCACCAAAGTTTCATAGCACATCAGTAAAGTATTGGTGCTTCTTTTATATCCGATGTGCAGACGACAGAAGACACCGTCAGTACAAACCCATTGCCATCAACATGCCAAATGACAAAGCAAGAACCATGAGCGATAAGGTGAACATTAGCGATCATACCGAGGAATATCATAGCTCCAATTGTCCTGGTAGCCTCAATTACACTGAAAACCTCGTGGTAAACGACACAGCGGCTCAGATTGTGGCTTTGGTCTTGCGGTTGACTTCTATCAAGCGAGCTGACGTCATTGCGCTCCTAGACTCAACGCTACGCAACGCCGCTCCCCAACTGGCCTTCTTGCTCGACGTGCTCCAGGTCAGTTCATCTTAATAATAAAATTTTAATGGAAATAAGTACATAATACACGTAAATAGGATACAAACCACACACAGCAACATAGTGCGTAGGCCGCTTCGTGTATTTAAGCCGCTTCATGTACTTAGGCCGCTACGTGTACTTAGTCCGCTACGTGTACTTAGGCCGCTTCATGTTTCATAGGCCGCTTCATATACATAGGCCGCTTCATATACATAGGCCGCTCCATGTACATAGGTCGCTATGTGTACTTCGGCCGCTACGTGTACATAGGCCGATATGTGTACTTAGGCCGCTTCATGTACATAGGCCGCTTCATGTACATAGGCCGCTTCATGTACATAGGCCGCTACGTGTACTTAAGCCGCTTCATGTACATAGGCCGCTACCTGTACTTGAGCCACTACTTGTACTTGAACGAGTTTGAAATTACGGTCCCAGTCGCTGAATCAGCATGAACGTCTTCCAGGATTTCGATACCCAGCACGCATGTGAGGCCTGCCATGACACCCGCCCCCCGCCCAGGCCGGTGCTGGACGCCCGCATCAGACTGGACCACAATGTCAGCTGGATGGGCTTGTCACTCCCAGCCCTCGCAATGAATCCGCTTGGGCGACTGGGCAATCAAATGGGCGAATACGCTACGCTTTTTGCGTTTAAAAAAATCTACAACACAACCGTGGTGCTAATTCCAACCGAATCGGCTCTGGACGCTTCGTTCGCGGGTCTCTCCATCCCGCATTTGAAAAAGTGTAATAAGAAGTGTATATGAAGCCATTTTGATTATCATGATAATTAGTAAGGGTCGTAAATATTCATATTATTTGGTCAATTAGAATTGCATTTATAATGATTTAAAAATACATAGTTTAAACTTGAAGTATCAACTCGAGATTTTTACTTTGTTAAGAAAATATAGATGCTGGCTCCTTGACGTACGTACGCATAATTTGGAATTACTATTAGTGTAAACATAGTCAGTAAGGCAAAAAAGGTCAAGTATTGTCTAGCGACACCTCATATACTCGTAAGTGACTTCTCTAAAGGCTTTTATGGCTACGTTTTATTGAAATAAATGACTGACTGACTGAGAAAAGTTTGTGTACAAATCATTAATTCGTTAAGCAATGTGTTCCTGCTAAATAATTAATGCAGAGAATTTGAGTCTCATTTCATTGCAAACTAGTGCCTAAAAGACTGTATACTAAAGAGTAGTCTTGTACAGTGTATATACTAGTCTTAGCATTCGATGTGTTAATGTTAACCAATCAGATTATTTATCTCTGAAGAGTTTCTTAATTTTAAGAGTTTCTCAATTTTCAAGAGTTTACAATATTTTAAGATTTTCTTAAGTAATAAGTTGAAATCGAATCATGTCCATCACTCGCACATGCCTGCAGTTAATCACACAGCATGGCGGCCAGTATACCGTGATGACGCGGTTAATTTTAAGAGTTTCTCAATTTTCAAGGGTTTACAATATTGTAAGATTTTATTGAGTAATATTTGAAATCGAATACGTGTCCATCACTAGCACATGCCTGCAGTTAATCACTCAGCATGGCGGCCAGTATACCGCGATGATGCGGGTCTCTACACTTACCACGCTACGCACCTCGCCGCTGCAGGGCTCTTGGGACCACACCTTTTCCTGCTCATGGGTGAGTCTTCCTTATGACCAATCTGGTCAGAATAACTTTAAGATCATATTTAAGTAAATAATGACTGCGGTTGTATGGTTTTTATTTAATCTTACATTCCGGCCACATTTTAATGAATTTGTTTGCATTTTGTTGTAAATATTTGTGATGTTAATAAATGAATATACAATTATTGATAATACCTGTATAATTTGATAATAATACATCTTATTATTGATAGCAAATAGTATAATTATTAAACATTATCATTAGCTAGCAACTTGCAATAATAATATTTTAGAGGGGCTGTAACCTTCCTTAAGTAGGCCTAATAGTGCCACTGCCCTCCAGTAAAGTTTCAGATCATTCAAGTGATGCTATGAAATTTGATTAGCATCACTCATCCAGATTACCCGTTCGAAGCCGCTGTTTTCGGCGCCTACAAAACAGAACTCATCAAGGAATTTTCTTTTAATGAAACCGTCATGCGCCAGGTGAATACATTTCAATCTTTGATCCGAAAAAATAGAAACTGTTGTAAATAAATTATTTGTTGATCGACGGCAGGTGGGTTAATATCCATCTTCAAGTTAATAATGCTACATTCAACCTTTCATTGCATATTATTCATTCCCGTTATAGTATAGAATTTTTCAGACAGTCAATGAGGATAAGTTTCAATTTTTTATCCAAGATGTGTACATAAATCGGAAAAATTCGAACAAAGGGTATAACATAACATAACATAGTGATCTCGGCGCTGCAGTGTAGGCCTGATGTGGCCTGTCGCCGATTCTTTTCCTTTTCGTGCCTTGTGGAAAGGGACAGAGACTAATTCAAGAATTTACGACAGAGACTAATTCAAAAAATGCTGAAACTCTCAATCATATTGAAATGATCACTCATACTAATTTTAGAACATCGATGAGAAAATCTTTGGCGTGAATTAACATTTTTATGCAAAATTTAAGCGTGCTGTTTTTTTTTCTTTTTGAGATGCACATTTTCTGCATTTATACTTTCTACAACCATGCCGAATATAAGATAAATCGATAAGAATTACTTATTTGATATTCGAAAAGATCAGGCACAATTGTGACCATTTTAGCATCTCAATGCATATCTGTTAGACAATGTTGCAATTTTTAAGATTCGAAACTTCTATAGGATTATGAAGATTACGAACAACATTCAAAGTCATATTATTTTACAATTAGGTTCATTTCTTTAATACGGCCAAAAAATTCAGAAAATATATTATATCGGTTCAATTTAAATGTGCGTCATTACTTTATTTAAAATTTTATTTTATTCAACTTATTTATTACTATAATTATTATGAATTTTTTTAGGCGGAGGCTCGCCTAGAAATTGCGAGAGGGATCGCCACAAACGCTACATCAGGTCAAGGGGATCCTCAGGTTTTGGTTGGTGTGCATGTGCGCCTCACAGACTACCCGGACTACGTGAGAAAAGTCAGTACCTTCTCAAGATAAGGGTAGAGGAGGACCTAGCGAATGATGGGATGAGTGTTTGTTGTTGGATTAAGAAATGTTCAAAACATCAACAGCAATGCAAGAAAGGTTTTGCCAACCTCCAATACCGAGTACAAAAAGTATTTGTTAACGCTGAAGATGTGCCTTTTTAGCTCATTTATGCGGAAAAAAATGCCCTATTGTGCTCGTCATGTCCGTCCGTCCGTCCGTCCGTCCGTCTGTCCGTGACTTCACGTTTTCGTCGATTTTGAGGCTCTCTGTCACTCACTGCAGTGAGTACTGAGTTATATTTTTTTGGATAAAAGACAAAAAACTTTTTGTGCACTTTTATTTGGATGTATGCGGTTACTTCTTACATTATTTACAGGCCTGGATCTACGTACTTGACTTCTACTGTTTACTTGTCTTCCAGCTCCGCATCCGCAGACTGACAGTGAGCGACCGGTGTTGTCATGACATCTTGAGAGTAGTTGACCTGATTTTCCGTGCTTTTCCGCCTGATTCTATCCAGCCATTTCTTGCGAAAATCCGCTCTCTCTAAAGGGGTGGAATCTTTCTTCACAATAAAACGGACTTATATTCAACAGATTATCTTAGCTTTCTCTCTGCCTTCAGAACGCTCCAAACCCGATCAGGATCCTTTAAAGTTACCAACAGAGGTCTGCAGGTGTTGACAGCAGCGTAATTCGAACGTAGCCGCTTGCACGATGTAATATTAACCCGTGTGCTGAGAGCCTTGCAATAAATGCAGTATCAGCCCTCACTCAGATGGAATTATGTAAAAAGTAGACTCTCAAAGGTATGCAGCAGGCGGGGACCGATGTGATGCGTTCAGAGCGGAAGAAGATAACAACACGGCAAATCATGTCAATATAGATGGGAATCAATGAACAGCATCCAAATTGGTAGGTACACCAATGGACCAGTGGGTGGCGGAAAGGTATTTATGATGTTTCACCAGCGCTTGGCAGGGGGCGGCAGTTCAGAAGTATCAAGTCCCGTAACAAAGGTAAGGTGAAAGCAAGTCACAATATACATAGTGACACAAACTTGTGCGGGCTCAACGGGGTAGGGAAAAGTTGACTTGCTTTTTCTCCCGTTTATTGACGTAAGCTGAGTGACGTAAGCTGAAAATAAGATTTAATATTAGTTAATAGGTCGAGATAGACATACATGAAACTTAAACTAAGCAGGGGGTATCCGACACTTCTATTCTATTCTAATACATGGATACAATAGGCTTAATAAGCTATAACATCATAAAATAAGGTAACACCGGGAGGACTCGTGGAGCAACACATTACTCGCTCGAGCTCTAGACACGCACTGACGGTGACGCTGCTAGTAACGCGGGAACCGCTTGACTCTTGAGGGCTCGCTGCGTTCATATGGTTATAATTTCGTTGATCCGATCCTTGCGATATTTTCCACGCACTTGTGGAGTGAACGCAGGGATGAGTGAAGATTTGAAGAAAGAATAGATGAGGATAAGGAAAACTTAGTGCGTTGAATCTGACGAGTGACGAACGACGTCACACATAGCTCTGCGATGTGACGAGGTAAAGTGAATGCACCTACTCTGCCGCAGCACTGAGGTCGCCGGCCTTCGAAAGAAATGATCCAGTTTATTAACAAAACTTAGATAGGCCTACAATTTTCTAGCTCTATCGTAAAAGCTTCTCATTTATTTTGTGGCAATCCAGCCCAGAAAATCGTGATTCTCTCTAGTATTATACGCATTTCATTGAAAAGTGGCGCGTTAAGTACAGTAGCTGCAGAGTGCGACTTATGTGGCATTAACGGTAAAGATAATCGGGAACCTCTGGAAGGGGTTATAAACTTCATTCCGTAAACTGTGGGAGAATTAGTGGTCACTTACAGTTTTTTCAATGGTACTAGCCTCTCAAATTTTACATTTAGAGGTATTTTCAGAAATTTGCTCTGAAGGACATCCAGGCTCAATACGAAGGCTACTTGAAGAGGGCCACAAATTTTTTCCTTCGACGTCACGCCAACGTCGTCTTCGTGGTCACATCAGACGACATCAAATCTACCACGAAGATCTTCCTCAAATTGGGGGTCAACACAACCTACATATCTCAAGGTGGGAGATTCGATCAGTTAGCAGGATCTCCCGACCTACCACTTCTTACGTACCCCTTTCTTGATCTACCCCTCTCCCGACCTACCTTCCTTTGCACCACCTGCGCGTGCAAAATTACGACCCTGTCGGTCGCAGACTTCAGTGCCACAAACAAGAAAACCATATTATATTATATTTATAGTGTTGTCGGCGCTGTAAAATAGGCTTGGTGAGGAGTGTGACCACAGAGTGCTACAGAGCCTTGCCTCCTAAGTCACTCGTGTATGCGCCGGATGCATTTTTCAGATGGTAGTCGCTATGATCGAGTTCAGTACTATATTCGCATAGGGTTCGTATGTGGCGTTCGATAACTTTATTAGTAGGTGCGGTGTCATGGCCGTGACAGCAAGAGTGAATACAGGTGAAGAACTCGTGTTCAAATGTGCCTTTCACATGTTTTTTTATGGACGTGAGGGTTCTATTCTGCCAAGTGTGACTCTATATTAGTTATTCTACCATTCTATTCAAACTGCGATATTTTGTGTTGTCTGCAATTGGTGTTGGAGATGATGAGATGCATGAAGTGGTGGCAACGAACGTGTCTATTGATCGTGTGACAACTTATGAACAATTCATTCGCCCGAATATTTTCTCAGTCCGAGCTTCAAGCAAACCTGCATTTTATGGCACGGAACTAAAAAAATGTTATAGCATAATTTTACGAAAAAGTTATCAATCCGCAGTCCAATCTTCGAGCCTCATCAGCTCGGTCGGCAACAATTAAGTGAGCTACTGAAACTCGGCCATAATATTAATACGCGGAATGTAATCGACTAATCGTTACCTCTTGTCGATACAACCAATAAATAGCTATCAAAATAGGGTTGTCATATTTAAAGAACACGAGTGAAGGCTTTGAAAAATTATGAGTGGTATTTGAATTATTGTTTTGTCCTATTCTGGAATATTAAATGAAGCCATTCAACACGTACATCATATTGTTTCATAATTTTCATTCCGTTTATTGCCATCCCTGAATTAGGGTTACCGCTTTGTTTGCCTGATTTTGATTCGAATTAATCAAATTGTAGATTTACTCAATTCGGTGACATTGTGTCACCACAACATCATCACTCATACGACCATTTCTGCAGGTAGTGCAGTAGAGGACATGTGCATGTTGACATTGTGTCATCACCACATCATCACCCTCGGCACCTACGGCTTCTGGACAGGCTTCCTGGGCCCCGGCATCACAATTTACCCTCAGCTCGACCCAGACTCCGGTTACCCCTTCACCAAATCTTTCTACGGCGCGGCCGGACTCGCTAATTTTATACCGATGCCTTTTTCCTAGCAGAATATTGTTGTTAATCATTAAAGTATGGCATTTCTAAGTCGTTATTAGCTTCCTCACGGTTACGGAAAAAATCAATAGTAACTATCGGTGATAATTACAAATTATTAGAATTAGAGATGTACCAATGAAACATTGAATCTCCGTTTTTGATTGAATCCTTTCCTCCCAGTTTTGCATTGCCATGTTATTTTCTTACCAGGAATACATTTTTAGGTGCAGATAATATCCCGACACGATAAGTATCCTGGATAGGCGACTTAACAGCCTCCAGACATTCGCAGTGACAGACCAAATTTGTACGAATTTATATGTATAATTTATGATATATTCGCATTTATAGCAATAAAATCTGATGAATATGTAATGGATAAATAACACGATTTATACGAGAAGAGAAATCCCAAATTTTTCAACACTTCCCTATTGTAGTCGCGACACTAAACTGCGGTGTTGCCGGAATAGCACGACGCCAAGTGACAGGTCAGCAAACTATAACGCTTGAATTTGTTTCTTTTATTGTATCAAAATATTATTTAAGACCAGAATTTTCATATAGATCGAACTTCCCAATTAACTTACTGATTTCTATCATATAATTTACCCACAAATTTATCATAAAAATTCCTAGCAATGCACACACAACAATAACGCAACAATGTAAAAAACACAACTTTCTTCTCGCGCACAAAAGCTTGGCACATTTGTAGTGACGAATATTTTCGGTCACTATGTTTATAGAGACGAAATTTTAGGTCAATATATTTAAAGTGACCGATGCATCACGTGTATAAAATAGTAACCGATATTTTCATACAGAAAAATAAATGAGAAAATAAAATCGGGATAACACTGTCTGTGTGTAACTGGTTATGATACCATCTTTAAAAGACGTTTGCAGTTGAAGTTCATAGTAAGGCACTTGCATTGAAAATAACCTTCCCCCGTCCATATATAAATTTTAAATATTCCAGTATACAATAAAATCACTGAGTGAATTATTCTTACGCATGAAGATAACGGCATAAAGACTTGAAAATAATAATTGAATCATCATTACAAAATGTAGAAAAATTACGTAAAATTTTAAAGAGTGTCTCTTCAATAAAATATCTGACAGAGTTGCAATAATTTATCATGTAATTTCACGCCAATAAGTGTAGACTTTTTGTCAATTAATAATGGGATAATCGTGGGATGAAATAAAGTAACTGGCAGTAGAAACTGGGGAGGAGTCCAAGCTCCCCCTACAGGGAAAACAGGCCGGGAAAAGTAACAGTACGTGCAATTTCCAAACAAATAAATTAAAATTCTTAACAATAACTCATAGCAGGTTGACCAACACATCACACCTTCGACTGATGAACATTGAAGCCTCAGAAATAAACTCACCTTGACTTGAATAAACTCACAAGCCTCTCACCTTGACTAGGAAGTAAATAGAAAATAATAACAGCTGGATTTTCTTCTAAAATGTCGTAAATGTGTAGGGTCTTCGGGCTAAAAATATTTCATTTACAATTATGACTGATCAACAATGATTAAACTCAACTAACGAGTTGTGGCCGATTATGGACGACTATAAAACAATTCATGAATCAGGGCTGAGGAAGATAGCGTGAGGCCGCCGTGGAAAACGCTGGTGTTTCTAAATTTCTCTATTCTGATTAATCGCAAATCGACGGCGTGTCAGAGTGAGCAAACACTAGCAATAATAAGCAACATGACACTCCGTGCATGCATCCCGTCAAATGCTCCAACTGCAACATCCTGCCAGCTCTAATATATGCCACTTTAACAAGATCGAAGAAGAAATAATAGATGTTTGTTTTAGTGGCCTTAGGTGCTAGCGCTTCAGATCAAGCTATCTCGCGCTGAATGTCGCGTTGGGCATCATGGACGGAGATAAGGGTACATCACATGCCGGGTTATACACTATCGAACACATTTATTGTCCTCAGGTATTCTATGAGTCGATCAACATTATAATGGCCATGTTTTGGTTGGGCCAAGATACTTTGCGAAGGCGGGTGAGGCATGCCTCCACCCGGCGCACGCGGCGAGACGAGGACGGCCAAGGCCTTGCATTCTCTTTCATTTGTCGGAGTTTGTTATTTTCGAGGCGCGTCCACTCTCCCTGACACTCGTCCAGTAGTTTCTTGAGGAAGATGGGGTAATGATCCCGGTGGGGTACTTCATCATTCCGATGTGGCGTCTCTTCAGCCGCTGCACGGAGTAAAATCTCATCCGCGGCTTCTTGCCTGCTATTTGAACATGGCCGGGGACCCAGCAGAATGTAACAGTCTTTCGCGTGCACTGAGTAGGATAAGCCATCTATACATGGCGGTCACCAAGGGATGCGACGAGTTGTAATGCAATAGCTCTTGGATGGCACTCTTTGAGTCGCCGAATATACAGATCTCCAGGTCCGTGCTCTCCTTATTAATTACAATGGCACATAGAATGCCGCATAGCTGTGCAGTAAATATTTAGGAATAGCCATGTAACTTCAGCGAGCTCCTCGCGGCGCATCCAACTATACTATCGTCTTTGGAGCCATCGATGTAATGGGCATATCACGTCTGTGACATGCGCTGATGTCATCGAGGAACAGAGACCTAATGTCATCAGTTTAGGGATCGCTTTTTCTGCTCTGCATAAAGCCCAGGGCAGACCATGGAGGGGAAAAGCGACCAGCGAGGGGTGTTGCAGAAGCTAATGGGTTTAGTCTGCACAGTAAGATGCAGACGGGCACAGGCCTCGCGATTCGAAAGACTCCTTCACTCGACAGGCCCCCGCGTTCCATTGGTGTCTAATGCCCAGGCAAGAGGGGGAGTTTGGTAGCTGTTGGGCTCTTGCAAGGTACTGCAGTATATGGAGGTCTCTTCTTGCGCTTAGTGGGAGCTCTCCGCTATCAGCGTAAAGACTGAGGACTAGCAAAGATTGGAACGCACCAGTGCACAATCGGGGGGCGCTGTTGTGGGCAGGATCCAGCAGGCAAGGAGCTGAGGCTTTTGCCAAGAAATAATAGCGATAATATAGAGTTCGCTCCCTGGAACGTGTAACCAAAGTTCACAGCTGACATGTCAACGACGCCAGTTGGTCGGTGATGAGCGACACGTATGGCAGCGACCACTTCCCTACACAGATTGACTTCGCGATACGCCAGACCTTACCAACTGAGCCCAGATATATCACGGAAAGAGCCGACTGGAAGACCTTTAGAGCACTAACCCGCATGCCGGAACCAAAACTGGACTTGCCAGTAGACGAAATGACAAGAGACGTTACAGACACCATCCGAATGGCAGCGAATGTAGCGATCCCTCGCTCCAAAGTAGGAACAGACCGCCACCGTGTCCCATGATGGGACGATGACTGCACTTGCGCAAACCTAGAAAGAAAACGGGCCTTAAGCCCTTTCAGCGCGCTGGCAACATTGTTGATAAAATAGCATATAAAAGAGTAAGAGCAATCGCCCAATACATTAAAAACACAACCCGGAAAGAAGCCTGGAAGCGCTATGTCTACTCGCTGAACTCTGAAACACCCCATGCCCAAAATATGGCAACGCATCAGGAAGACAGGGCTTTACCGACCGTATCTGAGGATCAACGGCGCGCCGACGACAGACCTGCAGGTGTTGGCTACGGAACTGGCCCAATACGTCGCTGATATTAGCAGTGGACGACACTACCCTCGCCCGTTCCTTTATTTCTAACTCCAACAAGAACAAGAACATTTCGAAGACACAATTTTCGAAGACACAATGTGACCTGCTCCGAGAACTCTAGACCTGCCTTGAGTACACCAACTTGATACCACGCATACTAACCTCGCGACCCAGCCGTATCCTCGCGACATCGTACCTTGACCGCTCAACTGAGCGATGGGAATCTGCGAGCGGACATCCGCATTAGGAGTACAAAACTGACTACAACCTCCATTATCGTCCGAGTGAACTAAATTATAAGTCTGATCAACTCGAGAACGACGACGCTATGTAATGAGAGTTTGACCTTCGGCGCGAAATAGATTAAGATTTTCTGTAGCGCTAGAAACCTACAACTACTACCAAGAATGAATGTTCCATTAGGGCGACGCACTATACATTATCTGCCAGTTTTATGAGGGCGCTAGTAAAAACTAATTAATTTTCAAATCCCCTCCGTGCGTGCGCCGGACGGTCAAGCGCGGGGCCCCCTGCTCGTCCAGCACGCAGAAGCAGGCGTAGTTGAGCAGCGGCAGCTTGAGCAAGTGCTTCTTCAACAGCTGCGCCTGCTCCTGCAGTGTAGGAGGAGACTGCACCTGCTCCTGCAGGGCAGGAGGCGCCTGCACCTGCAAAAATATTTCCGTTTGCTAAGTGTCCCAAGTGCAATGTGTCGTTTACCTTCATGAATGCGACAGCAAGAGATAAAACTACAGACAGTTTTCTTTAGCTGTAAAGAAATAACTCTTTCACAACTTATGGAACAATAATACAGCCTCATACAGGCATCATAACCTGTCAGTTTGAAAATCTGCTTACTTTATATTTCTGTCGTCACTCAGGATCGTTTCCCCTATCACGACATCAAGTGAGTAATAATGAGACAAATGCAACAGTTAATTCCTAATTACGTGTGTTTAACTTCCTCCCATAACTTCAGTTCGGACAATAATAAACTAATACTTTAAATTTTTATGTAGAGTTTAAGTTAACGAGTATTGTATCCAATGCTGCTTCATTTCAGGTGTAGTGATGATGTTTGCCTACATAGATCACCTGCAAAGTAGTGATGAGGGTGATGCTGTGGGGGATGTTTGCCTGCATAGATCACCTGTAAAGTAGTGATGAGGGTGATGCTGTGGGGGATGTTTGCCTGCATGGATCACCTGCAAAGTAGTGATGAGGGTGATGCTGTAGGGCTGAGCACCTCCGCCCCTCACGGCGTCCAGGGCGGTGATGAGGGCGATGAAGCCTCGTGCAGTGAGATGAGGGCATCGTAGCATCACATACTGAGCGCGTGACAGCAGCTGCAGTACAGCTTTCACCTGCTGCACCTGCTGCGTTCGCTGCACCTGATGCAATTGCTCCACGTGCTGCACAGGGAAGCTTTATTCAGAAAAATGGATAGGTTATATTGTGACAGGCTTCTTCATGTGACCACATTCAGAACCAAAGTGGTCACATGAAAATGTGACCCAAACCACACTTTGGTTTGGGTCACATCTTCACCCAAACAGTGACAGGCTTCTTCATGTGACCACACAGGATGATCCGCATAAGTCTCACTACATTCTACGAGTACTAATGATGAGATGAAGAGCCCTCAGTGCTTCACACGGTAGTTATGCGCACATATACGCAGACAGCATAAATTCACGCGGACATAAGTGGGGCTAAATATCACGAGCCTAAAAATAAAAAGATGCACAATACATCTAACTCATTTTGTTCTTGGATTATAGAGTCAGATTAGTAACACATTCACCCAGCGACCTGCTGCCGCCAGAGATCTTTTGCCCCCAGCCAGCTGGTTCCACTCAGCCACCTCGTCACCCCCAGCCACCCCGTCACCCTCAGCCACCCCGTCACCCCCTCCAGGCACCCCGTCACCCCCAGGCACCCCGTCACCCCCAGGCACCTGGTCGCGCATGTCGAGGCAGGTCAGGTGCAGGCGCAGGTCGCGGGTAGGCGCCAGCAGAACCTCCAGGGCGCCTTCCTGCGCCTCGTAGCAGAACGACACGAGGGCGCTCTCGTAGGCGGCTTGGACGAGGGACGCGAAGTGAGGGGGCAGCCCCTCAGGATTACCCTCAGAGAACTCGCGGACATCGGCGCCCTCAGTTACGTTGATGATGAGCAGCTCGTGGCCGCTGGGCTTGTGCTTCCTGAGGGCGTCAAGACGTTCCTGAGGGAGACGTGCCCTTAGCGGGGCGCCTTCGTGGGCAGCTGGACTTAGTGGCTGCGCCCCAGCAGCTCTAAGGCAGGTAAGGGCCTCCTCGGCCGAGACGGTTCCTCCTTGCACTATCAGCCGTTGCACCTGCAACGCCTCCTGCCGCAGCTGCAAGCAGTTGCAAAGATAAGCAATGAATGAACATTCATTGTATAATGTATAGTGACATTAAAAACTGGAATATCTTAAATACTACCAAAACAACAGAAGAAAAACTTTTATGTAAACAGCTTTGCGACCATTAATGATGCGATAGGATCATGTAAATTAATCTTTATTAATCGAATAAATGCCTGATACTGAGAACGTTGCACTATGGGTGTTAACCTAAAAGACTTTGAGACTGAATGGCCAGAGGTTGAAAGACTTTGTGGTAGAGAGTGTTTAAGCCAATTGGTTGCGAGACTGCGAAGCTGTAAGCAAGAAGTGAAAAAATATAGTGATGCTGCAAGGCTGAAAGACGTTACCAGAAAGCTCGAGAGGCTATGAGCCGAAATGCTGAGAGGGCTATAAGCTAAAAATTTTAAAAGCAGTTAGGCTGAATGTCCGTGAGGCTGGAGGTACCTGAGACTGGATCTCTGTGAGGCTCCAAGGTGCCGGAGGTCGCGCCACAATGAGACGCGAGAAAGAGCCACAGCTGCTCGTGAGGCTGGAGAGGAGGCTCGAGCACCAGCTGCGCACCACTTGAGGCTGGTGCTTCACGCCGTAGTCACTCACGAACTTCAGGACGAGGCAGCGCACGTGCAGGCTGGAGGGCACGGAGGGCGCGGCGACCCCCGCGTCAGGAGGGTGGATGCCGTGTAGGCGCAGCACGCGCAACTCGCGTACACCAGAGAACAGCGACATCACCTGACCAACAAACAATTATAAACAATAGCACGCAAAATGCATACGCAGTTGCTAATTATAGTAGAGTCAACAGACCTGCAGTCACGGCATGACCAATCTGAAAGACATTTGATTTTCTAATATCAACCATGAGTCCAGGACATCTTCTTGTCCATAAAGGTTGTGCAGTAATCTTTGAGACTCAAAGCCGCTGGACATTAATCTTTGAATCCCAAAGCCGCTGGGCGTTAATCTTTGAATCCCAAAGCCGCTGGATATTAATCTTTGAATCCCAAAGCCGCTGGATATTAATCTTTTAATCCCAAAGGCGCGGGACATTAATCTTCGAATCCCAAAGGCGCGAGGCAATAATGTTTGCGCCCCACGGAGGTAAAGTACCTGCAGGGCACCCGGGTAACGCAGCGCGAGTCTGACGTAGCAGGAGGGCGGCACGGCGCACGGCTGGTCTGCCACGTGGCCGTGGGCTTGTAAGGCGTTGCTATGTGAGGGCTTGCTAGGGTCTTGGACGATGTTGTCTTGTGGGGGTTTATAGGAAGACTGCGCACTGTCACCGTGTGGAGTCTTGATGAGGTCTACACTGAGGTTGAGCCAGCGCAGGGTCTGAGGACACGACTGCAGGAGGGTCTGAACACTGTTGCAACTATAGACCGTCACGCGCAGTTCCTTCAGTGAAGAAAACCCGCCTTCCTGCAAAAAATAAACGGTAGGAATCGCAGTTACAAAAAAAAAAAAAACAGTGGATCTACCTGGAACAGAAAATGCTGCATGCTTCCAACACCACAATGTTGTTTGAGCATTCAAGAAAAAAAAACTTGATAAATGCATCAATAAATTCAAGAATTTAACTGTCAGTATTACTATTTTGGCCAAATCCATAAGACAAAGTAGCTATGGTAAAGTAAGAGATAATATGCTTGCAAAATAGCTATATACCAGAAGAATTACAATACACCAGTAATACTACCCGTCCAATAGCAATATGCCTGCATTACCTGCAGAATAACAATATACGAGCAAACTAACAATTAACCTGTAGTGAGACGGGCGGCAGGGCGAGAGGACCGACGAAGGAGGTGACGCTGAGCCGTGACTCGTGCAGACGTCGGGCGACGTCTTTAAGGCAGTTCACCAGCGGGGCGCGGCCGTACTTGTAGTCCCGTCGGTTGTAGTACTCAGTGATCTGTGGTCAGGACGGTCATATTACTCAAAAAGTAATGGTTTATTATTACGTACTCTTTTTACTAAAAAAGCAATGGGTTTGATTGTTCTTAGTGAGCAGCAAGATCGGAGGTAGCACTGATTATGTACCTATACGTAATTTCGCTTGGCCCAAGTCTGGGAACTAGCATAAGGCCGCCCCAGTAAAAAAGAGGAGCCATCTTTAAGCCCACTTTCAAGAAGACTAGGTTTTCGAATATGGCAGGTTACTAAGAAAAATACGGTTATGTCTGTTTACATATTTGCTGACCATAACTTGGCAGGGTTTGTTTAGCTGCAGCAAGCAGCACAGCGCCTGCAGCAGCAGGTCGAGGCCTTTGAGCGTGTCCAGGTTGCATCGGTAGTTCAGCTTCATCAGTGGTAGTCGCTCCAGCGTCTCCACGGACCCTGAAAAATATCCCGGATTAAACATAGTTCTTTGTAGATTGTTCCTTCAATCACAACTTATTAAGAGTCCATTGATACAGCTCAGTAAAGCCTGCATGGCCTGCTCACCCTGCATGGCCTGCTCACCCTGCATGGCCTGCTCACCCTGCATGGCCTGCTCACCATGCATTGCCTGCTCACCCTGCATGGCCTGCTCACCCTGCATCGCCTGCTCACCCTGCATCATGGCCTGCTCACCCTGCATAGCCTGCTCACCCTGCTTACTGAAGAGCGCCACAATCTTGTGGCACAGGCGACTGAATTCCTCGTAAGCGGCGTCGCTGAAGGACTTGACGTCCAGGATCCAGCAGGTGTACTGCAACAGGTGTCGCAGCACCAGCTGCACGGCCATCAGATCGCCACTCGCGGACTCCAGCACGTAGAATATATGCAGCCAGAGCTTACATTTCGAGTAATTTACGCGTACGAAGCCTTCTTGCTCCAACGTCCAGTCCAGAGGTCGTTGAGTTCTCCAGTGCTTGGCGTTGCTGTAATCATTTCTCACATTTTTATAGCGATATAAGCCCAGCACAACAGAAAGATAATTCTCTATGATGTTCTGGTGTTTCTGCAAGAGTCCGCGTTCGTTCCAATACTGTAAGACGAACGTAAAAACTCTTTGGAATCTGAGCGAGTGTCTTAGCCACCGCCAGGAAGCTACGTGCGGGTTGTTCACTACGTACATCGCGGCGCAATATTCTTCAACGCCGAGAGATTTGAAGTAAAAAGAACCATTGCGAGGGCCCACAACGTAAGCTGGAACTTGGCGTCCATTGATGTGTTCGATGATTTGTTTGTTTGCTAGGATATTGTTGAAGGCAGCTTCGTAGTAGAATTCTCCATCTAGTGAATCATCTTTATCACGAGTCAAGCGTTGATGGCTAGTTTCGACGAGCTCTCTCATGACCTGCAAATCAAGGTTCCGTACAACAGTAGACGTAATGCGTTGGAATATTGAGAGAGCGTGGGGACACGTGAGCAGTTCCTTGTCCTGGAACTGCTGCAGTAAACTGTACTGCGTGCTGTGTCGGGAGTTCCAACCACGCACCTCCTCCCGCACTTGTTCTTCCGTCAGGGGCAGCAACGTCACCGACAACTCCTCCTTGTGCAACACGTCAGCCACTGCACGCACTGCAACACGAAATATAACTTTGCTAATAATAATATAGTTAATTACAGAATAACTCAAGGTAATATAACAGTAAAGATATCTCAGGGGAGCAAACACATAATGTAAAGCAATGCAACAGGAAAGACAAACGCAGTGGAGTAATCTCCCCTAACTTAAGGCAATTCCAAAGAGAACGGTTTCTATGCTACGCTATATGAATAAACGGTAATGGAATTGTGATTCTGCATCAGGTTGAAGCACAAACTCAATGGGTAATATTGTCCAAAAAGACACTTTCTTACCCACCGCATGAGCAGAGAATGCCCTTATGCCAGACCTAACAGGGCAAGAATAACCTACACAAGTGCCAAGAAGTGCATCGCTATTTGAACAAGGCCTCGCACAGTTCTGTGAGCGCAGGCAAGACTGACCATTAAGATCAGCATTGAGGATGCCATCTGTGACCACCCAGCCGCTGCTGGCAGCGCAGGGCCAGCGGTCGTAGCCGCTCACAGCGTCCACCAGCACCAGCGTCTCCCCGAGCATCGCCAGCACAACTGCCTCCACTTCCGCCTCACCGTAGTCCTGGACCGTGCAGGGGGCCCACTGCCGCACCACAGCCATCACAGGGTACTCTGTGGTGAAGATACGAGCGTCACCACGCATCACAGTGTACTCTGTGGTGAAGATACGAGCGTCACCACATACCACAGCCATCACAGGGTACTCATTCGTCACACATATCATCACACCACAGAACGGGGCGAATTCCATTCAATTTTTTATTTATTCTTGTTATTTCACCAATAAATTTAAACCCTACATATCAAAATCTACTTTCAGAAACTTTCCTGAGCAACTCAACATACTGCGGCAATGATCAGGCACAGGCACAAAAAACGCACACACACATACATACGAACAGATAGATAAAAAAACACACAGGGCATGGGAATGCCATAGCCAAACGTTTATTTCGAAAACGAGAACTGCACCAAACCCCGCTGTAGATTAATCTATTGCTTTTGTTTCTTTTAAGGGTCTTTCATCATGGCTCAGTTTACTTCCGAAATATCTTACTATCATCAGCAGGCAGCTGGTTGAGGGGCGGCAGGCAGAGTCTGAACTTCGCTGCCAGGGATGAGGAAGGTTCCGCCCACGCGGCGTAGAGCTGCAGCAGGAAAGACGTGCGGCCGCTGCACACTTCCCCTCTAACCCGCAGCCCTCCCATCAACATCCCGTGCAGCTCCGATGTAGTGCACTCCCTCCTGCAACACGCAACATATTCGGCATGATATTTGATACATCTGCACCACCAATAACCGATGCACCACCCATGGATCTTCTGCACCACCAATAACCGATGCACCACCCATGGATCTTCTGCACCACCAATAACCGATGCACCACCCATGCATCTTCTGCACCACCAATAACCGATGCACCACCCATGCATCTTCTGCACCACCAATAACCGATGCACCACCCATGCATCTTCTGCACCACCCATGCATCTTCTGCACCAAACAAGCACCATCAGCACTACCAGTCCCACCTGTACAACCAGAGGAGCGCAGCCGTGTACATTAATTTTGTGCACCAATAAGCCCTGAATTGAACGCCTTAGATCTCTCCGGACATCCACCAATCAGCCGTGAAACACTCTGCTTTGTCCTCCTTCGGCCTTGCCTATAACCTGCCGTGTACCACCAGGCCGCGGATCGAATATGACTTCCGGGCATCGTTAAATTACGTAATTTTACGTTCACCGTATCTAAGGTTAGGTTTCAGATAGCATAGTTCTGTTCCAAAATTTATCATCCTTTGACAGGTGGCCGTTTGTCCGAAGTCTGGTTCGACGCACGGCCTAGATATGATCGTCCAGAAGTGTTAAAGGCTACGTTTCAGAAGGCAGGAATCATGATGGTCCATTACATCCAGGGCAGTGGTGGTCTTCGGCTGGCGACCCCTACCACCAGTAACAACCGAGCACCCGCTGCACCACCTCATGCACCTCTCCAGCACTTCATGCACCACCAACACCTCCTGCACCACCAGCGCCCCCTGCACCCCTCACCCTGAGGGCAGCAGGAAGCGTCGCTCAATGAAAGCCTTGCGAGGTGCCCGGCGCCGCAGCTCCGCTTGCAGCTCGCCTGTAATGTTAAACAACTGCTATAACAACTGCTTAACAACTGTTAAGCAACTGCTAGAAGTTGCTACTTTGATAACAAAAGGGCTGTTAATACTCCCTCGTCTGCCAATGAATAATTTATTTCAAATTTAATATGAGCTATATAATAATAAATAAATATAGCGGTTTGAAAAAAAAGTTAAGGTGATCCTAATGCTGGACCGACTGAATTAATCCCACAGGAAATTTATGAAAGCTGCAGCTGTATTTTTATACAAGACTCGCAAAGCATTGAGTGAAATTTAAAGTGTGCTGGGCAGGACCCAAGAAATGTGAAATAAATTTGCTGTAGCATCAATCTTTTGACTCCTTACACACTTTTTAATCTTTCTCCATTATGATTGATTCAATTTCAAAGACACAAATAAGTGAATAGGTTACAACTAAATTCTGTTGACATGCACTGCACTATTAATCTGTGGCAAGCACCAAAAATTTTCCACAAGATACCTATATATCTATTCAACTCAAGATTCAAATTATTTCTTCAGACACTGGATTTCCTAGATATCATTTGTTTGCTAAATTTAAGAGTACAACCTATGAGTGTTTCACTACTGAGCCGCTTGAGAATGCAAGTGATTTCTTGCTCTATAAGCTCCTGTTGAGTGGGTTGTGCCAAACACAGCAGGGCTTCCTTCAGTACCTGTAATAAATGAAATAGATTAAAATATTCTGTTATTATTTATTTCATGTCTTTACTTTTCTACTGTAAAGTATCTATCTATGAGTCAATTGTGACCCCTCCTCTCACCCAAATATAATGTTAAAATGAATACAGTGGCATGTATTTAAGCAGCAAGGAAATTTGTAACACAAGGTAGTTTGAATATTGTGTCAACAGTCCTCTGAGTCACACTCGTTGCTTGTTTGCGAGTGGCTAGACAGTAGACACACCAGATACTCACAGCCGCCACATCGTTTAGCCAGTCAGGCTGAGGGACCTTGACTGAGTGGCTGAGTTGGTTGCGGCAAATCCTGAGTGCCTGCACCACTTGGGCCTCTGCAGGACTGAGATTTAACTGCAGCATGCCGTTTTGAATTATGTTGAGTAGCAAGTGTATGTCCAAACCTGGAAGAATTAAAAAATTTTCAATTTCAGTCAAATACATACGTACAATTTTAGTCTTGCCAGTAGATTCTAACTTTAACCATTTGTCAAACACATAATTTTTCTTGTTTGATACTAAATCTGTAGTAACATGAGTGGAACATACAAATATTTAAAATAGAAAAATCAATATAGAAAAATGAAATATCCAGAATCAGTATGGTATATCAACATTGAAATGTAAGTTAGGAGCAGTAATTTAAAAAAAAAATCTGGGTTAAGAATTCTTTTATCACTATTACTTACAACAAAAATGATTAAAAATTAAAAAAATCTGGTTAAGAATTCTTTTATCACTATTACTTACAACAAAAATGATTAACTTAATTAGTTATTTAAGACTGAAATAATTGCATACCTTCCAATATCTTTTGAGCCTCAATAGGGTCTTGGATGGAGACACCATAGTTTTGGTTTTCCACAGGGCTTATCAACTCAAGTTTTAATTTAATTTCTGGAAGATTCTTGTCAATTGACACAATTTCCCAAGTCTCACTGCATTCCAGATTTCCAATTTTAACTTTCTTGAGATCCACCAGAGTCTTTGCTCCAGCCACCAGATCCCCTGAAACCCCGGTTCTGTCGTGCGCTTTTTGCTTGTGTAGTTTATTTGAGTTCTTAGACTTGCCAGCCGCACTCACTTTACGCAAAAAGTATTGCAGAGACACTTCTTCAGCACCAGGATGAGGAAGCTTACTGGCGGGCAGGAAGAAGGAATTCGAAGAGAATTTGTGCACAAGGATACCACTGAGCTCTTCATTTCCTCTTGCTGTCAGAAGTTTTTTTAAGCTATCCTCAACACTCTTCAGCTGTAAGTATGACAAAATATTAATAAATAAAAAAGTATATGTCCAGTGGGAGCAAATGATGATAAAAAATCAGAGTATCAATAAAAAAATAACATTATGCAAAATACTCTCCTGCATTTTAAAACAACATACCAACCATACCTTTATTTAAGATTTTACTAGCATCAATCAGTTCATCTTTTAGACATTGTGATACTTTATTAAAAAAAAGGAAGTGGAATTTGCATTAAAATCCATCAACACCAGAGCCAACACTCTCATGCTACACCATAGCTGCACCTAACACAAGCACACAATTATTAGTATGTACAAGAAACGAGAATAACAACATCAGGAAAATTTAGACTACATGCTTGAACCTTGTTTCTTAGTTCACTAAAATAAATTCCAAAAATTGTGATCCTAATTTCCATGATTATATCAGTAATTACTTGATTTTAGGAAACCTTTGAAAAAATTTTGCATATGTACACTCTCAAGTTTAACATGGAAAAACAAACATTTGAAGGCCTGTGGCACACACCTAAAGATTAGCACTGGTTTTTCAGAGCTAATACTTTCAGGGCAGAAGCCAAAGAATAGAAATCTGGAGAGTTAAAAGTCAGACTGCAAACCAGACTGATAAAGTGTGTCCTCATGCTGACACCTTTACCTTGAAACTTTCAAGCACAAATTCCTTGGCCTAAATATATACATGGACATTTACACTGGCACACAGCAAATGCCCATTGGCTAAGGTGTACCATGTCAATGGCATCAACCAGTAAATTCAATTTGAATCAGTTAGTGAAAAATTCAAGTCCCCTGCCACTAACCAAATACGAATATTCTATTACAAATATTCTTTACTGAAAAGCAAAGAAGTGGCATTACAGTGACAAAATTTAGTGTAATATGACTATGAGTTGGTTAAAATTAGATAGTACCGTTATTATGATGCAGAATAATGAATTACATACAAGATTATGACAATTATTAGTCTATTATTTTAGATGGTAACTGAATTCAATAGATGACTCACCACTTCAGCACTGGGGCTGCTAGCAAGGTTGCTTCTTTCATTAGAGTTGTCCTCCATTCCATCAGATGTTGTATCCAAGGAGTGCATAATTAGTTGTCATTTAAAAGCTTTGATAATTTATATAGATAATCAAAATTTGATGGATGGTCAATATTATTAAGAATTTAAGACTTATAATCAAATAATTTTTGCACTTGAAACAAATAAATTATCAGCACATGAATAAAATCTGTAAAGTAACTGAGAGGGAAATCAATTAACTTTTATCTACAAGCCAAAGAGATAGTAACAGACTGGCAAGCAACAAGGTAGCAACTTCAGCCCACATAGAGACCACAGCTGGACAGCTGGAAATAATACCTCAGAACATTACTCTCCAGCTCCAGTGAGACTAAAAGATAAATTTGCCTTGCACCAGCAGTCAACCTAAGACAGCTATTCTGGATTTAACTGAACTTGTTGAAATAGCCTTCTTGCAAAATACTGGGTCATAGTCCTACTAGCTTGTTATTACTACCTAGTAAAATTTTATTATTACTTCTATGTCTGCTCCCCATTGACGTGTTGTCAGTGCCTGCATTACATTGACACTAGCAGCTACCAAGGCAGCTCTCACTTAGGTTCATATGGTCATTCCATCTCAAGCCAAACAAGTCAAGTGCAAACTAAAAGGTAATTTTATGATATGACAAGTTCAATATTGGAATTGATACTAACCTGAGGTTTAGGGTAACTAAAATTATTGCAAATTATTAATATATACAATAGTTTTTCAGAATTCAGTTTGGAACCTCTAAATTTGAGTCAAATTAAAAAGTTGAAAAGTTCCTAAGTCTCAAGGTGCATGTTGTGAACAATAGCTAAGAGATCTCTGGCAGTACATCAGCATCAAAATATATGCCTTTGCAAGATCTTGAAAACACATTTTTCTTTAAAAGTCACTATACATGTATTTTTGGCAAGAAATCTTCAAGCTTTAAGCAGTTTTGGCATCAATTCTTAAAAAATACTGGAAACATTTTGAACCTAAAAACCAGATTTCAGCAACACAATTGCCAAGTTTGGCTTAGTGATTTGGGTCAGGACTCTGGGAGATGAGTCGATACAGAGTTCTGCACTGCTTCTAGGTCAGGGCCCCCAACAGAACATATTTATATGTACTATTCAATATAGTACCTAAGTAATGTCATTATCAATCATTGGTATACTCTGCCTAACGATAGGAAAATTCTCATTTATTACAGACAAAATCCCATAGCTCCAATAGGACATCTTCAATAAATTTAGAATCTGTTGGCTCATTTGTAGGGGCATGGGATATATCAACTTTCCAAGCCAAAACTATAGCTTACTACCATTTTTTGAGCTACAAGGTTCCTGCTAGATGAGTTATCTCTGATGAATTTGTAAACATAGGGTCAAAATTATGAAAATTGTATAGATTCCCATAATTTATAGAATTATTTATAAATCTATAGAATCATGGAAAACTTATAGGCCAACAATTAGATAGGAGATGTACAATTCATCCAGCAGGAAACTCTTGTTGCATAATGTGAGATTGTCGCACCCAGCATGTGCTGAGACAATTTATTCTCAAAATGTTTCAAACCCTACAATTTCCCGCTAATCTCACAAAACTTATTTTAGACTTTAACAGGGTTTGTACCAATCATGGAAAACCTGGAAAGTCATGAAATTTGATTTTTCATTTTCCAGGCCTGGAAAGTCATTGAATTTCATTTCAGGTTATGGAAAGTCATGGAATTTGCAAATAAAATGAGAAAAAATGAAGTGTTTTCCTGTGCTGCATGTGTTTACTGTTTGTGCAGTTTCTTGTTTCCTGCTGTCATACCTTTGTTCTGACCTGCAGTCCATGATTAAGATGCTGCTTGCAAGATTCATTACTCCAGACACTTTGGATGGCCTGGGCACCATGGCAAAACTGGCTTTGTTGAATATTTCTGACCAAAGCATTTTGATTTCCATCATAAGGTTCATGTTGGTACATGGCCAGGACCACAATAAAAAACAGTTTGCAGACAAAAAGGCAATTGCACTGCAAGTTCTCACTTTCAAGACACAAGCGTGGAACTTCATGCAGGCTGTATTCCAAAAGCTACTGGACAAGAGCCCTATCAGGTATGGCCTTGGTAGGAACCTGAGATGGCTGGCACCAGAAGTCTTATGTGTTGTGGATGAGAAGTGCAACTTTAGAGATAAAACACAAAATTGCAGTGAATTGAATGCACAGTTTTAAGCATTTTCAACTTCTGATCAAATGGATACTTTTTGGCCAGCCATTCTGTCAAAGAGCACCTACAAGAAACTCTGGAATGTAGTGCAGATGCCGATGTAATTGTCTCATGGCCAAGCCATGGTTGAAAGAGGGTTTTCGTTCAACAAGGAAATCATGACACACAACATGAAAGAGAGAAGAGTGGTTGCCCTGCATGCTATGGTTGATCATGTTGCACATTTTGGTGGCCTGGACAAGATAACCATCACCAAGAAGATGCTACTTGCAGCTGGCAGTTCCAAAACAGCCTACAATAATTATTTGGTAGAAAAGAAAGAGCAGTATACAAAGGCCCAGAAGAGGAAGGCTCTGTTCTGTTGGATGAGCTAGATGAACTGAAGAAGAAAAGGCGTACAGAGGAGGGCATCAAGACGCTTGAGCAAGCAGCAGATGAATATGCAGAAGCAATGGAGAGAAAGGGCGATGAGAAAATTATCACGAAGTTCAACGCCAGGAGGCAATCTTTGAAAACAAAGCAACAGGAGCTAGACACCCTTGAACTGAACATTAATGAAAAAGTTGCTGAAATAGCTGCCAGTTGAATGTTAGGATAGTGGTGTTAAAGAATAAAGAGTGTTCTGAACTGTATTGACATTGTGTGAAATCTTGTGTGCATTACTCAATATTTATTGTGATTTGATGCTATTGAATTCAAGATTGTGGGCTTGATTTACAGATTTGTGTCATTTTTGATCCTCAGTGAATTGGATCAACCTTATGATGAGTTCGGGACTTCCTAGTCCCCAGTCACGCTGATGCGCCGCTTTCGTCATCCTCGGTCTCCGAGTCATTGCTAGGCAGGTCACCCTGCCCTCGGATCCCGGATGTAACATTGGACGTGTTTCTTCTATGCATTCACACATTAGCTATTTATTAACTGTAGGAGATGATAGAATATGTCCAGTTAGTCTTTCAGTCATGCTAAACCTGTCATATATAAGTCTTGGAAAATTATATTGAGGTCATGGGACCATGGTGCAATTCTATAGGTTATTCAAAAGAACCTGGTCTTATGTCATTTTGAACCGATCAACGCTTCTTTACGGACCGATCGTAAAACACACCTTCACCAGCAAAAGCTTTCACACTTCTGAAGAGAGGTGAGCTGAGCAGCTGACAGCTACACTGGCCGTGGGTGGGCCTTATTTGAATTTGAATGCATGCATCGATTTGAAATCCTAGGTACGCATAGTATACAAGTCATAGAGCCTAAATTTTTAATATCTATGTAAAAAATGTACGTTTCTGCATGGATTATAATGCTGTTAACATTAACAAACTTTGAATTATCTCTGATGCAAGAAATACTTGCTTAAATAATTCTATTTTCAATATAAGCGACTGGATGCAACAATCGGTTTGCAAGAACCAACATAGCCCTGAAGCCTGAACAACAGTAATTTCAATTGATGTTAATTTCTAAATTAAAATGTATTTAGCCAGTATTTCTTGCATCAGAGATATTTTCAAGAATTTCAATGCTAACAGCATCAAAATTCATGCAGAAACGTAAACTTTTAATAGGTTTTACACTGTAATTTACGCTCCTAGTCCAAAGAACTGAGACCGATTTCAAATAAAAAATGACTAAATTGAATCCATCGCACTTTCTGGCACCTTCTCTCACAGCTGATTGCAGTTGCAGTGCATTTTTTTAGCTTAAGTTGCCAATACGTATTTAATGTAGTTTTCCGTAGTTTCGTTGGTACAAAACTTACAAAACAACGTTGAATTATTGATTGCTAATTTCTTGCATTAGGTTAATTTTTATGATTCAAATTAATCATAGAAGTTGTATCTCCATGATTCCATGCTGAATTAATATTATGAATGGAAGGTTCACATACAGGCTACAGTGATACAGATGCCAGCGCTAGCAGCGGCAAGAAAATGAACTACTTTATTGTTTTAGTATCTTGACTAAATATATAATAATATCGTATTCTATTTAGGTCCAGTCTCTTAAAGTGTTCCAGCAACATATTTTCCATTATTAATTATATAAATGTATTAACTTGTGGCGCAGTAAGATATTAAATTGTTTGAATTTTAAACAAAGATTATGCTTCCACATCCAGATGCTAGCGCCAGCAGTGGCCATCAAAGGAACTATTTTATTGTTAGTATATATACTATATAACTATAATAATAACAATATATTATTCTGCTTAGGCACAGTCTCAAAATGTTGCAGAAACACATTTTCCATTGCTAATTATTTACATTTATTTGTTTGTGGTACAGCAAAATATTGCTTTTTTTTGTCTCCCACGTGTTCTTCTGTGTGATGTCACCGCTAGCCATATGTTTACATATGGCTAGCATGAAGATGGGACCAGTTTGGCATGAAATGGATGGTTATTTGTGAATAATATTTTCGATTGTGATATTATAACATATTTCTGATTGTGAAATAATTTAGATTGTGATATTGACACTTGACAAGTTGACAGTAGTGTCAACATTTGAATATCGAAGTTCTAACATCATGAATTACGAGGTAAGAGTGTAAGGACTGAGCAAAGCTAGAATCATCAATCATGGCTGAGGCTTAACTGATGTCATTGTCATTTTTTACGTCATTGATATCATTGTGGAACCAACGTAAGTAACTAAGGAATTTCCCAGTTCAAATATTTATTGATTTATTACTATCAATTTCGAAACTGCACATATTTCTAAAGGGAGTTGTGATGAGACCATGGGGTCGAACTGTTGAGTTTAGACCACTACAACTTGCAAGAGGGACCCAAGGGCCAAGGGCATGGGGCCTTGCAAAGGGTTAAGACCGCCGCACGGCGGTGGACCGAACCAATAAGTACTCATAATAATTCCATGCCATCATGCATGGGACTATGGTCCATGGAGAGTCCTGGAAAAGTCATAGAATTTTTCTTCTAAATACCAGTACAAACCATGCTTTAACTAACCAAAATTAGATGCTCACAAAAAATCAACTCGTGATTTAACAACTAAAACAGACAGAAAGACATGAATGATGAACAGTATCAGTAAAGTTTAGCTCCTTTACATTAATAAAGCCATACAACTAAATGGTGGGAAAGCACTACTAGTTATGGCTTGTAAATTAGATATTTTTTTTACCAAATTTGCAGGCATTGGATCTGATAGCTTAACAGGATTGGAATTTTCCTACTTATGAATTGAATCTTGTGGCTATAAACTTATAGGCTAAACTTTTTATACATTTTTGAGCAAGCAGCCTGATTCCATAATTTTGCAAATAATTAGATAGGACTAGAAGGTAATTCATCTATCAGAAATCTTGCACCTTTGTAAATGGCAAGATAGATCTAATTGTGGCTTGAAAAGTAGGTAGATATTTTCATATTTACTTTGACTGAGTACTGAGTAGTGAGTAATGTGACAGTGGCAGATGTTAAAAGACAGTATAGTATAGGGCCTTAGAATATAGGCTATAGCTCCCTGAGCAGCTGAGCCCCTGTACCTGTGGCTGTGGCCTGGCCGCCTGGGCCCCTGGCCACCTGCTAGGCTGGGTAGGCTGCTAGAATAGAATTTTCCTACTTATGAATGAAATCACATGGCTCCAATGTTACAAATTTTTCTATACATAGAAACTTGCAGCCTGAGTGTACACTCTGCCAGTCAGCCTCCTACTGTCCTACCTACAACTTATATTAAAGAAGCAACTCAAGTGTGACAAGATGCACACAAAAAGAGGTAGATAAATTCCGTGCAAGGCTCCCTGGAAATACTTCTGTACCCTAGACTCAAGTTCTCAACGAGGTGATATCGGGGCAACGGTCGTGCGTGGACTCGTCACTCGTGGAGTGATACGATACAAGTATGACGAGGCCGCGAGAGCGAGGTGTATAACCGTGCGTTGCGGGCAACAGTCACCGTTGAAGTTACTTACTTGGTTACTTGGTTAAGATGAGGCGCGTCACCGTCTTGAGTATTGGCGCCCCCAATCCGCATTCTTCAGGGTGCATTAAATGTTGTTGAGCATGTTGGTGGCTTGGAGGTATTTGATGATCAGTTCAGCAGGGAATTCAGGGGTCATAAGCGAAGACAAGCAGAAAGGAACCGAGAGGCGAGCGCATGCGGATTTCAGCTGGTCACGTTGAGGAGACAGTACCGGGCAACTNCCTTCTTTTTCGCGATTGGCTTGGTTCGTTCTTGCTTGTCGATGATGGTAATGGTGTAGGAGTTTTTCTGCTGCTTCCGCGCCTTCCAATAATGGTGGAGTCTTTGGGTCTCCCTTCTGCGGAAGGGTTGTCATTTTCATGACGACCCTCCATTTAGGAGGTATCCTCTCTTGTCTTCTGGGTGGCGGTTTAGATTCACTTCTCAAGGGTATAAGAGACAAAAGTTTTCAGTTAGTTAAATTTAACGAACACACACCGTTTGGAAGCCGGCAGATTTGGTCTCAATAGAATTAGCACCACCTTTCACTGTGAACTCTCGATTGAAACTGACCGTTGAAGTGGTGCAAGCCCGCAAGCCGCATCATGAAGGCACTGAGGCAGCTGCAGCCAAGATTGCAGCAAAGTTAACGATGATTAATATTCGATCAAACGATTTGCAGTTACTTGTATACAGTAAACCAAAGCTTGATAGGCAGAACTGATAACCTCAGAAATAAAAAACCGTTTGAATTTGGGTTTGTTCACAGAAAACGTAACTTCAAACCTTTTTTCAAAACCTCCCTCTCATCAGAAATGGGATTACCGTAGCTCAAACTCTTGTTCGTTTGCCAGTGGTTAATTTTTGAGCTACAGTGCTGATATTGGTAATTATCGATGGTTTTGAGTATGGATCTGACATTCCTCTTTGTAAAATATGCATATATTTCCATCAAGCCTCAAACTTTTTACACACGGTGGTCAATCACGCTTGGCTCAAGATTTTTATCAAGCCGCCTCAGAACGTTCGGTGGCTCTTTTAGGTGATTAACGGAACGTTCGATCAGCCAATATAACATGCTAAAAATAGAAGTTCATGCCAATTCACGTTGCCCGATAGGATTGCTCATGGTTGAAGCATGGAATTGCTTTCTAAGCAGACTAAGCTGTCTGTTTCGTATTAATAAATAGTAAATACCACATAATCTTAGCTGTACTTCGTATTTTAAATACTTTTCTCATCGTCCCTGCCTCGTTCACTTCAGCTAACTTCATAGAATACAAACGTTGTACGGTAGTGGATCGTAACCTCAAAAATCAGATAACAGCGTAAAAAGTAAATCAAGTACGTACTCCCTCGTGTACAGTGCTCATGGGGAAAATTTCGTTGACTATAGAGCAGCCAAATAACCCATTCTTTTCCTCTCCTATTTGAAGTTACTCATAATGATAAATTTTTCCAACAAGTCATTCCTTTTCCAGCAGTAGAAGTTTTGACGTTGTGAGAGTCGCGGCCAGTTTCAAAGAGTACGTACAACCTTGATTCTTCTTAGCATATTGCTAAAAACAAATGAAGTGTACGCCTCCAAGATTATGCTTTGCTATATGTAAATGCCTCTTTGTGGCCGATAACATCATGGATTGAAGAGGAAAAAAAAACAATTAAAATAGAACGTTTATATATACAATAGAACATTATAAACATGATATACACTGCCACACTGGATATAATTTTAAATGATATCATATTCATCATATTACACTGAAATAGTGTTGAATGTTCATAAATCATAAATTTCATAAGTGCGATCAAATATAAGAAGGTAATTTTTTTCAGCACGTACTTAAGAGAGCCACCCTCACAATTGTCAGCTCACTCAGCTGGACTAGTGCTATAAATAAAATAAATCTCGTAAAAAAATACAAACAATCTATAAATATGCGATGTTGAATGAACAATACTCATCTCAAGACCTTAAAAGACTAGAAGGGAAACCATTTAAGAGGTCATTTATGTTGTTTCAGTTTGTAAAAGTTCGCACAATTTAAAGCATCTCATAGAATGGAATAGAAGTGTTGACACTGAAGAAATAGGCCCATGGCCTGTTGCCGATTCTTGAATTTTTCGTGACTTGATTCACAAGGGATCCCGGCCTTTGGAACCCGATCTTTCCATAACTGACGATTGATTGAGATAGCTGCCGGACTTATTGCCTACCCGTAATTTGCTGGGCATTTTAAGACAGAACATATGCTCCTGCATAGCTTCGTCTAGTCTGTTTTTGAAGGCGTTCATACTCAGAGCGTCAACGATGCTATCAGGGAGGCTTTTCCGCATGAGTGATTTCAGAGAGAAAGGAAATATTTTAGGCCAAATCGTGAGCATTAAATTCTTAAACTCGCTCGCTAATTCAAAAATCATGTTGGATTTAACCGTTAAATTTCTTTACAAAATTATGCAAATCAATTGTTCGTGTGAAGATTAAAAAATATGAGGTTAGGATCAACGAATAAAATTCATACATTTTCTAAAGTGTAAACTTGTAACGTTTTCAAACATTTTGTCAATTGCATTGAATGAAATTATTTTACGTATCAACTTTCATAAAAATTTCATGATCTCTGACTTGCCACGCAGTAATGCGTGGTAAGGAAGAGATCAATACATTTTACGTCATGGTTTCTAACAAAGGGGAGTTGGCATCGTATCATAGAGCGATTCATCAAATAATTGATTTCTAAAACCGACGGAACTGAACTAAGAAACAATGCCCTATCACATAGCTGGGTTGATCTAGGGCAGGCACAGAATAAGTAAGTAAGCAAGTCTCACTTTTAACCAGAACAATTTAGTTTACATTTCTTGTACATGATTCTAAGATTTCACACCTGACTAAAACAGCCCCCAAGATAACTTTTTATTATACTACGCAGCCAGTGAGAAAAAATTGACCACAGATCGGCTGGCAGGGATGCAGCCGTCAACAACAAATTTAACAGCCCACGAACCAACGACTAGCCTCAAAAATACAGTAAATATACTCAGCTTCGGAGAAACGGAGCCGTAAACTACGCATTATTCCTGCTCCACCATGACGCCATGACAGTCTGCAGGATGCAGGAACATGAGCATTATTCCTGCTCTAGCTCCACAAGGACGCCATGACAGTCTGCAGGATGCAGGAACATGACAGGCTTGCCATGCGCGCCGATGCTGGTCGTCTTAGCGAGGCAGCGCACGCCGCTCGCGCGCACCGTCTCCACTGCAGCCTCGATGTCCGACACCTCCAGACACACGTGGTGCAGCCCGCCTGCCGCGTTGCGCTGTAAAAATTTCTGCACATCGGGAGCAATACTTTAGCACATCAAAGTTATACTTAAACACTTTGAGCACATCAAAGTTATACTTATACACGTAGCTGCTCCCTGTCACAGTGCACTAATTGCATATCCAAGTTATAACTATAATATAATATTTTTATACAAATAATTGTAAATACTTTAAGCACATCAAAGTTATACTTATACACGCAGCTGTTCCCTATAATAGTGCACTAATTGCATATCCAAGTTATAACTATAATATAATATTTTTATATAAATAGTTGTAAATACTTTAAGAAATACTTTTTCAAAGTTATACTTAAACACGCAGCTGCGCCCTATCATAGAGCACTAATTGCATATCTAAGTGATAAGTATGATGTAATAATCTTTTAATACAAATAATTGTCAATTTCCTATAGTTTTTAATTTCACTGAATGTCTTTATGTTTGTATTATAATAAATGGCATATCATAAAACATCAAGTCAACATATAGTAAAAGATTTAGAAGTCTGATAGCTCATGCATCTTAACCTTCAAAGCTTAGGCACCAATTTTATTTCTGGGAAGGGGGAGGGAGTTTGTTAGCCAAGCCAATGATGTTAAATAATGTATCATTATTTGTAGGCAGTGAAAAAATGAACCATCATTGGCTGAGATGAGGAAATTAACTGCAAAAATTCAGACACAATCATTTCATAATGTGACACTAAGAACTTCATTTGAGAAACTATTCCACATATTACAGGATCAAGAAAATTTTTCTAAAAAAATTTAAAAGAAATATTTTTTTCTATGTTCCACTTTTTTCTCGGCATAAGCAATGGAAAACTAATTTTTCAATTATCCAAAAGTAAACAAAAAATTCTTGGGAATTAAAAAAAACTTACCATACCGTACTGCTGTATCTTTGAAAAAAAAATGTTCCATTCAGTGTACTACATTCAACAAAAATAAAACTAAAAACTTAAATTACTTACAACTTAAATCCCAGTTTCATGTGACAAAATTAATGCTTTGTAATAGGCGATAGTCATTATACTTACAGCCAAGCTGGAATTCTAAGAATTGTGGATAATATCTTCTCGATAAATCCAGCCTGGTATCTCATTCAGTTCTGAAAATTATCCTGCGTTATGGAAGAAAATTCCAGTTCCAAGTTGATCAATACAATAAGATATGTGCGCTTGTTCATACATTCCCTATCCTATGTTAGACCAAACTTACAGCAATGGGGGAGGCATCCCCCAGAGGGTGGAGGAGCTCTAGCTTGGTGTTGGACAGCTCAACGAAGACTGTGGTGACACCATGTTCAGGCAGAGCTTGGGGGTCGCTGACACGAGCACCAAGGACATCCCTGCACAGTAAATAACTCATATAGAGCATAAAGAAGTGATGTCTGTATCTCCTGCACAGTAAATAACTCATAAAGAGCATAAAGAAGTGATGTCTGTATCTCCTGCACAGTACATAACTCATAAAGAGCATAAAGAAGTGATGTCTGTATCTCCTGCACAGTACATAACTCATAAAGAGCATAAAGAAGTGAGTTCTGTATCTCCTGCACAGTACATAACTCATATAGAGCATAAAGAAGTGATGTCTGTATCTCCTGCACAGTACATAACTCATAAAGAGCATAAAGAAGTGATGTCTGTATCTCCTGCACAGTACATAACTCATAAAGAGCATGAAGAAGTGAGTTCTGTATCTCCTGCACAGTAAATAACTCATAAAGAGCATGAAGAAGTGATGTCTGTATCTCCTGCACAGTAAATAACTCATAAAGAGCATGAAGAGGTGATGTCTGTATCTCTTGCACAGCACACAACTCACAAAAAGCATAATGAAGTGATGTAAGTATATCCTGCACAGTACATAACTCATAAAAGTGATGTCTGTATCTCCTGCACAGTACATAACTCATAGAAGTGATGTCTGTATCTCCTGCATAGTACATAACTCATAAACAGCTTAAAGAAGTACCTATGGTAATGGCTATGTTTCCTGTACAGCACATATTTCAAAACAGAATAAAGAAGCTGTGTCAGTGTTTCCAGTATAATAAAAAACTCATAATAGCATAAAGAAATGAAGCCTATGTCTTAGTTAGAGTTTGTGTTCAGATCTTAGTTTGCTTGTGATTTTGAACAATGAAAATTGCCTCTTTGCCAGGCAATCAAAAGTGATGGTATTGTGATATCAAGTATGATAATCCAAACAATAATGCATGTCCTATATGAGAAATAGGCCCATCTGTGCATCAAGAAATCAGTAAGAATGAGCTTTCTCAGTATTTACTTTGCTAAAAATTGTTGCTGGGTAATAAATTTCTATAGACTAATTAATAAACTTACTCAAATGTTATGCCTTTCTTGAAGTACAAACAATACTTATTTTACATAGTAAAAGATTTAGAAGTTTGATAGCTCATGCATCTTGACCTTCACAGAACTGCAAAGTTTATGGCACTACATTTACAGGCAGTAGTAGAAACATTTTTACAACTTTGATTACAGATCTACTTGTTACCAGTTCACTTACTGGTAAAAGCTTGCAGCAGCTTGCAAATCAGGTACTGCTATGGCTATGTGGTTGAGACGCCCCAATTTCCACACAGGACTATCTGTAAAGTATCAAAGTTTTTAGGACTTGTATAAATCATGAGTTTAAAAATAGATAATCAAAATAAATGGTACCGTAAACTGGGGTAACTTAGACTCCCGGGGTAACTTAGACCACTTTTCGTTTTTTAACAAAAACCCCCAAAACTCAAAAACTATTTGACATAAAAAAATTCTGTCAATGGGCATTAAAGGCCTAATACTGAGGCTACATAACACAATAGAAAGATTTAAAAAGTTTGCATATCTAATAGGTCAAAAAATTACAAATGTGACCCACAAAAAAAAGCTATTATTTAGAGCCTGTCGGAGTACCCCCTCCATTTTTTTATTTTTTGGCTAAATAACTCCAGGTTTTGATGCATTGTAGTACAACTCTTCTAGTTACATATGCAACAAACAAATTTTAGGAAAGTCTCATAGTTTGCAAATGGGGGGCGCTGCCCCCCAATGGGGGAACTTAGACCACCTAATGTCAGCCCTGACGGGGTAACATAGACCGGCTTGGAAATTAATTTAAAATTACCATATATAACATTTCATGTTTGATACACCTATTAATGTTTTTTCTTTAGGTTTCAGACTCTACAGAGTCTTATATATGGTAATTTTAACTTAATTTCCAAGCCGGTCTATGTTAACCCTGTTAGGGCTGCCATTAGGTGGTCAGAGTTCCCCAGTTTGGGGGAACTTAGACCACCTAAGAGGCGGGACCCCCCATTTGCAAACTATGAAACTTTCCTCAAGTTTTTCATTTGCATATGTAACTAGAAGAGTTCTACTACAATGCACCAAAACCTGGAATTACTTGGAGTTATTTTACCATAAAATATAATTGATTTTACCACCCGGTCTAAGATACCCCAAGATCTGGGGTAAAAAAGACCATCGATTTTTTTTAAATTACATCAAAACTATGAGAGGCAGGAGCCAGCAATTTATGGTGAGTGAAGCTAGAGTATAGACCTGTATTTTGCATGTTTCAGTTTAAGTTTAACTTATCTAGTAAAAAAAATGGCATCATTTTTAAAAAAAAAGTGGTCTAAGTTGCCCCAGTTTACGGTATTCATATATATAGAGCTCCTGAACTAAATTTATTTGAATATTTGATCACTATTATCAAAAAATCCATTCCAAAACAAACTTCACCTGACAAGCTTCTTGCTGGTTGATGACAAAGCATTGAGGGTGGACATAGGCTGCTTGCAGCACGTCCTGTGGCATGACTGCCATAGGTGCTAAAAATATCAGAGACAGGTTGCTTATGCACTGAAGCCTGAAATGACCACTGCATGAGAGACCTAATTTGTTTTGAAACAGAGACACATTTTAGACATCTAATGAAAACATCAGCTCCAGCACTGAACATTGCATAAGATTAGAATACCTGCAAATTTCAGAAATTTGATAGTACAGTGATAAGAATTTGGTCAACTTTTCATTTTTAGGGAAGGTACTTCAATCAATCATCATTCAAAGGCATCATTCAAAAGTGCACAAAACAAGAATTATGGTAGTTTCCAATTCAACACCTAACATTGGATTTTCTTAGATCAGCAGGAATAATTGAGAACTTTTTGATAGCTAGCTAATGCCTTGGTAAGGTGACTTTTTTTATTTGAATCCTCACACAATCTGTACTAAGGGAAAATTTTTCTAAAAATTGTTAATAAAAATAATTATTTCACAGATGCATTAAAAAAATCTTTCTTAATTTCCACATAAAGAAATCAGCAAGGAAAATCCAATATTAGGAATAACTTAATAAGTCAGATTGTCTAAGAACGGTAGAGGTAATTTTTGTCTCATTCATGTCATGGGTAGCATCTGCTTTTATCTTCAACTCTTCAAGTTTGGCACCCCAATGATATTTTTCACGATTGATTTCAAGACTTGGAGTATGTATGAAGAGAGGAGAAATCATAACAATTTGGAATATAAGGGGCAGAATTATAATAAAATTGCACTAAAATAATCCTTGCACAGATAATTTTCAAAATATTCAGGTGAAAATATGCCATTTTCCTTTTTTTTTCACCAAAGAAATTGGAAAAAAGTCCACACTCCACAATAATCCACATGAATGGGTAAAATTTGCCAGATTCACAGGCATTTTTTTCTGATTTGCAGCCTCATGTGTCACGTGTCAGTCACAGTCAGTGACTTCTGCCCAATTTCCACTTTGGCCAGTGGCTCAGGCCTCAGGAGACATGCCCACTCGGCACTCAGCTCAGTCAGCTGGTTAGCCACTCAGGCTCAGCCAGTGGCATCAGCCTGAGAGGGAGCAGCTGAGCGCCTGAGCCCCAGCAGGCAGCGCGCCAGCAGGCTGGCCTGGCTAGTGGCTGCAGGCCCAAGGCTCCAAGCCAAGCAAACTTTGCAAAGGTAGTCACAAGTCACTGAAGCAACTTCAGTGACTTTACAAATCTAAATCCATATACCTACATTTAGTAATTTTTCTGACTACTGAATTGTCAAAAAGAATAAATCAATGATATAAAGGAATTATAATATATATATATATATTATTATTAATATATATATATATATATATATATATATATTTAATTTATATACAAGCAATATAGGTATATATTGCTCATCAATAAAAACTATTTAATGTTGCATTACTACTTACTGCAGTTACTGGTCTGTCTGGTCAGTGGTCATGGTCAGTATTACTGGTGCCAGGTGTGCAGTGTCACTTACACTTAGTTTCAAATTTCAAAGTGTCATTGGTCTTACTGTCTTGGCCTCAAAGACTGACTGTACAGACACAACTCACACAAGTTGAACTGTTTAAGTTACTGAGATTAAGTCTTAAGGTCAGACTCAGAGCAGTGATTTGTATGATTCAATTATTGAATAATGCTGCCAAGTTGCAAGTAACAATCACAGAACCACTGCGTAGGCTAGTACTACCGAGTTCTTTTTTATACTTGATTACTTGGTAAATGGTAATGTCCTAATGACTCATCATTCACACAATAATAATCGTAATAATAAAAGCAGGATCAATGCTTTTATTATCAATCCATCAATGGTGACTGGCTAAGGCTAACTGTGACTGCCTGACTGGTACAGGTGATTACCCTTAAATTTTTTGTCCGAGACGTGGACGGTGGAGACGTCATCCACCGGACCACCAATCACAATCAGGCTGAATCAGTCGTCAGCCGTGAACCATTCAGCTCTGTCCTTCTCCGGCCTTGCAGAAAACCTGCCGTGCACCAACAGGCCGGCAGGCCGCAGATCGAATATGACTTCCAGCCAGTTCCAGGCATCGTTAAATTAAGTAATTTTACTTTCACCGCATCTGAGGTTAGGTTTCAGATACCATAGTTCTGTTCCAAAATTTATCGTCCTTCGACAAGTAGCCGTTCGTCCGAGATCTGTTTCGACGCACGGGCCGGCACGGCCTAGATACGATTGTCCAGAATTGTTGGAGGGTCCATTCCGAACGGCAAGAATCATGAAGGTCTATTACATGATCCAGGGCAGTAGTGGTCTTCGGCAGGCGACCCCTCTGGCCCTGTAAAATAAGACGCAGTTCACAAAAAATGGTAAAAATTTATTGCCAGCTATCTCTGTCATCGCAAGCTAGTACAGACAGTTCGACCGGCGAACGTAGCAGACGTTTTTTACCGTCATCGACGTAGCCTTCCTGATTGGCGCGTTGAGAGACGAATAGTCTGCAGCTTCTGCGACATCGGCTCCAGTGTTGCCAGGTTTTTTTTTTTCTTGGTTAGAATACCAGATTGCCTAGCTCAAAATACCAGAAATTCTATTGTTCAAAAACAGACTAATACCTCCAAACTTAATGAAACTATTCATCAGAAACGTTGGTTAGAAAAAAAATCTTTTGTTCTGAGCATTTATCTGGCTTGACAATAATTAGCCTAATTGAACACGTTATATTTTTTTCCTCTGTTTGGAACATTTTGACACTGTTCTTTTCATGTGTTTGATTACATTGACATTTTTCCTTTTTTTATCACAGTGTGGCACTTCTTCCCCTTCGCTCAACATGAGCAAGCCACGGAAACAGGTCATTTTCCTTTTGCGTATTTTCGTACATGCTTGCATATTGCATTAATCTAACATTCCGGATTGACCACTTGTTGCGGCTGAGCAGATAGCTTTAGGTCCGAATAAGGGACTCCAGTACCTTAGTTTAAATTTTATTTCGTTGCTTGCTTTTTATTTAGGTGACTTGTGAAAACACTCGCTGAGCGAATGCACTGGATACTGGTCAAAGTAGACAAGTGATTCAGTATAGGCAGCCAGTTCCATGAATGGATGATGATTTTAAAGTTCAGTGAAATATTGAATGGCACGCCAGAATTCAAGTGTTCACTCTAGAATTCAAAACCACCAACAAAAATGGTGGAGCTTGCGTCGCAGAAGTTCGACAACCTCACTCGTCCTAGGCCATCGCATCACTGATCAGTAATCAATTATCAATCAATGATCATCACTCTCATGCATATATTGCACTAAGCACTTTTGTTAAATGTTAACAATTAGATTAGGGTTATTTCATCAACTACGACATCAAGCGGTAAACTTGCGATTTCAAAAATGGCGGGAAACCTCTAGTCGCGCCGCTTTGAAGGTAATCTATATAATCCACGCCTACGCTGAAGGAAGATCAAACTTTAGAGGTGGAACTTAATGCAGTAAATAAAAAAAAATTGCAAGATTTACGCAAATATACCAGATATAAAATATTCATACCAGACACCTCCTGAAAATACCAGATTTATGAAATCTGGTATAGAAATATACCATCTGGCAACGCTGATTCGGCTCTTAGGCAGGTGTTTCATCGCCACATAAAGGAGGAAGAGTATCGATGATCCTTAGAAATTCCTAAAATTATAATGTTGTACATAGCCGTTTTGCATACGTTTGTATACATCCTTGTGTCTCGTATCTGCTCACATTCAAACTTATTTGAAGTTTCCTCTCCTCAAATTTGTAACGATCCCTCTATGTGTACTGCCAGACGTCACAGTTATCTTCATTCTCTAAGAATAAAAATCGCATTCAAGATTGTTTGATTTCTATTAGGCCTTGAATATCTAATTTTGGAGCGTCCGTACGGGGGGCGTGTCCATCTGGAAAAAACGCCTTGTATCGACAATTAAAGGACATTTTTACCACAGAGTAAGCAAAGCAGCTTCCAGTGGAAAGACAACACAGCCTTGTGATTCTCATTCTCAGCCGCTGGCTTCATCACATTGTAGGATTACAAGTAGTTTTGAAGTTCACTTTAACAAGTAGGTTAGTTTCGCAATGAACATGATGCGACAATTATCTCTTCATTCACGAGTAAAGCTGGATAACACATTCCTCGAAGAGAGTAGTTTGTCGAACAGGGTGAAGGTTAAACCGTTGACGACTGTAGTTACTGAATATTTTCAACTCGCATAGTTGTTTGATTGAACATTGCCGGGACTTTGGACATCCGTTTGAGATCCATCAACCGGTTAGATCATTAGGATGCCTGTATAGCTGTCTACATATAAAAAAACGGTTTCAGCGTTTATTAGGCCGTAGGCCTGTCGTCGATTCTGAACATTCACAGCAAAATCGGACAAATTTACGGCCGGTCTCTCCAAATACAGTCAGCAAAGAATATATCTCAAAGTAATGAACGTAGCTCGATGAAACTTGGTAAACGTATTCATTAGGACCTAACGGTGTTGTTTAGCTCGTAAAAATTCTTCAAATTTTACGTTCATTCCTGAGTTATATGACGAAACGTGCCGAAGTTTGCAGTGAGCATGACATTTCTTCTAAATCTAATTAGTTCATGACATGAGTAAGATGTTTCATCGACATCAGAACGCCATCCGCAGAATTACAATCAAGTTAAAATTCCTAATGAATTTTATCGACACATCTCTGGATTAAGTTCAGTCCACACAAGTTCTAATTCAGTGTAATACTACTGTACAGATTTGAACGAAACTTTGAATATAGAAACCTAACCTCCCAACGGTGATGTTTAGCTCGTGACAATTTTTTAGATTTTGCCTTCGCGAATTTTTATTTTTTCCACAATCGTGATTTAAACAGCAATACCTGCTTAAATTCGCAGCGAGCATAGAATTTTTCCTAAAACACTGAACAAATTTGAACGAAACTTCGTATGAGAATACCTAACCTCCCAACGGCAATGTTCAGCTCGAGACAAATTTTTTCGTTAGCAAGTTATATGGATATATGGAGGAACGACCGGCATTTCTCAGGCTGATTTCTAAACTTGCATTGACCAAGAGCCGTATGCGTAAAGCCGTAAACTCGCAAACGTCGGCAAAATCGAAAAAAAAACTTGTTACGAGCTAAACATCACCGTTGGGAGGTTAGGCATTCGTACACGAAGTTTCGTTCAAATACGTTCAGTATTTTAGAAGAAAATTTCGTGCTCACTGCAAATTTAAGCACGAATTGCTGTTTAAATCCCGGATGAGGGAAAAGTGGGAAAAAACTCATAAACGAAGGCAAAATCTAAAAAATTATCACGAGCTAAACATCACCGTTGCAAGGTTAGTTTTCTATATTCAAAGTTTCGTTCAAATCTGTACAGTAGTTCAGAAGAAATGTCATGCCGACTGCAAATTTCGACACTTATCGTCATATAACTCACGAATTAAGGTGAAATTTCAAAATAAATGTTCACAAGCTAAACATCACCGCTAGGTCCTAATGAATACATGTAGGTACTAAGTTTCATCGGGCTTCGTTCACTACTTTGGGAGATATTCCTTGCTCACTGTAGACCGGCCGCGAGTCCGGCCGAAAATTTGTCCGAGACGTGGCCAAACATACAAAAAAGCAGTCACGGTGGTAAGCAACCGCCTCTGAAGTTCACGTCGATTTCTTCAATTATCAAGGTGCAAAAAATGACGAACGACAATTACGTCGTGAAGGTAATGAAACCCTTCAAATGAAGCGAAAAATAAGAATGACATCAAAAAACTGCACATATCAGTCACCCTCAAAGCACCTCAGGGAAAGACCAAGTCTTGCCCAGTTCACCCTTTTGCGAATCACTCGTTCCTGGACTTCTACTTGTTTGAACGACTGCCACCACATTAAAGCCGCCTGCACTGTGCAAACAAAACAAAACTACGTAACAATCATGCACCGAAACAGGATATCGCTCATATACTCAGATTTTAGAGAGTATACCAGTACAGTGCCACAGAGGGCGAGTGCTGTCGTCTGGTGTCCGTTCCTGCCCAGAATGACGTCATTCGTCAGCCTTAACGTTCATAGTTTTAGCAATATGCATCTTTTCTGTCTCAAATCTTTCTCTTGCTCCTGAATGAAAACAGCAAGTGTTTATAAAATAGTGCAAAGGACATCGACCTCGTTCTTCGGGAAAGACATAATGGCACCAAGCGGTTGCCTCGCTTGTCTCGCTCCCTGTACCACTAAGTACCAGTGCCCCTACAGAGCTCGAGAGAGTAGTGCACAGCTTTTCGCGTTCACACAGTGTTACCTCTTATGTTGCTACAGCATGTTATGCCAACCGTATATGAGTATTTTTTTATTGTCTTAACTGTGCGAATGATTTTATAACTGGGGACGCCAAGTTCATGTTATAGTGTAATGATTAAAGGTGTTACTGCGGTTTACGAATAACGCTGCGCGGCTGCGCCAAGACATCCTGGGATCCAGTCAGTGTTTTTAATTAACACGTGCTACTGCTATAGTCTACTCACAACATAGTTCGAGTTATTTACCTGACTAACTGTAGGTTCACTCGATAAAAGTATCCCGAGTTGACTCCTTAATTGTTTATCATTTGAACTTTAGGGTACCTTTGTATGCCATATATACGGTAGGCTCGGTAGCTTTTTTATATCCTGTTTTCGTGACTGTGTTCTTTATTTCTTTGTATGCCTTGAAACGACATAGCACCAGATGCCCGTCTCGTTTTCTGTAGCTCAGTCACAGAAAAAAATTAAACGGGAGACTATTTTCTCCTACCTCATCGCAGCAGACTTGCCATAGATCCACTGATCTCAAGACTATCTAAGTATATTAAACATTCTCATGACATTGACATCTAAACCTAATTTTCAATCTCGCGATTGCAGGTACCGTAATCGTTTATCAAGCCCAACCGCAGCCGATGACACTGTAATCGTAATCAAATCCCAACCCAGCGATGACAAATGCAAGCAGGAGCGAGGTTATTTAAAAAGTGGGCATTTCCGAGTGAACTTTCTCTAAAGCTATAATTGTTAAACATGGTCGATTTTATCAAGATTAACGTCTATCCTTGCCTGAAAGAATCGCCTTTTGTATAGAAAGAATCGCCTTCGAATTTAATACTGGGGTATTGACATGCTGACATAAACTTTTCCTGTCATGCCAGCCCAGCTGTAATCTTGTGTCAGAGTAGTCAATTCAATGCCCTCAGCTACAACGTAATAAATTAAATCTCGACAAAATGAGTCTAATTACGCCTAGGTAGCGTTAGTTATATGTATGATTTTTATTACCTATTAACTGATTTTAAATCTCACATACAGCTAACGTCATGAATGCCTGGACGTAATGGCTGAAAATCAAAACTCTTCGTTTCCTAACCCCTACCGCGCGTCAACCTTGTCAATTGCCTTACTAGCCCAAACGAAGGGTCTTCAGGTAGTAAGTGAACATTTTCGGGTTCATGATAAATATTAAGTTATTATTCAAGTCACTAATATCTTTAATATTGAACGCAGTGATAAGCAACGGCTGCTATAAACTACCCACCTTGTTCCACTCTCCCAAAGTTAAATTATGAACGGTGTCAAAACTTAATAGTTTCGTTGCATGTCTGCGAAGTACGGAAAATAAGAATAGAATAACAATAAATACTATAGAGTATAGACTATATGGTTTAGTATTAGCTGTAAACGGAAACTGAATGGGACTTTCAATATACATTTCATCATAAAAAGGTTGAACAATGGTAGAATTTTGACTACCTATCGAGAAAATTCATTGGTTTTCCTTGACAATCAAGCATTCAAACTATGCAATAATACCTCAGTGTGGTAGATGTTTAGTATCATCAATCACGCCGCAATGGTTTTATTGATAAACGAAGTTTGTAGGTAGTTCCCACGTCGACTCATTTGCAAAAAGTTCTCTTCTATTAAACTATTTATGAATGGCGCTATCCTGAACTATACGTTAACAAACTTTGCGTGAACGTTAGACTTCGCCACTTTTGAGAGAAATTTATTAGCGCTTTCTTCCCATGCATAACTTTGTCCAATCGTAATTTAATTAAGAATTTTTAACGCTTTCTTCCCATGCATAACTTTGTCCAATCGTAATTTAATTAAGAATTTTTAACGCTTTCTTCCAATGCATAACTTTGTCCAATCGTAATTTAATTAAGAATTTTTAACGCTTTCTTCCAATGCATAACTTAGTCCAATCGTAATTTAATAAAGAATTTTTAGCGCTTTCTTCCCATTCATAACTTTGTCCAATCGTAATTTAATTAAGAACAAAGCTATTTATTCACAATACGCTCCTGTGAGCGTGGTCCAAATTTCACATGTCCGCTTCGCTTTCATGTAGCCCGCAAGATACTAAATTTTTGTACCCTTTGTACGTATTAATACTCAGCGTTTTGCAGGCGACGTGAAAGCGAAGCGGAAATAAAATCTAACGATGTGACTTTATTCATGCCCTTCAAACCGACCGTAATCTGGGTTAAATTGTGGGTTACAGAATGGCTTTGTGATCCAAGGGCGCACAACGACTTTGCCATTTAATTTTCATGACAAACGGAAGTTTTATTTATTGTTTTACAATTACGGAAATATGTAATTTTTGGTTTTACTTATAAGTGAACTCTGTTTTGTTTAATATCGGTGGAAAATCACAAGTTCAAGCATCATTGAAGACGCGTTCGCAAATCACAGAAGTCCAGAATAAGTTCCTGGAACATCCCAGGCTCGGGACAAAATCATAATTATATATATCCCGGGAAATTGTTTTCTTGGTAAAATCAGTGCTGAGAGTAAATTATCTAATCGTTCAATATATTTGCCCGTCATGGTCATTATCAGCCTGTCATTAGCACATGTGCATTGTCAAGCCTCAGTGTGAGCCCCGTCCAGCTGCTGGTGGCAGATCAATCATGTAGCGACTGGAGAGGTACCCGAGAGCGTTATATACCGTGACAACGTTATTATACTTACGACGTTATTAGTCTTGACAACGATATTTAACTTGATAATTTAATTAAAATTGACAACGTTATTCAACTTGACAACGTTATTAAACTTGACAACGAAATTTAACTTGACAATGTAATTAAACTTGACAACGTTATTTAAGCTTGACAATGTTATTAAACTTGACAACATTATTTAACTTGGCAACGTTATTAAAGTTGGCAACGATATTTAACTTGACATTGTAATTAAACTTGGCGTTATTTAAGCTTGACAACGTTATTCAACTTGACAACGTTATATAACTTGACAACGTTATTTAACTTGGCAACGTTATTAAACTTGACAACGTTATGTAACTTGACAACGTTATTCAACTTGACAACGTTACATAACTTGACAACTTTATTTAACTTGGCAACGTTATTTAACTTGACAACGTTATGTAACTTGACAACATTATTAAACTTGAAAATGTTATTCAGCTTGACGAATTTATTAAAATTGACAACGGTATTAAAGCTGATAACGTTATTAAACTTGACAACGTTATTAAACTTGACAACTTTGTTAAACTTGACAACTTTGTTAAACTTGACAACGTTATTAAAGCTGATAACGTTATTAAACTTGACAACGTTATTAAACCTGACAACGTTATTAAACTTGGCATCGTTATTAAACTTGATTTAAGTTTTCCCGGATAACTAAGAATTACTTAAACGAGGTTCTTATAAGCAAATTAACTGCCTATAGCATTACAAATTATTTGACTATCATCATGGATGATGATCAGTGAGTTCTACGAACTGGAAATAAGTAACGATTGTGTCAGTGGTAGCAGACCTGCCCAGAAAATAAGACAACTGTAAAAGTTAACCAAAGTGAAACACTCTCATCGTATCAGCAGTTCACATGTTGGATGCAAGATGAAGCTTTTCTAGTAGTTTTTAGGCAGTGTGTCTTTACTAACTTTGCTAACTTTTCTATGTTTCTTGAGAAAATTATTTGACATAGCCAAAATCAACCTAAATGCTATAGTATGTAAAATAATTAAATATTCAGACGGGTGGAGCTGACTATTGCATTGTAGAGTTGACCAACTTTATTGTTAATTAAATAACCGTCTCATTGCATTTTCAGAAAATCGTATCACTTATGACGTGTACGATCGAAAGAAATGACTCGAAATCAATAGGCTAATGAAATTATTGTAGCCAAGTCCACTCCTGGACATTTATTTCTTGCACTTATCAAAATATAATTGAAATGGAATCCACGAACGAAGTGCGGCAACCGACGTTAAAGGAACAAGGTGAGTGAACGTACCCGTCGACTCATTTGTTCACGACATGATTGAAAAAACATGTTTATATGCGAGGTAAAGATTACGAAAAACTTTTTTATGGCCCTCCCTTGACTCTAGGTCTGTCAGGCAGTGACAGTAATTGAAACCTCTTTCTGACATGTTACGAATACAAGGTAGAGACTGTACGAGAAACTTTTTTATGGTCTTTGACTTTAGGTCTGTCAGGCAGTGACTGTAATTGAAACCTCTTTCTGACATGTTACGAATACAAGGTAGAGACTACGAGAAACTTTTTTATGGTCCTTCCTTGACTTTAGGTCTGTCAGGCAGTGACTGTAATTGAAACCTCTTTCTGACATGTTACGAATACAAGGTAGAGACTGTACGAGAAACTTTTTTATGGTCCTTCCTTGGCTTAAGGTCTGTCAGGTAGTGACAGTAATTGAAACCTCTTTCTGACATGTTACGATCCCGTTGTAGAAATCTGAAGTGTTTATTGTTATCCAGAATCTTATTGAAATTTAGTAGAAAAGTGCGTAAATGTAAGGCATCTTGGTTAATATTTCGTCTAAATTCTCAAAAATTACAATAAAGACTTCAGATTTTTTTTAGTTTTGATTGAAAGTAAGCGTGAAGTTCTTATATAAGTACGAGAAAATTCTCGTACTTCGAGAAAAATCGTACATTTAGCGTTGAGAGGAACACATTGCACGGGCTGTCGCACTAAATCTTACTAGATCGTTAAATTTACATCATACTAACTTCTAAATATTCATACAAAGCAATTCGCGTAAAAAATGGTGCATCATTAATTAATGAAGAACAGTATTTTCATACCATACGACATGGATGACAAATTCAAGCACATTGTGGATATATTATCAGCTAGAACATGTATTGATTTACCGCCAGCGAATTATAAATTAATTACAAGAGCATTGAATAATTACCTAGTAAATAATTATAAGTTAATTACTAGAGCATTGATTAATTACCTAGTAAATAATTATAAGTTAATTACTAGAGCATTGATTAATTACCTAGTGAATAATTTCAAATTAATTTCCAGAGCATTAATTAATTATTAGCCAGTAATAATTATAAATTAATTACTAGAGTAATGTACAGTACACAGGAGGTTTTTGTGTCACCTATGTATATCTATGGGTCTTCACAGCACTCGAAGACAGTCCATAGATAGCATGCGGCGACATGTGCAGGTGGGGAAAAACTAGGCCTATGAACTCGTACTCTAATTAACGTGGGAAATCATTTTACGAATAAGTAAAGTAATAAACGCCCAAAATTTTATAGCATAGCGACCATCGTTACTAACTTAAGTTACAAATAAATCGGCCTTTAGGAGACATAATACAGAATTTTGACGGAATAGGTTCACATTTCTTAGCTTTAAATTAATACGTTTGATTCCTTCAGTAGATATTTTATTCTTGCAACAAAATAGTATACAGCCCGACGCAAAAGGTTAGCCCCACCCCTTTAAAACATCATAACACATCGAGTTTTGCAAGTTTTAACGTGCAAATGGTGGCAAACGTTTTGTCTTGCGCTCTGCAATCTATAGCAGGTGAAATTTGATGAAAAAGTTAATTACTGGCGGAAAAATCAAGCGGTCCGTGTTTTTGCACCGACGCAAAAGGTTAGCCCCACTTTGCAAGTTTGGCGCTCTTGCGGACAGGACGCAGCGTAGACTCGCTGCAAAGGGTGCGTTCATAGCGTAGTAGTTGTGCACGGATCTTATGCTCACCTAGGCAAGAAATGGGCGCGGGAAAGCCTCTAACTGAGTTTCAGAAAGGTGCCATTCAAGCCCTGATGGCGCTGCCTGAGGGCGAGCGTCCTAGCCTGCATGCGTCAAATGGAGGCACAAGTGGGGTGTAGCCGCAAAGCCATCTCCAACTATCTCAAGGACCCCGTGAACTACTGAAAGCGGCACACCAAAGGCCGCCCCAAGAAGATGTCGGCTCGTGACACGCGTCGCCTCTTCCGAGTTGCGGCGCCCGGCGACTTGAGCGCGCCCAAACTTGTCCAAAAGTTGGAGCTCAATGTCTTCAAGTCTACCGTCTCTCGCACCCTCGCGTCCTCCGGCATCTTCCAATATGTGAAGATGAACAAGGCCCCCCAATTGACCGAGGCTCACAAGCATGCCAGGGTCGCCTGGGGCACAAAGTATGCAAGTACTAGTGATGACACCTGGGCCAAAACCATCTTCTCTGATGAGAAGAAATGGAATTTGGATGGCCCAGATGGTCTGAAGTACTACTGGAATTGCCGCAGGAATGATCTAAAGGCAGCTTTTAGCCGCCAAAATGGCGGGGGCAGTGTAATGGTGTGGGGGGCTTTCATGCAAACGGGACGAGCGAGCTCGTCTTCCTCGAAGGCAACCAGTGCGCGGACGACTATGTCCAAACGCTCGAGGACCATCTACTTCCCGTCATCCGCCACCAAATTCGTCGCGGCGCCATCTTCCAACAAGATAATGCCTCTATCCATACGGCGCGCACGACCAAGGCCTTCTTCAAGCGTGCCAAAATCCGGGTTATGGACTGGCCAGCCAAGTCACCCGATCTGAATCCCATTGAGAACGTCTGGGGGTACATGGCTGGGATCGTCTACGCCATGCGGGAAGCAGTATGACACGAAGGAAGAACTCGAGTTGGCCATTCAAGTCGCCTGGTCCAATCTGGACCCCAACTACCTACGTAGATTATCTCAGGGCATAAAAAAGCGGTGCTTGGATGTCTACAAAGCCAACGGGGAGCATATCGGTAAATAACCTTTAGTTTTTCAGCTGACGTATGTTTTGTTTTGCCTAAAATGTAAAAGTGTACAAAGTGGGGCTAACCTTTTGCGTCGGTGCAAAAACATGGGATTTTCCTTTTCTCCGTTACTAATTACATTTTCACTACGGTCTATTGTATTTTGATTACTGAGACCAAGACGATTCGTTTGCCACCATTTGCACAATAAAACTCGCAAAACTTATGATGTTGTTATGATGTTATGATGTTTTAAAGGGGTGGGGCTAACCTTTTGCGTCGGGCTGTATTCCACAGCTCGATGCTCCTAGTTGTTACCAGGGCGATCCTTCACGAATATTTGATTACCTTTCCAATTTCAGAATACTTTCCGCAGCGCTACTTTGTAGCGTTATGAGACCCAACCTTCACTCACATTTAGAATAGAATAGAAGTGTCGGCACTGAAGAAATAGGCCCATGGCCTGTTGGGCCTTTCCCAACCTTCACACATATTTGACTACTTATTTCCGTATCAGGGTACTTTCCGCAGCGTTACTTCGTGGCGTTCATGGCGTTTTGGGGCCAAACGTTCACTTATATGCTGCGTACGAACATCAACATCGCCATCGTGGCCATGGTGAAGCCAATAAATGAGACCGACAACTCGACCATCGACTACAACGAATGTGGCTTCGATGACGCTAATTCTACGACCATCGCCGAAAATGTGAGAAACTATGGAAAACTTGAACGATAAAATTATCATTACAAGATATTTTCAGTTACTGAGTGGAACTACTTATTCTTTAGGAGACATATGTTAACAACGGAAGTAATGCAACTACTGCTGAAAATGTATTAAATGCATAGTAATTTGCATATTTATTCAAACCCATATTTCAAAGATCATGAAATGTTTATTTGTATAGGTGTAAAGTTCATACTTTGAAATAATTTCCTTTAATGCAACCAGTGGATAAAGCTTTTGAAAGCGCTAAATGTTTGCTTATTGGGAAATGGTACGTACTTCTATTCACTGATACTAAAGTTCATATTTTTCAACCTTCAAACTAAAAATCGATTTGCTTTATTTTGTGAAGAAATTTAACGAGTGATTCTAACATGATTTTTGAATTAGAGAGCGAGTGTAAGAATTAAATGCTTACGATTTGGCCTAAAATGTTACCTTTCTCTCTTAAATCACTCAGTAATTATGGCAGAATTAGGGAAAATTAAAAACAAATATGAGTAAGAATCGCAATACATTCACATGAAAAGTGCTATTACACATATCATACACATTTTGTTACACATGTCACTCTTCCTTGCGTGTTACCCGCAACGAAGTTTGTCTAAATTACCAGCAGCCTTATATAGACCAGCGATGACAAGCTTCCATCAGTTTACGTGAAGCAAATAAAACAGTTTTTAACTCATACCTAAAATAATGAAAGAATTTTAACAATTTTATTTTTCTTTTTCTAATTTTTCATAATTTCTTAATTTTCTGTTCTATATTTCTTTCAAACTTTGAAAATAAACTTAACATTGAAATTCAAAGTGTAAAATTTAATTAAATTTGAATAGTAGTTAATTCAAATTTCATTTAAATTAAAATAATATTAATTTTTTCAGACTGGGGACTTCGAATGGGACGCGTTTGAACAAAGCATGGTGCTGGGGGCGTTCTTCTGGGGCTACATCTGGACCCAGATACCAGGTCATTCTGATCCTCCATTAAAATAATATTAAATATAAATAAATAATTAAATACATATGGACCCAGATCCCAGGTCATTCTGATCCTCCATTAAAATAATATTAAATATAAATAAATAATTAAATACATCTGGACCCAGATACCAGGTCATTCTGATCCTCCATTAAAATAATATTGAACATATTATACATAATTCTAGTAGCTAAACATAAATTGAAGCAGCCCACATCAATTACCCGATGATCACACATGAAAATCTGATAAGTGTATCAGCATTCAATTATATGCAGAATTATTATATTATATTATTATGTAATATATTATTTTATATAATATAGGTATATAGTATAATAATATATATTTATATATTATTTTATTATATTATACAGAATTCTTGAATTATATTTATTTATTATATTTTTATATAGAAACCTAGTTTAAATGCTGCATAGCCTAGTTTAAATAGGTCTGTTTAATCATGTTTATCTGTTTTTCAATTTTCGATTCAAGTTTTCGTATCTTTAATGTGAACTTTAATTTGCTAATCAATCGTGCTTATTTTATAGAATTTTAATGAATTTAAACCTTTTTAGACAACTTTCCATTAATTTTTCTGGGTGCAGGAGGCCGTCTGGCCGAGATAATCGGTGGCATAGCATTTTTATTAATATAAACCTTTTTAGACAACCTCCCATTAATATTTCTGTGTGCAGGAGGCCGTCTGGCCGAGATGATCGGCGGCATAGCATTTTAATTAATATAAACCTTTTTAGACAACCTCCCATTAATTTTTCTGTGTGTAGGAGGCCGTCTGGCCGAGATGATCGGCGGCCGGCGCATGTACGCGCTTGTGCTCACCGGAGGGTCGGTGCTCACGCTGCTCATCCCTGTCACTGCTCACTGGAACTTCGTCGCTCTGCTCGTGCTCAGGGTTATGTTAGGGCTATGTCAGGTAACCCTGGGGTGGCAGTTGACCCTGTCAGCTAGGGTTGGTCAAGTTGCCCTGCATGTGAGGTAGGGTAATGGGCAGTAGGGTAGGGTAATGTGATATAAGAGGGTTAAGTGATGTGGCCTTATTATGAAGGGTAGGGTAATGCGATATAACAGGGTTAAGTGATGTGGCCTTATTATGAAGGGCAGGGTAATGCGATATAACAGGGTTAAATTATGTAGCCCTATTATGAAGGGTAGGGTAATGTGATATAACAGGGTTAAGTGATGTGGCCCTGTTATGAAGGGTAGGGTAATGCGATATAACAGGGTTAGGTTACGTAGCCCCATTATGAAGGGTAGGGTAATGTGATATAACAGGGTTCAGTTACGTAGCCCCATTATGAAGGGTTGTGTCATGTTACCGTATATGCCGGGGTTCTGTTATGTAACCCTATTAGGTAGGGTTGTGTAATGCGATATTACAGGGATCTCTTTTGTAGCCCTAAAAAAATTAGGCCTTTTTTAAGGCAATGATTACATAGTCCTTATCTGCAATTCTCGTTTAAAGCTTATTCTATAAATACTCAATGTAGCTTTTTACAAATATTTAATGTAGCTTTTTTACTGTAGTTTATTTTATAAATACTTATTATTTTACTAATATTTAAATAAATATAATATTTGAAATATTCATTCAATTCATAGATATTAATATATATATATATACCATTTAAATAAATATTTCACTGAATAATAATCTACCGTATTATACACTTGACTAATATTGATCAATTAATTCATAAATTTATTTAACGTTATGAGATAAGGTACTATACTAAAAATAATTAATGATTGACTGATTACTACTTGCTCATACTGAACGTACTAATTAGATATATAGTACAGTATTAGACTGTTCTATAATAAAAACGCTATATATACCGTATGTATACACGTATATATATGTATATACACACGTATATATATACACGCTATATTTACTATATGTATACACACGTATATATACACGCTATATTTACTACCATATGTATACACACGTATATATACACGCTATATTTACTATATGTATGCACACGTATATATACACGCTATATACTGGCTACAGGGTCCGACGTTCCCCTCCACCCACGCCCTCCTCTCGAGCTGGGCGCCGCCCAACGAGCGATCCAGGATGGGCGCCCTCGTGTATGCGGGTAAGCAACTTAAGGGCTCTATATTAATTTGTATAATATAGTTTTCTTGGGAATTTTATGGCTCTTAAGTTAAGGGCTCTCAAGTTAGGGCTCTCAAGTTAAGGGCTCTCAAGTTATGGGCTCTCTTTGCTCTTTGTCCTGATGTTCACATCTCAATTCTGATTATATATCAAGTTAATTCTGAAATAATGCAAAGTAAGTTAAGTATTTTTATTAATTAGTTTTTACCACCATAAGTTTTTAAGTTTATAACCATACGTTTTTTCTTTAATTGTAACGTTATACGTTATAAGATAAGGTTTCACTGTCAGCGTGATCTCGCCGCAACCCCCGAGGACAACTTGCTGGCGTTATTGTCTAGCTGATGACATGGAGTTATTAAACCATCATCATTGATGAGAAAAAATAACGTTGGAACTTATAATCACCATCCATCTTAACTACCCAGGCACCCATCTTAACTTCCCCGCCCCTGCAGGAGGCCAGGCAGCCATCTTAACTCCCCCGCCCCTGCAGGAGGCCAGGCAGCCATCTTAACTCCCCCGCTCCTGCAGGAGGCCAGGCAGCCATCTTAACTACCCCGCTCCTGCAGGAGGCCAGGCAGCCATCTTAACTCCCCCGCCCCTGCAGGAGGCCAGGCAGGCACCCATCTTAACTCCCCCGCCCCTGCAGGAGGCCAGGCAGGCACCCATCTTAACTCCCCCGCTCCTGCAGGAGGCCAGGCAGCCATCTTAACTCCCCCGCTCCTGCAGGAGGCCAGGCACCCATCTTAACTCCCCCGCCCCTGCAGGAGGCCAGGCAGGCACCCATCTTAACTCCCCCGCCCCTGCAGGAGGCCAGGCAGGCACCATCATCGGGTACCCGATGACGGCGGCGATGGCGCAGGCGTGGGGGTGGGAGTCTGTGTTCTACGTGCAGCCGATGCTGGTGATGGCGTGGGTGGCGCTGTGGCTTGTCTTCACCGGCGACTCCCCGGAAAGTTCAAGATGGATTTCCGATGTCGAAAAAGAATATATTTTGAAATCTACAGGAGACAGCAAGGAGCGCAAGAAAGTGAGTTTATCTTTAATTCGTGAATATGTTTCTATTGATTCATTCCTATGAGCAAAAATGTGCAATAAACAAATGGTTGTCTCACGTTAATTTAACACGCCAGAAAGCGATGCGAAGTAATGATAAAGGGAAAATAAAAATTGACTGCAATGATCAAATTAAGTACTTATATCATTAATCTTCTGAAGTTCATCAATAAGTGTTAAGTTTTCCCTGTTGATATGGTGAAATTACTTGACTTTTCCTTCGTTTCTGTTAACATTAATTCACACCTTAATTTTATTCAAATTTCTCGTCTGAAATTTTTCTCACCCAAAAAAATCACACTCAGATGTTCGTTTTGATTAAATTCCTAAAGGATAATTCATGCAGTGTGTCCTGACAAGTATTTATTAATACTTGTTGGCAAATTAATAATGGTTAATCCCCAGACTCCCCCCGTGCCGTGGGGGAAGTTCGTGACGTCGCTGCCGCTGTGGGCGATCCTCATCGCGGGGCTGGGGAACAACTGGGGCTTCTACACGCTCCTCACCGAGCTTCCCCAGTACATGACGCAGATCCTCAAGCAGGATATCAGCTCGGTGGGGAGGGTGGGGAGGTTATGATGTCGGTGGGGAGGGTGGGGAGGTTAAGATCTGTCTCTTATACACATCTAGATGTGTATAAGAGACAGATTCATAGATATTAATATATATATATATACCATTTAAATAAATATTTCACTGAATAATAATCTACCGTATTATACACTTGACTAATATTGANCCAATAAAACATATACCTGTCTCTTATACACATCTAGATGTGTATAAGAGACACGGCCAACACCATCGGTGGGTGATGGGTGGAGGTCTGAAGAACTCCGGTCCCGATGAGGTCTTCGGAAGCCAATTTGATTCTGCTTGTTTAGCAGGTTTACAATTACGAAACAACTAACCAGAATGACCTCTGAAAATTTCCACACAACATCATTAATGATGCGCTATCGTTGAATGAATATAATCGGAGCAACGACCACTTAATCGTCTGTCTATTGACTGCAGCTCATGTTACCCAACCATTAGATACGAGTTGCATTACCGACTGCTAGTGTATCAATAGACATAAATATTGCATGATAACTTTTCCAATGTTCACGGATTTCATACTCACCGTCCTCAGCACACCTGAGGAACGTTGTTGTGTTCACTGCTATTTACTCACCGTCCTCAGCACACCTGAGGAACGTTGTTGTGTTCACCGCTATTTACTCACCGTCCTCAGCACATCTGAGGAACGTTGTTGTGTTCACCGCTATTTACTCACCGTCCTCAGCACACATGGGTCCCGCCCTTTGCCTCATCTCGCTGTCGTTTGTGGAGTGCGACCGGGCGGCGACTCTAGCGCTACTGTTCGTGGCAGTGACGCTGCAGGGGGGCATCTACACGGGCTTCATGGTGAACCACATCGACATCGCGCCTAACTACGCCGGCACCTTGTTCGGCATCACCAACGCCGCGGCCACCATACCGGGCTGGCTGGCGCCCATGACTGTTGGGGCCTTGACCAATGGTCAGGTGAGGCTGGGGGAGCTTATGTTGATTGGATAGTTGGCTAACGGGGGGTTGGGTCTTGGCTAACCGAATCATTTACCTAATAAGTGGTTTGGTGACATGGCTAAGAGAATGACGCGATTTGTATAGGATCAATGGCCAGGTGAGGCTGGAGAGGCTGATGTTGACTGAATAATTGACTAACGTTGGGCTGAGTCTTTAGTTACCGACTTATTTATGTGATTTACAATAGACTAGGTGACAGCTGGCTGATATAAATACTCGAATTTGTAATTAACTAAGAGCCCCTAACCTAAGCTAATTAGGTTTGGCCAATTTATGGGTCTCTGAACAAGCTGTTCTGCTCTCACAAATCAAGTCAAAATCAGTTGAATGAGAAATATAGTATGAAAATTATTAAAAAGGCTAAAAAATATTTATGATTTCGGTCCCGGACACTAAATTTAATCCGGCTTGTGTCATCCACCAGCAAACCATCGCGCAATGGCGCAAAGTGTTCTACATCGCCGCGACTTTCTACATCGTGGACGCCGTCTTCTTCGTTTTGTTCGCATCGGGAGTGGAACAATCCTGGAACCGCTACGCTGCTACCCTCAACGATGCTGTCGATTGGGACAAACCGCGAAAACTGAACTCGGCGGAGAAAAATGAAAACTATGGAGCGACAAGAAGTGAAAAAGATGGAAGCGTCGTAAGAAGAAATACGCCAGAGGGAGAGATTGGAAAAGATGAGAGATACGATGCGTATGTTATACAGGATCGATTCAGAGGAGGTTACGTCAATAAGGCGTATCAGCATGAGAAAAATTAACGTCTAAATTTGGCATGGAAACGGAAATTGACGGTAAAAATCTGCCATTAGGAAGGTACACTCAAGAGAAATCAGTGGGGCTTTGTCTGAATAGCGGCGCCTTTTTTCTACTTTACTTTTTTCTACTTTCTATTTTACTTTAGTTAGTTAGTACTTTAATTTAGTAAGAGCGTACGAGTCCGCTGTTTTCTCGTGCTGTTGAAAAAAAGTGTGTCTCTATTTGGGCAATATGATCCACACATTTCTTTGAGTGTATGAATCGACGGAGATAACGACGTGAGAGTAACGCCTGAGAGTTACCTTGGCGATGTCGACGATAACTCGTTAGTAATTATTATAATTAAAAATACTCACAGAATATTTTCGTGACTATCTTCTGATAATTGAATATTATGCAATACTCTTGATGAATAATGATTAAATGCCACGCGTTATTAGATCACGATAATTAGATTCAATTTTCGGCTTGGGGAAACGAACAGCAAATTCAAGCAAAAATTTAATCATTTATTTAATTAATTTCTTCCAGCTTTTATCACTCGGTTTGGCTAAGCCAGGACAAGCGTCGCACCTATGGTATTCTTAGGTTTACAAATACAATTATTTAAAGCTTTAGCTTTAAATAGACCAATAATATATATCTATAGATATAATAATATATTTTTCAAGTTAATATTTAAAACAATAGACATGAATAAATGCATCATACTGTGGGCTTTTTACTCTCCGTGTAGGGACATTTCCTAACTTTGGTTCAGAATTATTAATGAATTATTAATTAACGCATGAATTGGCAGCTGCCTTGCCTTGGTCGTTCATCCTTCTCTGCTCAATGGCGCTGGCAAGACAGAATAAAAATTCTCATCATTTTCTCATTTATGAAAAAAAAGACGCTATTGTGCTCGTCACGTCCGTCCGTCCGTGACTTCACGCACGAGAAAATGCGCTCTCTGTCACTAACTGCAGTTGGTACTGATCTAATTTTTTTATTGCATGTATTCGACACTTCGTTTTTTCTGGATTGTGACTTTACTTGGGGCTATTTTTCGTTTCTCATCATTACGATGGTTCTCATCATTACGATGGTTCTCGTCATTACGAAGGTTCTCATCATTACGATGGTTCTCATCATTACGATGGTTCTCATCATTACGATGGTTCTCATCATTACGATGGTTCTCATCATTACAATGGTTCTCAAACGGCTTGAAACTCAAGCATAAAGTGGGATAAAAAAACACGACAATTTATAATAATTTGTATTCAGACCCTCACAATAAATTTCGTGCAGCTGGCGCACGGTTTGTGACCCACGAAGTATAATTCAAACAACTACACAAGGGTTAAGTTCGTTGCTAATAACAAGAATACATTCAATAAATGCATGGCGATTAACTGATCTTGTTACCGGGTGTAAATTGTAGAAATTTTAATCGACATCGAGTTTTTTTTTTTTACAAAGTTTAGAAGTTCGTAGTATGCAAGTAACACAACGGAGGCATATTTTGCAATGCAATTCCTACCTGCTATTTTTTTGTGTACATGAATCGTCTTAATATATTGTCAATTTTCTTGCTATGCAAAAAAAGGAACACATGAAGAATTCGCTGACTAATGGAATTAATTTAGTAACATAATGGGAATATGGCTTCTTTAGAACTGTTAAGAAATGTCAAAAAATGGATTTTTCCCCTGAAAATGTCAGTAAAGTTACACGCACGAAGACTAGACTCTCATCAGCTGTCAGCAATACAAAATAACACATATATAAAGCTCAGACAAAATGTATAGCGCTTATTGAATAAATATAAATTCTTTAGACTAAGCGTGAGGGATTGAATAGGGCATTTATAACGTTATTTTCTTCATAAAATAAGCCCATATTTACGTGAAACTCTGGCACATGCATTATGTTCAACAATGATAAAAATATTATACGACGAATTTAAGTGCATGGATCACGAAATATCTTGTCTCAATTAATTACCAACAAAAATTAATAAATACTTTTGACAGTTTCACAACTTGAAATGAAAGAATAATAACATATTTTTGCTGAAGCAAACCGGAAATATTTTCTGTATTCTTATGAAGCAATGCACACCACGCGATCATTCCGACGATCATGAAGAATGGCAAGAATTAACTAATGTATGTAATGTAAAAATTAATTAATTACATTCCTACATAAATGTCATGGTTTACAGCTGGTCCTAATTTCTCATTCTTTAAATAAATTTAAATAAAAATAAAATTTTCGCTATCCTGCACATACAATTCCTGCTCCTCGTTGTTCCCATAAGAACACATGCAAATAATTCTTATAAATTAATTATATGAGCTCAATGACCTGGAAATATATTATCCGGAGAAACATACAAAAGACATTATATTCCTACACTTATTTCGTGACTGTCAAAGTCATAGATATTATTTATTGTGAGGATATTTATTTATTATTTATTGTGAAGGAGATTTGCTGCACTAGAGAAATTCATGCACAGAAGTCATGCATTGTTCGACATTTCTGGGCGTATTGTTATTGTAGTTATTTTTTACCGTCTGAAAAATTCAACGTGTGTTTAATAAATTGCATTTGTATATCATACTTTTGCTTTGAATAAAATAACCGTTCAGATCAGAAAAAAATTACGATGAGCCATCGTTTTAATTTCGTGTAAGAAAAAAAATCTGATTCTCGTTCGGAATTTTAGTGACAATGTAGTGACTTTAGTCTTACCAGCTCAGCAAATTCGAGAGACCTAGCAAAATGTTTGTGTATTGAAATGTCATTTATGTTAAATACTAGGAATTGCCTTCATTGTTCTGCAAGATAAATTGCTTTAAAAGATAAATTCTGCAAGATAAATTGCAAGATAAATTGCTTTAATTAGAAAATTGTAATCATTGAAATCCTACTCATTTTCAGGGAAGCATTCCTGTTCTCGACGATGAAATTTGTGGCAAGAGACGGCAATAGCAGGAAGTCATGAGAATGTAAAACTAAAAGTTAAGAAGTTAAAGCTAATAAACTCAGCGATGATAAACCAGTACATAATATTTGCCCTATGCCAAATTGAAGGACTAACTGTTACTCTAGTGAAGGGAATGGAGTTGCTTGCTTTCTTCCTGTATTGGCTTCAGCATCGTGTAGAATCCCTGCCACGCTAATACGTTCTCTTGCTCTTCTATATTCATATATTTAATTACAATTTGTACAAGAATTGCTTTGGTCAGCCGCCCGCATAGACTAAGTGAACCAGCCTCCGTTGTTAAAAATACTTACGGGCGTTTTGGCGTCTGACTGAATGGCTGACGTACTAAACAAACGTTTTTATAGGGTTTAACGGAAGGTTCTTTGCTATTTCAACAGGTTTTAATCGGTTCAACGGCAGGTTTTATGCTGTTTAACAGAAGGTTTTGAACGGTTTAACAGAAGGTTTTAATCGGTTCAACAATAAGTTTTATATGGTTTAACAGAAGGTTTTGAACGGTTTAACAGAAGGTTTTAATCGGTTCAACAATTCAACAATAAGTTTTACATGGTTTAACAGAGGGTTTTGAACGGTTTAACAGAAGGTTTTAATCGGTTCAACAATAAGTTTTACATGGTTTAACAGAAGGTTTTGAACGGTTTAACAGAAGTTTTTAATCGGTTCAACAATAAGTTTTATATGGTTTAACAGAAGGTTTTGAACGGTTTAAAAAAAGGTTTCACACTGCATTTTTAGGCTTAACTAATTGACGCGTGTTGGTCCGTGTTTTTATGGCCATTCGCCCCCAGACGAGAAAATTCGAAGACTCGCCGCATCAGACAAAACCAAGCGGCGCCCACACACATAACTTGTACAAAAGCCTTCAAATAGAAGATTTTGAAAACCATAATTTTAAGAAATAATTAGTAAGAAACATTTTTATGGGAAGAATTCGTAATAAAGACTTCGTAAAAAATATTTGTAGAGTAGATGTAGAAGTATAAGAGAATTCATGGAGAAGAAATTCTGGAAAAGCATTTGGGGTAAAGAATTTAGGGAAAGGAATTTGGGGAAAAATATTTGCGGAAAAGAATTTTTGGGAAGAATAAATTTTTTCAAAGAATTTTGGGAAAAATAATTTTTGGGAAAAGAAAAAAATTTGAGGAAAATAATTTGGCGAAAAGAATTAGGGAAGAGAACTTGGGGAAATAATTAGTGGTAAACTGCTACCTTGTCTCGGATTTTTGCTACGTTTTCTCTCTACAGGCTAATGCATCCTAAGTTGCAGGAGTAAATACGATGTTTTTATCCCGGGTTTGCAGTGGCGAGAGTTTACACATAATATTTTACCAACAGAATTCAATTATTTTAGGAATTCACAATAATAATGGATAACACATTTAAATATTTTCCAGACACAAAATTTAACAGAAGATAAAAAATTTTTCCAAATTGTTTAAATATGAAACTTGTTTTCAAATACTGCGCACAGCAGAAACTTTCTCGGTCGTGCAGTGCAGGCCGTGCAGTGCAGGTCGTGCAGTGCAGGTCGTGCAGTGCAGGTCGTGCAGTGCAGGCCGTGCAGTGCAGGCCGTGCAGTGCAGGCCGTGCAGGTCGTGCAGGTTCAGTCCACCAGGTCCTTAGGTTCGTTGCTGGGCAGGTCGGGCTCGCCGAAGCTGCTGTCGCTGCTCACACACTCGCCCTGCTCGTTAAAAGATCAATTAAATAAACTAACATTCAAATCATACGTTATATTGACAACGCAGTGTGTTTGCGAAGATAGATATATATATTTGATTGCAGGATTGTTCAATAGTAAAGTGAAGCAAGAGGCAGCAGACGTTCAGTTCAGTACCAATCAGTACCCTCGATACCGGCAGTATATCGGTACCCTCAGTGCCACAAGTACTTCTGGTGCCTTCAGCACCCTTTGTGCCCTACGTACCCTCAGCACTCAGCACCTCCGGTCTTGGTAGAGGGCTGTCACTTAACAACTAGTTTGATTCAATGGCTGGTCAATGTTCAATGGCAGGTAACTTTTAAGGTTAAGGTTAATAACTATCAAGGTTGAGGTTTTAACTCGACCTAATTACTACCACTTCAGCAACTGCAGATCTCAACCAACTGCGGCATGTCCTGCGGCCTGAAGTTCTCAACGTCGTGTCCATGACACGGCTACGCTTAACTTGCTGACTCATTCATTTCGAGAGCCAGATAAACCAATGTAACGACTTAAGAAATGGGGATAAAATCATCTAAAAAATAGCAAATAATTTAGAAACAACAATTTTTAGCACCGCTTGTGTCCTCAGTGCCTTAAGTACCTATTGAGGGCACTCTCTACCTCTAAGCCCTCAGATCGCTTCTTAAGATACCCCTCCAGGTAACATGCACCCAGAGTTCGTTTAGAGACACCAACCTACGGCAATGTTGAAAGCACCACATTTGATGGCTACCAAGCGCTGCCCACCAGCGACAGCGAGAAATGAACTGAGCTTCCCGAGGCTCAAACCCACGACCAGCTCCTCTCATCTCGGTGCCGCTACCAATGCGCACACAGTGGCTCTAACCAGTGACGCCCTCAGCACCCTCAGATGCCTGGTGCCCTGACCTCGCTGGTGGCGGTGGGGCGCGTCTCGCCGTCGCCCTCGAGCGCCGACAGCGTCCAGCCGCCCTCGCCGTCGAACTGCAGCAGGTGGTCGTGGAACTTCCTGCGGGAGGGGGTGATGGTGAGTATGGTGACTCAAGGGGGTGATGAGCACGCACTCACCACAGAGAGGGCCGGTGGGTGATGGTGAGTAAGGTGACTCACCACAGAGAGGGCCGGTGGGTGATGGTGAGTAAGGTGACTCACCACAGGGAGGGCCGGTGGGTGATGGTGAGTAAGGCGACTCACCACAGAGAGGGCCGGTGGGTGATGGTGAGTAAAGTGACTCACCACAGGGAGGGCCGGTGGGTGATGGTGAGTAAGGTGATGCCGGCCGCCTTGACCGCCTCGTACATCTCGCCCTCGACGTCGATGCTCACAGCGGAGGTGCACTCGTCCAGCAGCGCGTACTGGGGGCTGTACATTAGTACGTTAGTACATCACTACAACCACTCACACCACACACCCTACACCACACCACTCTCACCATCCACCCTACACCACACCACTTTCACCACTCACTACTGGGGGCTGTACATTAGAGCTTTAGTACATCACTAACACCACTCACACCACACACCCTACACCACACCTTCTCGGCGCCCCCCAGCCTGTACAGTCGCCGCTGCTATAGACCTCTCGAAGGCTTTCGATAGTGTCGCTCAGGATCTGAGCTATACACTCGGGCGTTCCCCAGGGCTCGGTCATCTCGCCGGCTCTTTTTAACCATTTCGTTTCCGATACATTGGACGCCCAGTGCCGTCCTCCAACATTGCCAGTCGTCCCCGAGGCTCGACGCTGCGGAGGCTGAGCTCGCCGTACTCCTTCGGAGCGTCTCAGACTGGTCGGCTGGCAAGAAACTGGCCGTGGCTCCTGGCAAGTCATCGGTCACGCTTTTCTCCCCAGATACGCACCAATCCCGATACCACCCATCTGCCACAATCTGCAACGGCATCATCCCCTGGACAAAACCCCCAAAATCCTAGACGTCACCTGGGATACGCACTTCACGTTCTCTTTCCATGCAAGACCCATGCCACGAAAGCGACTGGCTCTCTTCGCATCTTAAAAGCCCTAGCTGGTACCAACTGGGGCTTCTCCAAGGAGGACATCATTGACACCTACCGAAGCATCACGCGCACAATCCTCAGCTACGCGGCCCCCATCTGGTACCCTGTTGCCTCACGTACAGCAGTTGCCAGCCTGCAGATAATACAAAACACTGCACTGAGACTAGCCACCGGCTGCCTCGAAATGGCCCCGATCTCCCATCTTCACCAGGAGACCGGCGTCCTCCCTTTAGCCGCGCACCTGGGCCTGGCTTGTGCCCAGTTCCTCGCCAGCGCCCTCCAGCCCTCCCATGCCTCATTCCGCATTGTTTCTGCTCCACTGGGGGACCGCCCCATTAAAGCCTCCATTCAGTCGAGGTTCGGCCACCTAGTCACACCACTCCTGGCAAATGGCAACCTACCCGCTGATGCATACGGAGAAGCCAAATGGGCTCTTCGCAGGGAGATCGCCTCCCGCGTTGCGGCGAATGACGCCATAAACGCCGTCCTCGCAGCCCCACCACCGCCGATTGCATCGGCTGAGTCCTCACTCTCGCGCCCCTACCGTTCGGCGCTATCCCAGCTCCGCTCGGGATACTGCAGCTCCCTGGCGTCCTACTCCGCTAGGATCGGACGCTCCCCTAGCTCCGCCTGCCCGGAGTGCAGGGATCCCCTCCAGTCCGTCCAGCATCTCTTTGCCTGCCCCGCCTTCCCCACGTCTCCTCCTTGTGGGACAGCCCCGTCAAGGCAGCGGCATTCCTGGCCACCCTCCCTGCCTTCGCCCGTCTCCCCCCTCTTCCGGTGCCTGCCTCCCGCCCACCACCTGAGCCCCCCCCCCGGACGAGCGTGACCGACGCAATAAACAACAACAACACCACACCCTCCACACCACTCTCGCAACTCACAGGAAGAAAGAGAGCCTGGCCATGCCCCTCCTTTGCTCCTCACACCACTCCCATGCCACTCACTGGTGATAAAACAGCCTCGCCATGCCCATCCTCTGCTTCTCGCCGCCGGACAAAACGTCCTTCCAGTCCTGCCTGGCGTTCCATCCGCCCTCCCTGGCCACGATGTGCTGCAGGTGGACGATGGACAGAATCTCGTAGAGCTGCGCGTCCGTCCTGCCGGCGGCCATCATGGAGGACAGACTGTCTGGGTAGATCACTTGGTCCCGCAGCGTTCCCACCGACATGTAGGGCCTGCCGAGGGATAAAGGATTAGGACAGATCCTGAGGATTAGGACAGATCAAGAGGATCGGGACAGATCCTGAGGACAGGGACAGATCCTGAGGATCGGGACAGGCCCTGAGGATCGGGACAGATCCTGAGGATCGGGACAGGTCCTGAGGACCGGGACAGATCCTGAGGACAGGAACAGATCCTGAGGACCGTGACAGATCCTGAGGATCGGTGAGGACCGGGACAGGTCCTGAGGACCGGGACAGATCCTGAGGATCGGGACAGGTCCTGAGGACCGGGACAGGTCCTGAGGATCGGGACAGGTCCTGAGGACCGGGACAGATCCTGAGGACAGGGACAGATCCTGAGGACCGGGACAGGTCGTGAGGACCGGGACAGATCCTGAGGATCGGGACAGATCCTGAGGACAGGGACAGGTCCTGAAGATCGGGAAAGGTCCTGAGGATCGGGACAGATCCTGAGTATTTGAGGAAGAAATGTATCAAATTATTTTGTTATATTTTTGTTGAATGGAAGTAAAAAGAACTCAAGATAGCGGTATGATTATTGTCGAGTCAACGTTGCATATTTAGTTGTTGGCTCATTTATTGGCTTGCATTGCAGTGTTTCGCAATAAGGATGTAATACATGCTGCACCCACCTCTGGGGGATGTAGAACATGCTGCACCCACCACTGGGGGATGTAGAACATGCTGCACCCACCTCTGGGGGATGTAGAACATGCTTGAGGCAGGGGGCTTGCTGAGGCGGCCAGCGTAGACGGGCCACAAGCCGCTCATGATGCGGAACAGCGAACTCTTGCCGCACCCGTTGGGACCTGGCGACGGGTGAGGTGACGGGTGAGACAAACGGGTTATGGCGACGGGTGAGGTGATGGTGAGGTGACGGGTGAGACAAACGGGTTATGGCGACGGGTGAGGTGATGGGTGAGGTGACGGGTGAGACAAACGGGTTATGGCGATGGGTGAGGTGACGGGTGAGGTGACGGGTGAGGTGACGGGTGAGGTGACGGGTGAGACAGACGGGTTATGGCGACGGGTGAGGTGACGGGTGAGGTGATGGGTTATGGCGACGGCGGGTGAGGTGACGGTGAGGTGACGGGTGAGACAAACGGATTATGGCGACGAGTGAGGTGACGGGTGAGACAAACGGATTATGGCGACGGGTGAGGTGACGGGTGAGACAAACGGATTATGGCGACGGGTGAGGTGACGGGTGAGACAAACGGATTATGGCGACGGGTTAGACAAACGAGTTATGGCGGTGGGTGAGGCGACGGGTGAGGCGACGGGTGAGGTGACGGGTGAGGTGACGGGTGAGACAAACGGGTTATGGCACCAAGCACATCAGAGGTGCCAAAAAATGACAATAAATCCGTAAAAAAACAAGGCATTAATGGTGAAGTAGCACGTTACCTGCGATAAGAAGGTGCATGCCGGGGCGTATGGTGAGCGTTAGTGATGGCACCACAACATCACACGCAGGCGTCACCACCGGCACCGCCTCCAGCACCACACTGCCGTCATCACTGCACGTCACCACCCCTATGGTGATGATGATGTATTATGATGATGTACGGGAATATCGCGAGTAACCAGTCGTAATATAATCCAGTATACGCATATGAAATTTACGGTGCTGGAAATGAGATCAGAAGAAAATAGCAGTGACTGATGTATAAATAACTGCATGGATGTAAAATAACTGCATGGAAGTTAGTGGCCATTATTTATTATTATCGTATACCCTTATCATTATACTATATTACCCCTTATTATTATATTATATTACCCCTTATTATTAGTGTTTACCCCTGATGAGAGGCATGCCGGTGGGGCCGTAGAGGAGGCCGGGGTGGGAGGAGCGAGCGGCGCGGGCGATGCTCCTCTCATCGCCGCCGGCGGGTGACTGCAGTGCCGGCCGTTCGTACCTGAGGTTAAGAGTCTGACTTACCTATTCTTTCCAAAAAAAGTTAAGAGATCGTATTTTCACCAGCCAATCACTGACGGCCTTTCAAGTAAAATCCACCAATCATAGACAAGAAAATAGAGCCTAACCACTTACGTTTACTTAGCGAGTTTTGAAAGTATAGGCCCGAGCCTTGATGAAGAAATGGGCGTACCACCAAAATTAAATTGGAAATCAGTTTAATTGGAATCAATCGGTTCAATTTTCCTAAACTTAGGAAAATTAATGGGCCTTATTTTTGAAATAGTGAAGCATTTTATTACCCACAGCATAAGCAGTAAATTAATTCAGATATTAATTCGCAAGTGACGTGCATAATCTCCGAAGATTTGCGCCAGGTCTTTTTGCCGGTCCAAACTGGGTAAAGATTACCCTCTAAAGGCACAAAATGAAATAGATATTTAAACAAAGTCTCACACATTCTTCTGAGTGCGAGATCACTCTTCACTTCAGTCATGATCTATCCTCGATTTTGAAATTTATCACACCAGTTCGCTCAAAAAAATGAACGGATCATGTTGTCTAAATAGTAACACTTTGCGTAAAAATTACTGATGAACTCTCGTTTTGTCCGGGGCCAACTGGGTCAGAGTGGCCTTCACAGGGAAGGAAGTGCGTCGCAATTTGGACAACGTGTCACTCATGTTTCTGAGTGCAGTTCCCAGGCGGCCACTGAAGGACCATGGGACGACCGATGGCCATAAGTTATTCCAACATCAGCTTATTGAAACAAGAAGCTTATTAATAAGCTTATTACAATTACGCTTATCTAAGCAATACGCTTATTACAATTATGCTTATCTAAGCAATAAGCTTATTACAATTACGCTTATTGAAACAATAAGCTTATTAATAAGCTTATTACAATTACGATAATCCGAACAATAAATTTATTAATAAGCTCATTACAATTAGCTTATCGGCCCATGTAAGAGATAAGTTATCGATATTGAAGACATGTGTGGTATGCATTCTTCACACTACATCAACCTATCTTAATCAAAGGAATTAGCACACCTCGTTTGGATTAGTGGGTATAATTGCTAGAAACGATCAATATTTAAATTAAAGTGAACACTATTATCATAACTTCGTATGCTTCTTCCTTTTATCAGCTACCCATAGAAATATAAATCCCGCAATTTCTTCAATATTTATTTAAATTCAATTTAGCAATTTAGTAATATTTATTGAAGCAAAAATCAGCTCGAAATACACGCCCTTTACATAACCGCTTATGGTAAAACCGCTATTTTCTTTATTCTCGATAAATTCCTCACAAACATCAAGAAATTTCACGTCAAAGTCATCAAACACCTGCAACATGTTGCACGTCACGCACCTGCAGCTGTGCACGTCACCAAACACCTGCAACATGTTGCACGTCACGCACCTGCAGCTGTGCACGTCACCAAACACCTGCAACATGTTGCACGTCACGCACCTGCAGCTGTGCACGTCACCAAACACCTGCAACATGTTGCACGTCACGCACCTGCAGCTGTGCACGTCACCAAACACCTGCAACATGTTGCACGTCACGCACCTGCAGCTGTGCACGTCACCAAACACCTGCAACATGTTGCACGTCACGCACCTGCAGCTGTGCACGTCACCAAACACCTGCAACATGTTGCACGTCACGCACCTGCAGCTGTGCACGTCACCAAACACCTGCAACATGTTGCACGTCACGCACCTGCAGCTGTGCACGTCACCAAACACCTGCAACATGTTGCACGTCACGCACCTGCAGCTGTGCACGTCACCAAACACCTGCAACATGTTGCACGTCACGCACCTGCAGCTGTGCACGTCACCAAACACCTGCAACATGTTGCACGTCACGCACCTGCAGCTGTGCACGTCACCAAACACCTGCAACATGTTGCACGTCACGCACCTGCAGCTGTGCACGTCACCAAACACCTGCAACATGTTGCACGTCACGCACCTGCAGCTGTGCACGTCACCAAACACCTGCAACATGTTGCACGTCACGCACCTGCAGCTGTGCACGTCACCAAACACCTGCAACATGTTGCACGTCACGCACCTGCAGCTGTGCACGTCACCAAACACCTGNTAGTGCAGGTGTTGCCACCCTAGTGCAGGTGTTGCCACCCTAGTGCAGGTGTTGCCACCCTAGTGCAGGTGTTGGCACCCTAGTGCAGGTGTTGCCACCCTAGTGCAGGTGTTGCCAAGGTTTTTTTATTTCATTTTGTAAATAAATTTTCAACTTTGAACTCCAACAACACATTTATTTCATAAATATGTAGATGATTGAAGCCTGGCAATAACCTAAGCATCATTTCAGGTAGATGCCTTCTCACGAATTACGAAGTTTATTCTCATAATGTTCATGTTATTATATGTTTATAATAATTAATAACCCATCTCACGAAGTACGAAGCTTATTCTCCCAATGTTCAATGTTATTATATGTTTATAATAATTAAGAAGCCTTCTTACGAAGTACGGAGCTTATTCTCATAATGTTAATGTTATTATATGTTTATAATAATGAAAAATATCATCACACGCACCTTGTATGACGTCATGAGGCGCTCTATAGCGTCACCACCGCTCACGAGAAGTTGTTTGGTTGTGGTGAAATATTCCGTGCGTTCTGACACGCCTTCATCACCACCATCATCTGCACACACCATGCGTGGTGAGCTCACTATATCACTTCACTATAATTACTTCCATGTATTGAAGATACATATAAAATAAAGCTAAAGTTATACATCAAAAGTGCCAGGAGTTAGATAACTGGCGTCCATGCAAGATACTGATTACAATCAAGTGATAATAACGATATTCTAAATTGCGAATCAATGCGAGAATGATTGAAAGTAAAAATTTTAATTAAATGATGTATTGAAAAACTTGTAAACAATTAAAACGTACGAAGTATCGCGCGCCGACAACTTACGAATAAAATCTATAATCCTTGCAACAAAAATTCTTAATTAAATGAATGCATTGAATTAGGTACAATAAAATAAAAATATACAAAGTAAGACTAACCGGCATGTTTCTTCGACGTGCCCGTCATGAGAGGTATGGAGACGATGACCATACCAGCGCCGGACCACACGTACTTCATGAGGAACTGTTCCAGCATAACGTACCACAACCTCTGGCTGAATATTGTGGCCCTTTGTTGTACCAGACGCTTGTAGCATACCTCCAGCATACCTTGCTCCACCTGGGGCATGATGGGGCATGATCATTGTTACTGCCAACACATCCAGCCCTGCTCCACCTGGGGCATGATGGGCATGATCATTGTTACTGCCAACACCTCCAGCCCTGCTCCACCTGGGGCATGATGGGCATGATCATTGTTACTGCCAACACCTCCAGCCCTGCTCCACCTGGGGCATGATGGGGCATGATCATTGTTACTGCCAACACCTCCAGCCCTGCTCCACCTGGGGCATGATGGGGCATGATCATTGTTACTGCCAATTATTATCCCCATTATAAAACTAATGAGAATTCTACATTTCCGAGATTTTATGAAGTAAACAATTCGATTTTTTAGATATTGGGAAATTTTACACTGACATTCAGGAGAGAAAAGTTTACATTGTAATTCAGGATATTGTTTACATTTACATTCCTAAAATATCGCAACAATTCGCAATCATATATGCGAACAGCACATGCAGGAAGTTTGCACGGGAAAACAATAGAGATAAAAGGCGAACTGGAAATTTTCAAAGCAAGTATGCCAGAAATGAGACAATTTTTCGAAAATCAAACTATATTTGAAAAATTAGTGCATTGAAATCAATGTGAGCACAAGAATAGATATTGCGGACACTTGGTCCTGTGAAAGGTGCGACAGAAAAACTGGACGGCCACTAACTTCGTCCGCAAGGTCAATTTTTTAGTTCACTTTTTGCTGGTGAAAGAAAAAGTATAGAAGCTTGAATCCGAGAACGATGCAGCTAGTGCGTTTTAAAACAAATTTATTGTAATTCGCAGGAATAGTAATAGGATTCAAACAATCTCTCAATCATGTAAGATGTCCAATAATAAAGCCGAGATTTAGATATATAGATAGATATAGGTAGATTTTGATATATGTACTAATACTAATAATATGTACACTAATAATTTAGCTATATGGAAGAGGACTGTTCGTTTCTTCCTATTCGACATCTGTACATTTGGTGAGGGATTATGGCGAAGGAGGTAGAGTATGATGTATTATCGTATTCAGTATTACATTCAGTTTAGTTTAGTAGTTATTTAGAAGTTTATAGTTTAATGTATTTTTGTAATGAATATTATCGTGTTTAGCAGTAACGAATATTTTATGAGCATATATTTTCGCCGGTGATGGTGCACGGAACGACGGTGACATGAAGTTAAAAACGGCAGTAAGTCGGTCCCTCTGAGGGGGACTCGTACAACGCATTCCTCTCGCTACCTTTGGGGGGCGATTTGCCCACCTTATGCCCCCCGTAGAAGGCGATCTGCCCACCTTATATCCCCAAAGAAGGCGATCAGCCCACCTTGTGCCCCCCGTAGAAGGCGATCTGCCCACCTTGTGCCCCCCGTAGAAGGCGATCTTCCCACCTTGTGCCCCCAATAGAAGACGATCTGCCCACCTTGTGCCCCCCGCAGAAGGCGATTTGCCCACCTTGTGCCCCCGCAGAAGGCGATTTGCCCACCTTGTGCTTCCCGTAGAAGGCGATCTGCCCACCTTGTGCCCCCCGTAGAAGGCGATCTGCCCACCTTGTGCCCCCCGTAGAAGGCGATCTTCCCACCTTGTGCCCCCAATAGAAGGCGATCTGCCCACCTTGTGCCCCCCGCAGAAGGCGATTTGCCCACCTTGTGCCCCCCGCAGAAGGCGATTTGCCCACCTTGTGCTTCCCGTAGAAGGCGATCTGCCCACCTTGTGCCCCCCGTAGAAGGCGATCTCCTCAGCGTTGGTGATGATGCGCGAGTGCGCCGCCCTCAGGTCGGCCTGGCGCGCTGCTTCCTCTGCCACGAGCTTCCCGAAGCGCGGCGACACCGCGCGCAGCAGACGCCCCGTGACCAGCGCTACCACGAACCCTAGCGCCGGTCCTGGTGGCATGGATGGGGTATCGAGGTTATTATATTTTATCACGCAGGTTATTGTATGTGGTTACGTAGGTTATTGCGTCGTCATGCAGCTAGAATTTAATTAATTAGAAGGGTGATTACGATAAATAGGCAGACCCAGCGCCGGTCCTGGTGGCATGGATGGGGTATCGAGGTTATTATATTTCATCACGCAGGTTATTGTATGTGGTTACGTAGGTTATGGCGTCGTCATGCAGCTTTTTGGTGGTAATTAGAAGGGTGATTACGATAAATAGGCAGACCCAGTACTGGCCCTAGGAGCAAGGATGGGGTATGGAGGTGTGAGGGATGGCGTCCAACGTTACATCCGACGACGACTCGGAGACGGAGGACGACGAAGGCGGCGCATCAGCGTGACCGGGGACTAGGAAGTCCCGAACTCATCACAAGGTCACAAGGATGGGACATGAAGGTGCAATGAATGGAGTATGGAGGTAATAATGTGTTGTCACTCAGGTTATAGATGGCGAAGTTAGCGAAACATGCACACCGAATAACAGGTTCTAGCCCCTAGAATGAATCTAAGGATTAGCTTTGTCTTTTAAAATGGAGCGGGTAACATGATAAGAAGATGAACGGCGCACATTCTGCTCAAGATTATTATTTCTTAAAGCTATGGTAGAAACAAACATTTGTATAACAAAAACATAGCGCCCGACAAACGGGAAAACAAAAAATTTCACTTTTCTGAAGAGTTGGTAGGATGAAATCATCTACCTTCTGGACTGACGTCACCTAACTGATAGGATAACGTCACCAAACTACTAGGATAACGTCACCTAACTGCTAGGATAACGTCACCTAACTGCTAGGGTGACGTCACCTAACTGCTAGGATAACGTCACCTAACTGCTAGGATAACGTCACCTAACTGCTAGGGTGACGTCACCTAACTGCTAGGATAACGTCACCTAACTGCTAGGATAACGTCACCTAACTGCTAGGGTGACGTCACCTAA